TTGTCAGCATCTACATTCGTGACTTCGGGGTCCAAGCTAGAAGTTGTACCTGGAAGTTTAAACAAATGATTTACTACCCTGTTTTACATGTGTGAAAAAGATTATAATATCTCCTGGGAGATGGACAAAAAGGCATTTTTACTAATCAATCTTTTGTGACTCTTAATATCAAAATCATCCAAAAAATTATTTTTATTTGTAAATAAAACGAAGAAATTTATACGTCTAACAAGGTTTATTCCTCATCCAGTCATAGCCAGGTATATTTGTTTAAATATGTCGCAGTCGCAGTGAAATCCCATATTATATAGGTCCGAAAATAAGAAACTTTTAATTTCTGGAGAGCTAGGTTTCCTATAAAAATACACGTTTTTTTCTTAATAAGGAACTTGTTTATAAAAAAAACTAGAAGGATTTATCGTAAATAGTAATAGATGGTTTCCCTTAAAAATAGTAAAAAATAAGAAATTTGGAAACTATTAGTACTCTGGGCTTGAGTCAAGTTTCTTATAAATAAAAAAACGTGTACGTAGAAGCAAAACACTACAAATATGTATGGTTGGGATGGGGTAAAATGGCTTAGCTACTACGTAAATGAGTTTGATTGTTTTTATGGCTGAAGCCCTTTGCTAAGTGTTTTTCCTCGTATTAAAAGGACTTAAATATTAAAACGTATAACATACCACGTTCGATTTGCTCTTCGTCTTGAATTTTCGAAATTTCAACTTCTTGTTCTTCGGGGTCTTCTGTTGTTCTTTCAGTTTCAAAATCATTAACCTTTCGTTTCTTTGGAAAAGTACCGCCTTTTGATTGAAAAAATGTTTTTATTTTTCTCTGCTGCGAGTCCGTTTCAACTATTGCCGTCGTAGGAGCAGTCCTTCCCATTGCAGCCAAATCTTTGTGCTTGGACTTCGTGTGGCGGGCAGCGTAATCATTGTTAAATACGTCATTACATATACTACATCTAACACTGAAACGGGTAACATTTGTTGCCATATCGCTATCGCACAAAAATATTCCGATGTTGTAGGTTGGTTATAGCAAGCAAGATTTGGACGAACTGCACTATCCATAACATAAGATCAAATTTAACAGCATGCGGAAAACACCTGGTACTGAACATCTAAACAACCAATTCAAACTTCTTATAACAGATTATTATTTACCATGAAATTGATGTGTCGATGAGTTGTTTTGGGATGAGCTTCCTGAATTCTGATAACAGTCCTTTTAGAAATTTCTATTTCCGCCAAAACTTAAAAAATTCGCTCCGACAAAAAAAATTCAAGCATAATTTATCTTCCGACGGAGGGGCTAGCCTCCTCCGACGGGGGGGCTGTAGCCCCCCCTGCCCCCCCTCTGGCGCCACCACTGTGCACGATAAAATAATAACATCGGCTTTTTTGTGTCAGTGCACAACCAAACGATTTTTTAAAGAAATATCACAGTATGAGGAGAAAAAAGGTCATTTCTTCGAGCGAGAATCAGCAATCGATAACAACGGGGTTCGGAATCGTCGGCCTGAAATCGAGATTCCCCTACGAAGACTCGTAAAACCAGTTATCTTTTCCATGCCTGCGGGTAGACACGAATATTTCTCTGATCTGGAAAAGAGATTCTGCGAGATCATAACGGAAGCGAAATGCAAATATTAAACACAAAGAAAACAAAAGACATTATGCTAAACAAAACAGAAACCCAACGTATAACGTCAAACATAAAGAAAACAAAAGACATTATGCTAAACATAACGGAAACCTAACGTATAATGTCAAACATAAAGAAAACAAAAGACATTATGCTAAACATAACGGAAACCCAACGTATAACGTCAAACATAAATATAACAAAAGGCATTATGCTAAACATAACGGAAACCTAACGTATAACGTCAAACATAAATATAACAAAAGGCATTATGCTAAACATAACGGAAACCTAACGTATAACGTCAAACATAAAGAAAACAAAAGACATTATGCTAAACATAACGGAAACCCAACGTATAATGTCAAACGTAAAGAAAACAAAAGGCATTATGCTAAACATAACGGAAACCCAACGTATAATGTCAAACATAAAGAAAACAAAAGACATTATGCTAAACATAACGGATAACCAACGTATAATGTCAAACATAAAGATAACAAAAGACATTATGCTAAACATAACGGATAACCAACGTATAATGTCAAACATAAAGATAACAAAAGACATTATGCTAAACATAACGGAAACCAACGTATAACGTCAAACATAAAGAAAACAAAAGACATTATGCTAAACATAACGGAAACCCAACGTATAACAAACATAAAGAAAACAAAAGACATTATGCTAAACATAACGGAAATAATGTCAAACATAAAGAAAACAGAAGACATTATGCCAAACATAACGGAAACCCAACGTATAATGTCAAATATAAAGAAAACAAAAGACATTATGCTAAACATAACGGATAACCAACGTATAATGTCAAACATAAAGATAACAAAAGGCATTATGCTAAACATAACGGAAACCTAACGTATAACGTCAAACATAAATATAACAAAAGGCATTATGCTAAACATAACGGAAACCTAACGTATAACGTCAAACATAAAGAAAACAAAAGACATTATGCTAAACATAACGGAAACCCAACGTATAATGTCAAACGTAAAGAAAACAAAAGGCATTATGCTAAACATAACGGAAACCTAACGTATAATGTCAAACATAAAGAAAACAAAAGACATTATGCTAAACATAACAGAAACCCAACGTATAACGTCAAACATAAAGAAAACAAAAGACATTATGCTAAACATAACGGAAACCTAACGTATAACTTCAAACATAAATATAACAAAAGGCATTATGCTAAACATAACGGAAACCTAACGTATAACGTCAAACATAAAGAAAACAAAAGACATTATGCTAAACATAACGGAAACCCAACGTATAATGCCAAACGTAAAGAAAACAAAAGGCATTATGCTAAACATAACGGAAACCTAACGTATAACGTCAAACATAAAGAAAACAAAAGACATTATGCTAAACATAACGGAAACCTAACGTATAATGTCAAACATAAAGAAAACGAAAGACATTATGCTAAACATAACGGAAACCCAACGTATAATGTCAAATTTAAAGAAAACAAAAGACATTATGCTAAACATAACGGAAACCCAACGTATAATGTCAAACATAAAGAAAACAAAAGACATTATTCTAAACATAACGGAAACCTAACATATAACGTCAAACATAAAGAAAACAAAAGACATTATGCTAAACATAACGGAAACCCAACGTATAATTTCAAACATAAAGAAAACAAAAGACATTATGCTAAACATAACGGAAACCCAACGTATAATGTCAAACATAAAGAAAACAAAAGACATTATGCTAAACATAACGGAAACCCAACGTATAATGTCAAACATAAAGAAAACAAAAGACATTATGCTAAACATAACGGAAACCCAACGTATAATGTCAAACGATGCGCAAGGACATTATGCTAAACATAGCGGAAACCCAACGTATAATGTCAAACATAAAGAAAACAAAAGACATTATGCTAAACATAACGGAAACCCAACGTATAATGTCAAACATAAAGAAAACAAAAGACATTATGCTAAACATAACGGATAACCAACGTATAATGTCAAACATAAAGAAAACAAAAGACATTATGCTAAACATAACGGATAACCAACGTATAATGTCAAACATAAAGAAAACAAAAGACATTATGCTAAACATAACGGAAACCCAACGTATAATGTCAAACATAAAGAAAACAAAAGACATTATGCTAAACATAACGGAAACCCAACGTATAATGTCAAACCTAAAGAAAACAAAATGCATTATTCTAAACGAAACGGATAACCATCGTATAATATTAAAAATAAAGAAAACAATGCATTTTACGGAACATAAGGGAAACCCAAAGGCAACATTATGAATAAAAGATATCTTGTCAAATTTCCCGTTTATCATGTTAGATGTTAGAAGTGTCCGTTAGTAGAGGTTTCACGATACACATTCTAGAAGACATTAAATTCATGCTTTACAGATTGGTAATCCATGTGAATAAATTAAATAACCTATTGTTTGCTTCAATTAATTTGATGAAGTTCTTTTTGTTTTGAGAAAAATTACTGGAAAATCTTTAAGAATCTTATTGTTTCAAAAGATCTCGTGCTCTTTTTGGAAAAGTGATTCAGTTTTTTGGAAAGGTCAATTGATGTATAATCCGTTATTTCTTGTGTTAGGAGACGAGAAAGTAAACCAAATTAAATTTTGATTCAGGAACACAGCCCGCGGTTGCCGACTGATGCAGCAATTTGCACACAAATGCAGATTAGAGCTTTAACTCATACGATGTATAAAAAAGTTTTTCAGGCGTCTTAAAACGATTCCTTTCACTCGATTCCTTTCCAAAACCTTACGCGAATAGCCTTGAACATTCATCTAAGCCTACAAAACCGAACTTTTTTTAATTTTTGATGCTACAACTATGGCAACCCTATCAATAAATTACGCTGGAAAGTGAAGATGTGACAAAGTTCATAATAAAACATGCAGTATGTTAATCATCAACTTAGAAAAAAGTCAATATTTCAAGTTTCTTTATGAGTTTAAAAGCTTATCGTAAGTAGGGGCGCTAAGCTTCTAAAATTGCGAAATATGAACATGTTTCACATTAATATTGATTATTCTGCACAAGATAGCATAAAGAAATTAAGCAAAATCACCCTTTTCGCGAGAAAATTAATTATTTTAAACATGATCTTGGAAGTGTTTAGGGTAGTTTAACTCATAAGGAAACGGGCTACCTAGAAACATGATGGCCACATGTTGCAGTTCTCAGACGTGTTCTTCTTGAATCGAATTATATTTATGATAAATGCTGGAGAAGTTTTGGCCAAAACTCAAACACGACGTTGAGGGATTCTCTCCGTTCTCCAGCCACTCTTATCCATTCGCATTTACGCACTATTAAAGAATTTAAGATATCATTAATATCAACCCAACGCATTGTGGCAAGGTACTTTTCGTAGTATCTTCGTGGGGGTATTTTTGGGGGGTAAAGAGTTTTAAGCGTATCACTTCGGTCGACAAAAAAAGAGAAGAAAACAAGACAAACAAAAGAGAATGAGATAACCACGTCCTCTTTCAGTCTTCCCCCATTTAACGTATTCCGGTCTAGCCTATCTCCATTTTGGAAAAAGTTCTCTAAAGGAACCATAAATCGATTTCATCAAATATGTACACTTATGATTCATTGAACACCTTTTTCTCGAAAATGCCCAAAAACGCTTGATAAATCCTTAAAGCCCTACATGCGTCAAACGTCAAACGACCCAACATTTCACCCAACATTTCACCCTCAGTAGCTCAAGTTGGATTCCTTGACTAGAGAATAAAAAAAATAGTCGTCTTGGTGTGAAAATTTCAAAACATTTTTTAACTATAAACGCATTGTAAAATTTAAAAAGGTTTTTTTAATTTTTAATTTCATTTCTTTCATTAATTAACTAATTGTTATATATATACATGTAATTATTATTTATTCATTCTTAATTGCTTTTTATTCTAAACTTTTGTAAAGTAGGCTTAAAATAACTTGTACATAAATTGTACATAGATAGCTATATCATACCTGCTTACTGTAAATATATTGATTATTATCATTATATTTATTATATTATTATCGCCCAACATTTTCTCGCGCAGATCGAAAAGGGACTGGGCAGGAGGTAGCATTGATGTTGCTTAGCAACAGTAGGCAGACCAGACACTCACGATGTGCCGCATTTTGATCCGAGAAAATGAAAGGCAATCGCCGCCATAGCTATACTGTATCAATCTCACTATTCTCACTGTTATCGCGGTCTTCCAGGGCGAGAATCGCGTCCCCAATCAAAGCCTCTGGCCTAAAATCGTTCCCCTGCACTTTCCTGTAGCTCCTATGTGCTTCAGGCTCTCCATTTACGCTTGATGCTGGACTCGTTGCCTTTACTTGCGCACAAATATTCGTTATCTTTCATCATCGTGTCCATAATTTTAAATGTTATCAATTGTAAGCAAAAGCGAGAGTCGAAGCGAGATTCGAGACGAACAAAATCAACCCGAGAAGTCAACAACAATGCGATGATTGAATTTTGGCGGTCTTTAACCAACTGCGCGTGCGCAGAACCAACAATGTTGGCTGAGGTGGTCAAACGATCCAACATTTCACCTAACACCTAAAACAATAGAATTGTTGGACGTCGGCAGCCAACATTTTTGACCTCAGTCAAATTCCGCCAAACATCGAATTTTACGATGTTGGGTGACCCAACAAGGTGGTCAAACGATCCAACATTTCACCCAATACCATCTTGGGCGAAATGTTGGATGAATGTTTGATCGTTTGACCAGGGCTTAAATCGTAATCTAGGATCAAAATAATCTCAGAAAAATGTTTTCCCTGTGCTTTCGACTTGGATGGCTTATACGTCTCCGAAAACAGTGAAATTTCGGCCGCAAACTGGATGCTTTGAGCTGACTTTCAAACGCCTTTAACATACATAAGCATACAAAATTTGGACGGATTTTCGTCAGCAGATTTTACTTTTCACAGCCCTCTTTCTTGCTACAAGTATGCGGCAGGCCCCCAGTGTTCAATGAGGTTGCCAAAGGCCAAGTTGGTGATGAAATATGCCTATATTTCAGATTCTGACATGATGAGGAAACTTTGTTCGAAAAACCTAAGCTTAATGATGCATAATGATATTTATTAGCGTAATACCAATAATCGAGGGGATTACTAGAAAGAAAGACAGCTTGAACTCATATGGACGTTGATTAAAAAACCATATGGAATGTAAGCCATACGTTTTCCAAATAATTCAGGAAGGTGTGGTGGATGCTAAAATTGACAGCTCTGACACTGGGAAAGATTGAATCCGTGTCTATATAACTAAAGTGCAAAGTAATATGAACTATCATGAACTATTTTGTACAATACGTTAGAAAAGAAGGTATTCTACTTCATGGAAGAATTCTACGGAACTATCTTCCAGATTGACTAATCACGAAACAAGTCGAAGATTCCTAACATTATGTCCAACTAAAGCAATAAAACAGTTATCAATTTTATGAATAAAAATTCGAGCGTATATATGAGCTCTGAAACCTGTTCTCCATCCCTTTTATCGATTACAATCGAATCGCAAACGTTGTATTTTTGGATTTAGTATAAAGCCTTCATTATTTTTTTGCTGTTATCAAGGAAAGCTGCATAAAATGAAAAGGTAGGCAACTCACGTTCATTTGCACAGAAAATTCACATAAGAAAATCCACATTTTTATCACATATTCTTATCTTTAACTAAAGTTAAGAAAAATAATGCTCCATACATTAAGGCCAGCGAAAATCGCTTTCATTAAATTTGTCTAAAAAATCCTAAACCTTGGCACTTACGAACATTTACAAATAAAAATTGCAATGGATAGATAATAATCATTGAAAATAATTTTCATTGTGTACAATTTTGGATTTACCCTCAAATACTCCGGATGTACCCGTCTATCGTACCTCGATCGTTGAGGGATTGAAATACACTAATATCATTATAGATAAACTCAGTAAATACATAATTTGTCTACAACACTGAAAAAATGCTTAGATACACATTCTCGAGTATTTGATCGCAAATTTTCATTATATCAAAGGTAGAAATTATATTTTTGCTACGAAAAAATTTCTTATCGGGTGCTAGCCCCCAAAAGTATCAAGAAGAAATTGCAATTGCCGAAAAATTCGGGGTTGACAGGAGATTGTCACGATGTCATCATAAATCCGTTTCGGGAGCCTTCAGCTCTTTGGATTGTTCGTAAGTGATGACCTTTTCGACAATAGTACAACCAGCGCCTTGTCCTGTCGTAACTGCGATTTTGTAAGACTTAGCTCTTGAGTTGCGCGACAGAACTCTGTCTCTAGAAGAATGTGACAAAAGCCCTGTTTTGCTCATATCGGATAGGGCCCCTTCATTAGATGTCAAAGCTCTTGCTCTTTCGCTTTGCGCGCCGTGAGAGCGTGTTTTGACCGGCAAGCTCGAGCGATCTTTCGATGGATCGTAAAACAAAGATTCTTTGGGTTGCAATGATTTTGTAGCAGCGACCTCACGATGTCCATACTCTGAAGCAGAATTTCGATTGGAAATAATTTTTGCAGGCGGACGCGACTTCGTTAACGAGGGCGATGCGGTGATGAAACCATCATCCTTTGAATTCAACCGCCCTCTAGGCTGCATACTATTGCGGTCAATCTTTTTCTCGCTTCCAGAAAAACTGCGACTTCGGTGAACCGGGTTCGACTTCTTTGATTTTTCGGGTAGGTTTCCCGTAGTGGAATATGCGCTTAGAAGATCGGAAGCTGTCGTTATGTGAGTGCGAGCATTGCCGCTGTTGGGAGTGCCATCGTCGTTATACCGAACTTCTTTGACGTAATCGACAACCTTTGACGACTGTTCTTCAAATCTACTAGTTTGTATTATTACCTGGTTGTTTATTGCAGCCAAATTTTCGGACGAATCGTCGGACAAGCCGATGCCGGAACTTGTGACCGAGTCCGAGCGCTCCATCGCAGAGGCATCTTTATTAGCTGTAAAGAAAATCATTCTTTGAGGAAATTAAGATAGTGATAAATTAACTAATAGATTCCTGTGTCGTTTAAGACCAATAGTGACTAAAATAAACAATACATTGATGGCGCTGCTCGATATTGGAAATTAGGTGATGAACATGTCGAGTAATGAATAAAAAAAGGAAGTTATCTTTTTAAATAAACCAAAACATGTAAAACACGCCCGTTAGAATGCTTGTTTTCTCACACAAAACGGGCACTATAATGCCCATCCTCCCCCCTTCAACCCACATTTTCTGACTCCGGAGCAGTGAAAGCCATTTTTGCGCTGAAAACGTCATCTAAGCTTGTTGTGAAGCAAGTGCAGACGATGTCGAAATTACACCAGGAGACATACTCTTAACAAATATCAAAGCCAACTCAACTGGGTTTATTGCTAACGAGCTTAAAATGACATTCATCATTGTTTTTAACAGGGACCAATCAAGATTGTTGGAAAATTACTTGGCGCAAAATCTAACGAGATTGATAGAGTTATGGACGATAAAAGTGTCGAAAACCATGATAATTGGATATTAGGCAAAGGATGAAAAAGGAAACCCCTAATAGGTCTTAAACTAAGACATTTAGAGAGACAGACAGTGGGCCTGAGGCGACACAATCTTGAACAATTAAACAGCTAATATTTGAAAAAAGAATCAAGGCTGAGTGATTAAATTCATTTGGAACACAAACGATTTTGGTCGGTAATGGGACTTAGCTGGATAAGAAAACCCACAGGGCAAAGCAATGAGATCTGGAGGCGGAAACACAAAGCAAAAGTATTTCATAGTTACTATATCGTGCACACTCAGCTGCGCTACTGTCTAAAGAAACTTTGTTTAGAAAAGAGACATATTGTCTTGTTTTATTACTACATTTCATTGACGATAAGTATGGGCACCTTTTATTCAGGAATAGCTTCTTAGAAAGTATTACCATTTGATTAAAATATTACAGGATTATTTTTTGTCTCCAAACATCAATGTCCCGATTACGTTCGGTGATATATCTTTATAACGGATGATGTCTTCAATTGAACGGCTTCACAAACCGGGAAATTGAGGAATTGCGAATAGGTACATATTGTAATAGTTTGTTATAGGATTTTCCAAAAAAACTGACAGCTCCCTTAAACATACAACTGACATTGAGAAAGAGAGGGTTCCATAAACCACATATTTTATTGGTGGGAGGGGAGGAGGGCATATATTTCACCCTAAATACCGTAGTGTTTCAGGGACACCAAACGGAGCAAATATTCTAAAGGTTGAACTGGTCGCATTTTTCTTTAGACCATAAACACCGATTTGTAGTTTACCTGGGATGGCTCAAAATTTCACAGTTTTGTAGTACCAATCAGCTGTTTTTCAGTTATTTCTCGTTGTCTTAAAACGAGGAAGGTTGAGACCGTAGATTGCAGGGTTGGAGGTAGGTCAAAATTTTTTTGTAGCTTTGGTTACCAGGGGCGCCTGCACAAGATTAAGGCAGGAGGGGCAGTGCTTGTACTGAGGGCAAATAGTAGAATTTTTTTCAACTGCCATAATAGATTATTTGCGAAGTTTGGGAGGGGGGGGGGGAGTCGGTGATGCAAAATAAAATATTGGCATGGATCTGTTCCAACAATGTAGCTGGGATTTCTGTAATGAAAGGCTCTAAACTTAGGCATAATGTTGAGAATTTTATCGATGCAAGTGGGTATTAAATTGCCTTGTCATTATTAAGAATCTTTGGTTTTACGAAAATCATGGCAATTATAAATGATTGTCAGCTTTGAGAGTGTAAACAGGAAAATAATAATCACAAGGATAAATGTAAATCAAATATTTGTTTACTTCAGCGTGTTTTTTATATCAAGGCAAAAAATAAATATCAGTATCTTGAACCCTCATTCTGATGATGGGCAAAATAGTCAGTATTTTGTAAGACGCCGTTGGTTTTTGAAGTTTATTATCGTCTTCTGAAGAAGAATTTTCCAAAGATCAAAGACCGACAGCAAAAAGGAGGGTTTTTTAAAATTTCTAATGGGAATTAACATAATAAGAGTGGCTAAACAAGTCTTCAATTATCTAAGAGATTCTTTTATCTTTTCTTAGGAGTTAATATTTTAAGGCACTGCGTGCCCCCTATGCCCCTCCTGGAAAAGGGCAGGAGGAGCAGCTGCCCCTGCAGCCCCTCCATGATAGACGCCCCTGTTGATTACATACAGTTAACGTTTCCAAGGAAAGGAAAATTATCATAAGTTCATTTATGCCCCAAACTGGTGATGAAAAACAGCGATAAGACACGACAAATCATGACGTTAGGGTTGTCCTTCGAAAAACACTGAATTTATTTCGTAATAAAAGATGCAATTTTCACTCTAAACCAACTGCAACTTCACTTTTTATGGCTGTCAACCATTGGCTATAAAGACAACCACGGTAAGGCCTAGGCCTACATCCGACTTCCTTTATTGTAAGCAGGGTTGCCGAGTGCTGGCAAGTCCTCAATCCCTAAGTTTCTGAAACTCAATCCAAAATCAATCCGAAATTTTTCAAAAGTAGATTTCTTCGCAGAGGTTATAGAAAAGGATAGATATTCCTCTGCAGCCTTCCCTTCAATATTTGCTGTGCAATGAATTACGCATTATTCAATGTTACGGTTGCTTAATTTGACATAAATAGTCGAGTTAGTTGCCATAAGAATTGAGTTGCATCACAGGATATAAGTATGAAGGCTTAAACTTCGGCATTGTGTATGAAGTATGATGAGCCAGAACAACTGTAGATAACTTTCAAATTTTCAGTCAGGGTGACAGTCTATGTGAAAACTCAAATGAAATCAAATAAAATGTACACTCTCCTCCCAAAAGCATTTGAATGGGAGCCAATAACAAAAACAAAAAGGGAAAGTAAATTGCTTATATTTATAGAATAACAAATAGAATCAATACGAAATTTCAACAAATCATAAAAATAAACTATAAATTACACAAAATTTCACATTCAAGTCAATCGTTCTTCATTTTGTGGCTCATTACACTTTCTTTAGTAGTGCTAAAGGGGTTACATGACCAATCCATGGACCAATTATAACAAATTTTCCATTCTTGTCTGGTAATCCCAAAAAATCCCAATTTTTACTTTGAATCCCAGATAACAATTTCTGATCCCAACAGCTTTTTAATATTCCCAGTTTCGTGAAATCTGGGATTGAATAATTCCAAAAAGCAACCCTGATGTAAGCAGTGAATGAATTTTCTAATCCACTTTGTCCTGTCACAGTTTTAGGCTAAGAAGCTTGTTGAATTCTTATATGGGACCGTAAGTCAAGCGGCTTATCTTTAAATGCGACGGGAAATCTCCAAAGTTGGACTTAAATTGAAAGTACTTACACAAATCCTAAATTGACATCACTATCCTAAACAAAATATTATTTGCAAATGATAATCGTAGCTACCCAGTTTTCCTAGAGCTTTGCAGAAAGGGAGCATAGAGTAGTTCAGTTTGAAAATGGCCCTTAAGGAAAGTATCCGTTGATGTTATTTTCAAAAAATGAACTTTGGAATTCCTTAAATTCTATTAATAGAAGTTTGTACTTACTTGCTCTCAACAAATCGCTTTCCTTCGCAACAAGATCTTCAAATTCTCTGACTCGCGCTCGTAGTTTTGCTCTCTTTTTTTTAAGGTTTATACACAAGTCTGCTCTTTTTGCTGCATCGATAAATTTCACCACCAACCTGCAATACGATAGGACCTAACTTACAAAGCTGTTGTGTGACTTGTTGTACAGTAACAACAAACGGCTAAACAATGCTTTGAAAATTAAATAAAATAATAACAACATTTCTACAGGATTCGTTCTTTGGCCAACACAAGCCTGATAAGCATAAATCAAAGCATTGGCAGCAAGACTGTAGGATTAAGTATGGCAGTATATATATCTAAACTGGCCAATTGACATCTTAATACAATGAAACGAAAGCATTGTAATCGTTTCATTTAAAATTCAACATTTGATTGCAAAAACCTTTGGGAATGATTTTGTTTGAAAGCAAACATCATTGAGTCAATGATAGACATTCATTCTTGCGAGAATAAGTTCAGGATCACGAAATTCTGAATAAAGCACCAAATTCCAAATGCATTGTGAAATGCAAAAGTCAGTGGATCCCATTGAAAAGTCTTTTCTCCAAGAAAACTAGACAGCGATGAAATAAGAAGAAAGTGCTTTATTAAAAGCAAGTTTTTGTTTCTAATGAACAAACAAAGTTTGAGCACAACAACAAAATTGTGCCTTGAAAAACAATTATCTTGCTTAGCCAATTAAAGTCAGACTCACAGTAGCTCGTGTTCCGATCTTTTGATAGAATTCACTAGCTGAGCATGAGTCTTCTTTTCAGCATTTTGACCATCGATCTCTACAATGACGTCACCTACAAAAGGGACCAATCGGAAAACGCTTATAAGTCGTTGAACTTCACTAGGTAAAATACTGACTGAACCAGCTACTGATAAACCAACTCAATGAGATAAATGACTGGAAACTGAAGGATTGAATTGTTTAAGTATATTCAAATAGCGTACCTTCTCGCAAGCCAGCCAGATAAGCTGGACCTTCCTCTTCGACATACCGAACAAACGTTTTGACATCTTTTTCGCCAGTTTTGTCGGGAAAGACATACGTCTGAAGGCAAAAAATAAATAAACACAAATCCGCCGAGGCAAGATGGATCAATAAACCTCAACATAAAAAATTATTGTGAGGTTTTGGAATTCAAACACAAATATATCCACTTGCAAAGAACTAAGGGTAATAGAGAAGATAGCCTGAGCATATAAATTAATAATACGACATGTTTCGCATGTAAAATAGATCAACTTTTTCAAAAAAAAACATGAAAAGTGAGAATACACTAAGGAATTAGTCGATTTCGTAATTAACAGATGTTAAGACTACGAGGAGCATCAGAAAATTTTTGTTTTCAACGTTTCATGATTCAGCTTTTCTATGCTGTTTAAATAATTTGCGGTATCAAAGAATTGTTTATTTTTCCTGTATGTAGCCTTCAAGAAACTAAACAAACTGTTTGTTCATATTTAAGTAGCAGCTGTATGCTGCTTCTAAATTTCAAAGACCAAGGGGAATAGATAAGTCAAGAAAAATTATTTTGATCTATCACTTTTAACTAAGACTCATATAAATGAATGGTTACTATCGATAAAAATTCGTTTCTAAAGATTTTTATGCTTCAAAAGATTTTTTCTAAAGGTTAAGAAATACTAAGCCCGGTTGATCAACATAGTCTACAAATCCTAGCATTGAAGGAGGGCCTAAGGACAAAACATATCGCAGAAGTCTTGAGTACTTTGTCCAAGTAATTTGCAACCATGTCCCTATGAAAATTGTTTAGAACATTCGCTATAACAATGCAATAGGTGTCAAATGAAAAGAGTACAAATAAAGGGGAAAGTTGGAAATGCATGGAAGTGCATGCAAAGATGCCTGAAGGCAAAAAATAAATAAACACAAATTCGCCGAGGCAAGATGAATCAATAAATCTCAACATAAAAAACATTTTTATTTATAAATGGAATAAAAAAAGCTCAGCAGGCAGTGAAATACCTGCAAATAAAATCCATATCCTCTACGTGACGATTTTGATAATTTCAGTGTCCTCCTTTCATTTCTTGGCGGCTTTACATCTGGGCTAAAGAGGAAACAAGCTCAACCGGTTAATCGAAAGTCAAGTTTCAGATCATAAAGGGGCTTTTTTACTGGCTAGTTTTCTTGGTTAAATCATGGTGGGATCAGGTGGTGATAGGTCAAGCAGCAGTGCATATTTTAATGCATTAAAACATGACCGCGCACCAAGGCACAGTTATAAAATTCGTAGCTTAACTGATGCATTTACAAACGCCCTAGTTAACCCAATTCTGACTCTGTAAACCTGCTAATTGCAAAAACGAGAGATTCTACTGTTTCAAGCAATGTTTTTCCGATAAAAATTATTTGCACTACTTATGAAACAAAAATATTGCACAACTCGTAGCACAGTTGACGGGAAGCAGCAAGAAATATTTTCATCTATGCAGTTGTGCTTTCAGCCTTGATTGTGCTGAAGAAACACAGGGAATGTGGCATTAAGCGCTGTATTGAACAGATACCTGCTGATAGTAGGATTATAATATTCTGAAGAAATTTATGATTCATGATCGAGAGCAGGTTGTTAATGAAAATCAGATAAAATTTTATGCCAGCAACAACGACGGACGTGAGAAATATTTTTTCACCACCATATACTCTGATGTTTACATACTTAATTAACTATACTGGTAAATAGAGTAAATGTTTTCAATCTACTTTACACATGCACATGAAATATTTGATATATTATAAACTACACATTCCTTTATACATAATCAAATGTGTTGGGCACGATTTGTCTCGACGAAGTTCAAAAACATACCTCCAGAACCCCACAAAAAACATCTTTCCGCCCACAACTTGAAACTCAAAATCTATGACCTCATCGGCTATTTGAACACTGCATATGCACGACATTTGGACTAGGCTGCAAAAAGTTCATAACGACCAGAGCAGCAGCGTTCAAACGAGCTAGGCCGTGTCATAAAGAATTATACTTGATGGTCTTAGAAGATTGAACAATTGGCAGAACCACGATGAATAAACTTTATAGTAGAAGTGCATTCTTCTTTAGCCAACAGGTCCATTACAAACAAACCTTTAAACAGTCAATCAAAACTGTAAGGACGTGTAAGTAGTGAACAAAATCTGCAGGAGGCCTTTGCGCTTAAGGAGAGTGATGGTTTGAACGGAGAAACACCTGCTACTTGGCTGGGCAAGATTGCAATCATTTTCCAGTGCTCCGAAAAGATATTTCAAATCAACTAAACATGATCTGATCGCTGTGTTTCTGAGATGTCTGTATGGTTATCTAAATCAGCTGAAATTTCTTGACGTATACAAATTGAAAAAATTATTTTGTCTGCTTTGGAGCACATTGATTGCAAACGATAATATCCACCTAATCCTTTTTCGCTCACTGAGGTTCAATATGCCTAACATAATTGAAATCTCGGTGAAATATTCAAAATTTACGACCACGCATCGTAGCATTCGACGATTTTAAAAAATCTTAATAAGACAAATTTGATTATGCAAATTGATGATCCTCTGTCGAAATATTCACACATATTCAACGAACAGTATAAATCAAAGGATTGGCTACATCAATCTTCGAAGAGTTCTGTGTTTAGTTTTGAAGCTGCAGAATACATGGTAAAATGTTGATTGGATAGAAATCATATGCTAGACATGACCAGAAAATTTGACATATGTTCAAAAGTCTGTCTTTAAATCGAAATAGAGAAACGTTCCTTGTGCTGGACCGGGTCATTAATCGAGAAGCTAGAGGCAACATATTTCAATCTTTAAACAATTTTTGTTTTTAATTCCTCTACACTACCAATGAAAACTGGATCTGGATCAGTTTTGATAGGAAAATGCTTCATTTCATGCCGTATTTGTGAGTGGCTTCGTTTCTTATACTCTAAATCGGCGTTTCAGTGTTAGCGGGAAGTTAGCAGGGCATGATGAAGTACCAAGTTTGTTAGAAACTGTATGAAATATACTTACAATTAAAAATCTACAATTCTTAAAAAAAATATAACAAAAGTACAACAATAGTACTATAACAAATATAAATGGCAAAGAGAAAAATACAATAAGTGCTCGTTTCTCATTCAAAGTCAGTTTTGCAAATGGGAAGCGGACCAATTCTTTCTGACATGAATTTTTAAATAATCCTTCGAACAACTGTGGGAATATGCGTCACAAACCAAGATGGTGAGCAAAGAAACTTTGATTTCTAGCTAATTTCGCGCTTAAGTGGGATTTCAAAAAACAGCAAAATGATAGATCACTGCTAAATTGCTAAATAATGAAACATGCAAGAAACCCAAACCGTTGAAAAACCTCTGCTACTGATGGGGTGAAAACAAAGAATTTCGCTTCTGAGTTTAAATCCTAAGAATAGAAAAAGTATGCAGAGCTAGATTGTTTCAATAATTATAGCTTTTCAGTGATTTTAACAAAAACTACACTAATATTTGTTCGCATTCTCACAAATCAAATCTTCATTAGTGCAACGTTGCAAAATAGCGTTACCGACAACATTCAATAATTACTTGTACAAATACATACTGTAAATATGAATGTTGAGTAACACAAAATTATTGAGGATAGATGAAAGCCTCCCTCCCCCTCTTTGCAATTAAATATTACCCAGAAAATCCTTTTCAAAAACAGAAATTTTGCCTTGGAAAGTGGGAACGGAAAGGCCAAAGCAACAAGCAATTTTGCTCGCACCTTCGAATACAAAATGGCTAACTTCTCACACAGACTAACATTATACTACTCCTTTACAGGTGACCTAAAAACTAAGACCTTATTTGTTTTGCCCACGGTACTAATCACTCGCAAGAGAGTTCAAATGGCTTAGAAATGAGTCTGTATACATCAACCAAAATGAAAGTGCTACTGCCGGCCCATCCCCAACATTGCCGAAAACAAAATGTCTGGACAGTACTAGAAGATGGCGAGAGACAATCGTTTTTGGTCTTCTGAAATATGTTCTTAAACATATTCCTGAATAAAACGAAAGTGGTACAAAGCCTGATAAATGTAAGCGTGTAAAAAAAGATGGAGGCTTCTAGCACAAAAGAGACCTCATTCACACTCTTCTTCATAAAAATATATTTAAAAAAGCCTATTGTGCGCTTATATTTTGCTGCATGTTTTTTAAACTCAACATCATCTGCTCATAATGTAAACGGTTTATAAAACACGAAGAAACTTAGTAATTATGAAGACACACTTACAAGATCATTAACTTAGCCCCATGCTTTGATAAGCCTATTCAGTAAGTCTAAAGCAACTTGCTTACCTTGAGACACTAATGATTTAAATAATTAAACAGCAAAATATCATGTCACAAAGAAAGCTTGAAAGATGCAAAGTAGAGCGAAGGTTTATAATTAAGCAATAATGTTTTTCAACCAACTATCAATATCAAATACAAAAAGGCTTGTTTCATACGGAGCTCGCAAAGAGTTTATTTCTAAAGTGGAACATATAGAGGTTCAACAGATTTAAGCTTATTTGATAGTCCTGTACCAATCAAATAAAGATCCATTTGTCAATAGCCAAGCACTGGGACCTGTTGTATCCAAAAAGTTTGACGCAGGTTTGGAAACACCGAAGCGGTTCCAGAAACCAGATGTACGAGAATGGCTCTGTGCTTAGGGTCGCTGTCTACAGATTCAAGGATTTGTGGTTCGGGTCACTGGCATGACCAAACTTTCACTTAAGCCTGACTTCCACTAGGCGAATTCTTTCGCGCGAATCGAATTGATAGACGTAGCGATAGAGTAGGACCATGATCTACTTTCTGCGAATCGAATTTTTTCGCTGCGAAATTTGAGAAAATGACACCACGTATGCTCACATTCGACTAGCGCAAAAGAATTCGCCTAGTGGAAATCAGCCTTTAGAATGAGGATAGTCGTCAACTATCAAGGAAAGACAAATCAAGTCAAATCAAGAGGAAAGACCAGAACACCAGGACACGGCACGCTAAGCATATTATCACAGATTTATAAAACTTGCCTTCGAAGGACGCAAGATAGCAACACATACAAAATACAAACCAGTCCTAGTTGCTGATTCAATGTCGACCATGGTGATGGTGGCTACCCCTAGATTACGCCTCAGCATCATTACCATAATCTACATCGCCTTTGTTTACTACTACAAAGTAAGTTGTAGGTCTAACACATGTAAGCGAAACTGAAATTATTTTCCAGAAAGGAAACTTACCCCTTGAACTTCGGAAAAGACTTAGGTTTGTCCTCGTTTCCACTGACGCTTGCTGACCTCAAGCCAAATTGATCGAGAAGATCAGTACTGGGGTTCTTTTGTGGAGGTAGAGTAGACGAAGATCTACAAGAAAATTTAGGCTCAAAACTTCTATACGGCAAATTTAAGAGCCATGCAATGCAGAACACAACCATTACGATCGCATTATGCTTGTTACATTAAATAGGTAGCAAGAAAACCTGACAGGGGTTTTTTGTGCCAGGGCATATTGGAGAACTGAATAAGAACTGATTTTAATTTACACGAAATAAGGACAACCAAAGATGGTTAATACATTTCATGGTTTTCAATTGAAAAACGAATGCTCGTGAAAACACAGATTGAGCAAAATGCAATAATGAGGGAGCCTGGGAAATCGAAAGAAACTTTACACGAAAAGAGTGGAACGAGTGACGGAGATAGCTTGTGACGGAATGAATAAGACGAAATTTGTAAAAGGTGCTTGGCTAAAGTTGCAACCGACGACTTAAAACGAAGTTTCCATATCATGAATTTTTACAATGTGCGAGAAAAATGGCAGGTTCCTTTTTATTCAAAGAAAAATCTGCTTTCGATGGAAAAATTCCCGAGAAAGTCTTTCCATTGTTCTCTTTAATTACAAAAAACATACGAATCATCAATTGTTAAAAACAAGTTAAAAAATACATATTCGGGATGAAGAAAAATAGTATTAGTTCAATGATTTGCTGATTTTTCTTAAAAATTTCATTCTATGATTAAATTCAAGCAATTAATTTATACAAATGGACTTTCAAATGGAAATTTTCATACGGTTTTCCATCAAAATTTTCGTAATAGAAAACAACAACGTCAGATGAATTTAATAAAGAAAACAGACTATATGGGCTTTACAACCAAAGTCTAGCAAATGCGTATTGTTCCTTAAGATAATACTCTTAATAACACTCCTACGATAATACTTGTAGTCTTAAAAATTTCTTCAGAACAAGGGTGAAAGCTAAGCTTTGTTTCAGTTGACCTCCTAAATTTGCTTGCGTTGGCCTTTCACCCGACGGTATGACTGCAGTATTGCCTAGGCTATGAGAGGATTACAGCACTGGGGTCACAAAAAGGCAAACAAATAAAATTTCCAAAAGGAAATCTGACCTCGAATGAGCCAGAAAAAAGCAAACTTTTTAGCATAAATCATTTCAGCTTACTATAAACTTAAGAAAATTTCAAAATAGACAGCTTGCAAAAATTAGGATTGATAGGGTTGCTTTTACTGACCACAATAAGAATGTTTAATAGTTTACGTTCTGAACAAGATTCACTGTCCACTGATAACAAAATAACACATCTTCAAAAACAATACACACCTTGCTGCGAAACGTTTCTGGATGTTCTTTTCAGAAGTTGCTAAAACGGACATTTTACAAGTTATCAACACAGCTATTGTTGAAAAAACATGAAGAATTGTAGAGGACACTTCCTATCAGAATGCTGTGCGAACACGATAGCAGATGTCAGTGGAAGCGAGGAATGTCCAAAGACAGCCAAATTTTGGAAAAGTTTTTCAAAAGAGAAGGAAACAGCTTCAAAGTAAAGAAAGAAATCAAAGCTCTATTTAACATGGTACGTAATGGAACTTGCAATCAATAGGCAGAGTCTTTACTTCCTGCGCAAAATAAAATCATATGGCTAGAACTGCTCATTTTAGGAGAGTTAGCAACATTTCTTTTTCTTACGAGCATCACTTTGCTTTAAATTGAGCAGGAAACAAACAACATGATAGAGGCAGATGCAAATGGCACAGTATACAAATGCCCTCATCAAAAGCCCTAAAATTGGGAAAGCTAAAATTGGGATACCAATTTACAAGCTTTGTTAAGGCAGAAACGTCGAAAAAATTACTAAAGTCAATCTTTTTAGCAACATAACATTCAATACTCAGCAAAGCCAAGTCATTCAGCTAGCCATTCGGCATTCCATGTGATTTTGACGGACCCATTTTGCTAGCCTGAGTTCAAGACCGTCAAAAAGACGCTTGAAACATACAAAAAGCAGAATTAATTTCAAACACTTTAATGTCTAATTTCAGGCCTTTACGGGAAAAAAACATTTTGGGGCCTTTACCTGGAATGATGCATCATTGTCATCTAGTCATTTGTAGCAGCATTACCACAAAGGAAGCAATATTTTTTCCCGCCTAAACTCAGTAAAACTTGATTGCAGTCTTTTAGAACAAGGTGTTACGCTAACATCTTTTTCGAGGTACCTTTATTGGGTTTAGAAAGTTTCAACGGCAGTTTTGATGAACTAAAACGTTACCAGTGGAGTTTTTTTACTCTATCTGTTGAATAATTGTTTGAATCAAGTCTTACGTGTCTTTACTGTGCTTTATGATGTTTGAGACACCTTTTTCATAACGTGTACTGCCTTTCTATTTTTGAAAACTAGCTTGCATATCACAAAGTTTTAATCCACCAAGTTGCTTAGCGATTCTGCCATATTTTATCCAGAGAGTACCAGTTTCCAGAAATTGAGCCGTTCATTTGAAACAATTCTCAGGAAATAATGACCTGTGTTGACATCGAAATCACAAACAGACATTGCATTTTCGCCTGGCATGTCCCTAATACCCAAACTAGCCCCCTTCCAAGTAAATTGCTAAGGCATTGAAAGACTTTATGTTCCCTAAAATATTGGTAAATGTCCCTCGCTTATGGCGCATTAACGAACTTTGTATTGTGGCATTCAAAAACTGCCTGCCGTTTATAAAATTCTGCCCATGTTTTTAGGGAAATCAGAAAAAAACTGACTTCTTCGTTTATTAGCCCTCTTATTTATTTTTCAGGCCTAGAGACTTTTACTTTGCGTAAATCTATAATTTTAAACGGAAAAACAGATTTCTTGCTTTTCTGAACAGATGCCATCAGTTGTGCTACAAGTATTTGATTTTCGAATGTGGCCTCGTATATCATATAAACTTGAATAAATTTTTTTCCACCAGTCAATTTTGGGTAATTATGAGTATGATATAGAGGAAAAAATTATGCACTTGATGGTAGAAAATTCGAATTAAACCGAATTGACCTTGAATTAAACGCTCCACGACCTAACAAATTGGACAATGTCCAAAGGTAAGCTGACGAGGTGCTTTAGTACGTTATGTTTCCGCTTTTCCGTGCTATTTTCACATTTGCAGCGCCAATGGCTGGTTAGGTTTAAAAAAGTATAAAAAGTGACAACTAACGCGCAACGCATAGCTAACTACAAGTATAACAACACTTATCCATTGAGATAAATTATTACTTGTGAAACAAGTGTAAAAATGACAAAAAATTGACTGTGTACCTGTCTCTGTGACATCAGATGTAGAAAACCTAAAACAAGAACCTTCATAAAAATATCGGTAGATAAAATATAGAAAATGAAGGAGATGCCCATTTTGCAATTCTAATTTAAACCCTGAGATAGGGAAGATAAGTGCACAGTAAAATCTTGGAATTATTTTATTACTACTGGCTACTAAAAAATCAAAACAAGTCTGGCTGAGTGACACAAAATATTAGAGGCGGGGGGGGGGGGGGGTTGGTGCCGCACCCTAATGCCTCCTGTTTCCCGAACTGGGCGATGTTGGATCAAGGTCAAACGTATACCCCAACATTTTATTGTCTCTACTAGCTGGTTCAAAAGTCATATTCTTTGTTTCAGCCAGAGAGTCAAGGCGATGAATTTCATAACTCAAAGCCATTTGACACAGGTAAAAGTGGCTTACAGCCACTCGGAAACCAGCGGTTGGCCAATCAAATTGCGTACAGAGAAAAACATGTGAACAGTTTCCGCTTTTCTGCAAATCGGTGAAATCCTAAAGCAGCACACAGTAGTTTCACGTGAGCAATTTTTTTAATTGGGCTGGTCAATTTGGCCTAAGTTATTTTTGGATTCCCTGTACTTATGCATGTCAAATACTTTTAAACAGCTAGATCGTGGTTGTTTGGGAGCAAGGAACTTTTATATTTGGTCAAGGTTGCAGTCAAACAAGTATCAATATCTGAGAAAATAAAATACGATGACAGAAGTTATTGATTGGTATGACCTTTGTACCAGAACAGCCCGTTACTAAAAACCCTTGGCTAGACGGATTTCGCACCTCCTACTACTCCTATTTCAGAAAGCAAATGAAATTGAAAAATCAGCCTCGAGTAGGATGTTCTTTAATGTGTAAATGATAACGTATGTGGTCTGTTGTAGAATGTATCAATGAATAAACCTAATTGACTAATTAATCAATCCTCTGTCGGCAGGTAAAGAAAACTAAAACATTTATTGCAAGAATTTGAAACATTTTTTTTAAAAAGGAAAACTTTCCCTTTTAAGTTTGCATAATAAGAAGGGACCTCGCTTATTATAATTCTAGAAATGAAAAAAAAACACAAAATCGCTGTTTGAAAATGAAATTCAGAGACCACAACATCAAACTCTCATAATTTTATTTACCCAAACTATATTTTGTACCAAAGTTTCTTGAGTTTTAAAAATATGAGCCTAGAGTTTCTTATACCGGTTTTTTTGTATAAAAAAAGGATGTACGTAAAAGCCGCGTACGAAAGCCACTTAGAATTGTTAAACGAGTTCTGTCTTTTAACGATTTGCTTAGATTTCTTTTTAACGACAGGAAAAAGTGCACTTCATGGAAGTTGTACTGCATCTTAAAAAAGATGGGCTCCTCCACGTTGAGACGTTTTTGAACGCATGTTTGGCGTTAGGCTGATCCGACCAGGCAAATATATATTTCTTAATCTTCTAAGGTCACTCACCTTTTGGCGGACTTGGGTGTTTCACTTTTTCTATCATTATCTAGGAAACAAAGATTGTGTTGATCAGCAACATAATTCGAATACAGCATAGACTCACTAGCTTCCTTTATAAATGAAAGTTTCTTTTTATCGGTGATTTAAACAACCTTTGTTTACTTTTGACCCATATTGAGAATAAAGAAAACACAGTAGGCCGGATAAAAATTGTAATGCTCTGACTTCGGACCGTACATTCCTTTGAATAATTGGAAATGCTTGAATAAATCGCTATAATTTCTGCTTGTAGGAGCAGTAATTTCAAATAAGAGAAAAGGCTACTGTACGATTGAGTACTCATTAAAAAGCTAGTTCGAAAGGGAAAACCTTACCATCTTTCGATTAAGTTCTTAATTTTTGTGGTCAGAATATACGAATTACAGCTCAGTACAAGAACATTGATATGATGTATCAAAATCAACGATGATATGAATAAAAAAGAATTCAATTTTATATTGTGTGAAAAGGCTATTTAAAATATAAAAGTCGTTGATTGATGGAATGAAAGTTTTCTTTTTAGAGTATGACACAGACCATTTTGTCTAACAACCAAACCACGAGTGAAAAAAAAGCTATAGGAAGCACTTTACAGTGAATCCTTAATCTATTGTTGAGAAAACAAGAAACAGTTTACCGAGATACAGACTCCGAGATCGAAAGCTGAGCCTAAGCGATGTTGTTCTCCGTAACCGTGGCCTTGTGTTGCTGTCGCTGCTACTCCTAGGCCTGTCAGTATACAACCGAAGTGCCGCCAAAAATGAGTCGAACTGCTTCATCTTGATATCCAATTAACAGAATCAACTTTATGCGCCTAAACGCATTTGGGATGACATACAGCAATGAGCAGCCCGTATACAGCAAACCGATTATGAAAGTCTTTTGTAAACAGGCATAAGGCGATTGTTATGACTATTTCCTGGTTCGCGTTAGTTTTTTACGTCAAAAGACAGCGAAACAAAGCCAGTCCGGGAAACAGTTTTTTCCAGGACACAAATTTCAACACAAGGAAATCAGGGGTATATTTTAATATAGTTTTTACAAGAAAAACCCGTGTCCTTATAGCTGGCTACTGAAGTAAATCGCAAAGTCGTTACTCACAAAAGAAGCTTTGACTCGTAAAATACGATTTCAGAAAACTTAAACAATAGCTCTGTAGGAATCTTTCGCAAAAGCTAGCTTATACATTTTAGCAATCCGGATATGCATTGCCATTTGATATTTCTAGACGAGGCTATATAAACAAGGGCTTTTGTTGGAGTAGGATACGTTTCCGAACAAATATAGACTCAAATAGGAAGAAAAGCGACGAAGCAATACAGTTTTAAGTAGGCCACCGACAATGAACCATACATCAATGCCTGCACTTTCCCCAAGCCTTATTCTACTTCATACAACCGGCAATTCATAATATAATTGCATAATAAACGTGTCATTTCCTTTCTCAATCAATACACATCGAGTTGGGATAACTGATTTACTTCAATTTACTGGAATTAGGTTTATAATTTGCTTTTTTATTTAAATCTTATGATAATGTTTTATTTCAGTCGGAAGCCTTACTGCCTAAGATAGAATAAAGGCTAACTGTTCCAAAGAAAGGATTATCTTAAATACCAGATTTTGCTACGATAGAATAATTCAGAATTGAATTTAGTCTAGAACATAAAGAAATGTCTGGTGAAAGAACGGATGAATAGGTCTGAAAACATATGATATCATGATGGTTATTATACTCATGATCTTAACAACTACACCGTCCTAACCACTATCACAGCTACTATCTTTATCCCTATCAATTCTTAGAGTGATTTTGATTATGATGATGATTGGTGATTACTAAAATCATCATTGTGTGCTATTTGGGACTATTTTTACACCTTTCTGGCCACTATTACTGCTACTATCATTGATTATGATGATGATGATGATGATGATTGATGATTACTAAATTTATAATTGTATGATTTTAGTATTTTACTCAATTTCCTAGAATGATGATTATTATTATGATGACCATGCTTGTGATTTTAGTGATAATTATTATCATGATTCTGACTGATGGCAGTTATGATATTGAATGGGCATGCTAATTTTCTACCAGCTTCAAGTGTAAAGCCCAACGGATATGAATGTTGCACAAAAAACTTGGCTCTAGAAGCCGCAGAATGGGAAAGTGTGAATTAGAAACACCTGAAATATGACCTCTACTTCCTCTGCTTTTCTTTAAAAAGAAAGGTTAAGATTCTCGATTATATCAGATTGTGTTAGCTTACTTTCGTCGTCTCCTTGGGCTTCTTCTTCACTACTTTCTTCTACAAAACAAAAAAGGACAATGACACAAGGCTGTACCAAATCATACACGGCACAAGCGCTTTTCGTCGATGGGCGCTTCTACGAAGGGAGAATTGTGACGTCAAAGGTAATGGAGCCCTAACTTCCTGCAGGGCCGCCGAGAGGTTTTGGAGACCCTAGGGCAAAACCAAAAGGCGAGACGAAAATGTTTTACTATTTTTTGGTATTATTTTATTACTTTAAATAAATTCCATTTTAAAATGGAATTCATTACTTTCTAAGGCCTCCTTGACGTCGTGGGCCCTGAGAAAATTAGCCCCATTGCTCCCGCTCGGCAGCCCTGACTTCCCGGGCATACCGTACAGTTACATGATAAACATACCCTACTTTACTTCAAAATGGTTTCTTTATCCGGCTACAGTAGCAAAAGAAGTATTAGAGTTAAAACAATTATTCCCGCTGTTATCATGTTGCTGCTAGGGTAATTGCTTCTTGGAAAACGACCTGATTCAATGGGTTATAGAAGTTGCATTTCTGAAATCAAATGCTTCCGCCTAGCGAATGACTCGGTGCAGAAAATGGGCGCGGAAAACGGCGGAAAGAGAGATTTATTTTGCTAATTCCAACATAAATAGCTTAAAAAACCCTGCTCTTTAGAAAGCTCCAAAGGGCCTATGGTGGGTAGAACAGAAAATGTCACGGCTTCACTTGAAGTGTGTCTTGAAGTATGAAGCAAGGGAGGGTTATATATTGTACCTATAGCGAAAGAAAGCCCAGGAATAGTGCTTTAAGGATAGCTAAGCTAGTATCAATTCCTGTACCCTCATGAAAAACAGATATAATGCTCCTTTTTATCAAAATTGACCATTTCATACATATTGTTTCTCCTTCTTGAAATTCTTCAGTGAAAAGGGATGCATAAAGCAAGTCTAGAAGTAGCAGAGCATTTAAACATAGACAATGCTGCTAGATATGGAAAAGAAAAGGGATTGCTTGAAATTTAGCTATAATACCTTTAAAGCCCCCTTTCTTTAAACCATTTTTTATGGAGCCCCCTTCTGTTAACCCGAAAATTGAAATGGGCCTTCTTTAAACTTCAAAGTCGATAGCCAGCGGCAAAAAAATTGTAGAAGTGTAAAGAATTATAAATCTCTAGCAATAAAATCTTTGATATGTATCTAAAAAGTCATATTCTCTAAAAACAACCCTTCCAGAATTAAATAAGGGATCGATTGCGATCGTCACAACGTCAAATAACTTGACAACATCCGGTAACGTTACAACGTCCGGTAAAATATAACGTCCGGTAACTTAAAACGCCCGGTAAGTCAAACTCCTAAAGGAAAGTAAAATTCATTCTAAATATAGGAAGCTAGTTTACAAGTGGTTGCAAAAGGAGTCATTATCAAGGTCAATTTCCCTTTCTTACTTATCTTGTTTTGAAATTAGAAAGCTAAAATCATAACTCAGAATAGAGAAAATCCGATTGAAATCTTACGGTTATACTTGTTTTGTAATAGATAACCATGCATACAAAAAAAATTTGGTTCCTGCAAAGTTGATATTTGCTTAAAAAATAAACAATTGACACAATTTTCAATCCTAACAGTAATGAAGGATTGAAAAGTTGTTGCCTGTTTTAAAGGCAAAAGTAAACAATTGGTGTTGTTGTTTTCTTTTACATCAAAGACACAAAACATCGTAATCTAAGGTGATAAGAACATAATTTCCACGCAGTCTTCGTTTTCACGAAATTGGACTAAGGTACTCGATAGATAAAACGCCAAACAGTGAAGGGGATCTTTCAAGGATTTTTTACTGCTATAGATTTAATTGAAAAGGGCCTTTAGTTACTGTGACGAAGTTAAGAGCAAAAGCAAGAGCGTAAATACGTTTGTAGCAAACAATTTATTAATGTGCACAATCAAAACAACACAATCGAACGGTAAACAGATCATTTAATCCAATTTTAAAACAAGTTTGGGCAAAAAGGCACTTTCTTGTTGGGAATCGTGGGACAAATAGGGCGGGGGGAATTTTCGGACTTGTGGATAATTTCACTAGTTTCTTGTTAAAAGTTCCCACGATGCAATTGATGGTCAAAAAGCCTTCAAACATATATAACCCTTTAATCCGATTTGTTGGTTTGTTAGTAAGCGAAAATAAATAATTCTTGAATTGCTCGCATTACAAAATGTTCGAATAAAAGGGTGATGCACTACCGTAAATCTTCGAATAAGCCCCCACGCTCGAATAAGCCCCCCCTCAAATAAGCCACCACCTAAAAATCATTTTTGCAAATAAGCCCCACAGCAGAATAATATCTTATTTCAAGAAAGCCCCCACAGGACAGTATTACTTTCTTTGACACCAAAAAGCAAAAAAGCAACTTTTATGATGATAAAAAATTATAATATTTATTAGATCTTCACACAGCACTTTGTAACTCTTTTAATGATATCAGTTGTTGTAATTAGAAACTCAAACTGCTCACGTTTATTTTTTTCAATTCAATTGGTCAACAAGAATTTCCACCATTTTCTTGCACTTTGTCATGGCTCTTGCACTTTGAAATGAGTCCCCCCCCCCCCGAATAAGCCCCCAACCAAAAATTAATTTTTGCAAATAAGCCCCAAGGAGCTTATTCGAGGATTTATGGTATTTAATGTAAATTGCTGATTTGACCAAATATGCTATCAGCTGGTGTATCAAAAAATACCCAAATTTGCAATCGCTTTTTGGGCTCGGCCCAGCTTACCCCAGCTTAATCTCATTTCTTCGTAGATAGAACTCATACGCAATAGAAAATAAAACTTCCTTCAAGTTTGTGATGTTCTCAAGTGAAGGGCAAATCTCGATTGCCTGTCCTACTGTAAGCACTTATTGGAGAAAGGAGAGCTATAAGGGATATGTTATTAAAAATCTGAATAAATTTCCCTTTAACCCATTCTATTCCAAAACTATTTTATCCGATCTAAAGTATCATAGATGACTTTTTGCAATGGCAATATTCTTCTTATAAATTATATTATACAAAAACATTTATAATATAAGAAAAAAATACCAAAACGCTGTGAAGATACATATCTTTTTCACACCATAGAATTTCTAGGTTCCAGCATTTTAACAAAACCTTAGATCAAAAAGCACTTTTAAGAAGAAAAATAAAATTTCGCAAGCCACAAAAAACTAACTACGCTCATAATTAGGATAAAAACAACAAACCTTCAGAACTTGAAGAACCAACAATTATGCTGATTCCCTTCTGCCTCAACTTCTTTTTAATCACAAATCCCCCGTCTCTCAGTTTCACAGGCATTACTGGACTGTTATTGGCAGAAGAAGCTGGAGAGTCTTCTCTATCGCCGGGCAAAGAGTAGCTGGCTACTAAATTAGAGCGCCTGTTTTCAGCCACTGTACGATTAGAGCTCGGCAAGATCGCACCCGTGTCATGGTTTTCTCTCTGATAAAATAACGACTCGCGAAAATTCCCAAAGTTCCCTGATAAAGCACGAGGTGAATTGGAACCATTTTCCTTTGCAGGCGACTTAGACAGGGCATCCCCACCAAAAAAGACCGCATCAAAGCTCAACTGGGAGTTTGTTTTCCGCGGGGTTCTGCGTGCATGAGAGGAATAGGGCGCGGGCGATTTCTCTTCCTCAGTACTCGTGTCCTTCATTTGCAATACCGGTGAAGTGGGTGGAGTTTCTTTTACAAACTCTCGACCATTTTCATCCGATGCATCCTTTTTCTCCGATGCATCCTTTTCCTCCTCAGCAGTTTTTATTTCTTCAGGATTGGTCTCGTTGCAGTTAGAGGACGTAAAGTTCTGCAGTTCTTCGACAAGGCTTGTAGGCACAGAGCCTATCATTGGATAGCCTCTGTTTTCAAAGTCTTCCTTGGTAAGATTAGAAAGGTATTTCTTATTCTTATCAAACAGCGTTTCGCCATTATTGTTTTTGTCACTACTTGCTTCTGCGTTAGGCAGTAGACTATTCATTGATGATACCAAATTATCAATTTCAATCCAACATCTCCATCTTTTGTTCGACATCTGACCAAATAACGTCATTTTGGTACCCTTGCAAACGAATGTGTCCCTTCTTCCTGGCACTAGATAATAGTCCTTAGCAGTTGTCCCAGTTAAACTATTATCACAAATTTCACTAGTTTCTGTAAGAAAATAAAAGATTGAAATCAGCCAGTTTTGTAGCTCTCGTTGCTAAAGAATAGGAAAGAAACTGGAGCTGAACCTAAATACAACATTCCTGGCATTGGGGGTATGAAAAATATCGCAGTTTCCCACAAGATTACATTTTAACGCTGATCATTGTGTTTTCTCACGATTCGAATAATTGCCCAATCTTAAACAATTTTAGCTGTCTCTAATCTTTAACATTGCTGAGCAGGCTGACCAAGAGGAGGCAACTGATTCCCTGGAAAATCTCAATAAATAACAATTCGCGTAGTCCATTTGCATATGGGGCTTTATGAGACTGTTAGCAACGGCTGACTATCTTCAAGTCACCACATCATTCTTGCCCTGTGTCAGTTAGCATCAAAATTGGAATATTATGTCAAATTTCTTGGTGAAATTACTTGGTGCTCTTTTTGAGGAATCTCTCATGGAAAAATCACTTGATGGAACTTCACAAAAAATAGCTAGAACTTGTGGCATGCTCTTCAAAATAAGGCAATTTTTACCTATTAGTGTTTTTATTTGTCTTTATGATTACTTTTCTCACCTTTCCTACAGTTTGGTATCGTAGTATCAGGTCTAACCTATGAAGCATATATCAGTCCTGTTTTTGTGTTACTGTAAACATAAATTAAGGCTATTTCACTTCTTTACTCCAATCTTCTCTGACTTGAAGGTTTTAAAAATGCATGGCCTTTTCGGACAAAATAATTACCTTTTGTTTACGATTTTGTCAATAAAATGTTTCCTTTTTGCTTTCATTTCTGATATGAATTAGTTGGATCTGTTCATCTATATCGTACATACTAGCGACCAATAATGACTTTTTTCTAAATCGTTAGTTTGGAGCACAGAGCTCGAATAATATTCCATCGATGTCGTTAAGACTATATCCTTTGAAAATTAGTACATATCATAAAAAGATCCCCGCTCAGCCTCAGGAAAAAACTCTTTATATGTAAATTTTTGAATCTTTTTTCTTTCTGTCGACTTTGTCTTGTATTAGGTTATTAGTTCCGCATAGTATAATTAATTGTCTTTTGTATTTTTTGTATGTATTTATTTTGTATTTTGTATTTATTAACATGTCTAATTAATTTCCATTTTTCTTTTGTATTGTATGTAATGGAATTTTAAAATTACATGAAACCAAAAATTGAAATCATTATTAAATAAAAAAGAGGTCCGGAAAATATAAATTTCTCGAGATTCATTATTTCCAACAGACTAGACTTGAAAGATGCGCGACCAAAAAAATACAAGCAAAAAATAAATGGCTAATGATGCAAGCAATCGGTTATTCACAACGTTGTGAATCCTTACCCTTGCTATAAGACAGTCAAATTTGAAACATTTTTGTAAATTTCTTTTATATATCAAATACCCCTTTCAGTGAATGGAAAATCTCCCAGCAAATATGTGTAGCTATATGCCCTTACAAAATATCACCCGATTCTTGTGATTCTAAACAAAGCAAGCTAACTAAACAAAAATGAGTTGACTTTTAAAAAGTACTTCTAATAGTTAGACTGTTTAGCTAATAGGTTTTTCCTGAAAAAGTCTCTCCTATTTAGCAAAGTGTCTCCTGGTACAACTCAATATTGATACATTTCCGAATTCACGGGTTTAAAAGCATCCTAAGCCCACTGCATATAACTGCTTATCTTAAGAAACATTATAAGGGAGACTTCAAGGCACACGTCTGTATTACGGACAGTTCGCATTGTAAAGAAAATGATCCAAAACTGTTGAATTAATAGATGAGCATGTACGTATAAGGCCTATCTCTTCAAGAAAAAAAGGTTGATTAAGAAAAAAAGCAAAATGTAGAAAGTAGGTCTGCTATTTGAACTTGCATCATTCACAGTCCTTGCATGGCCTGAGCACGGGACAATTTGGGCCTTACTCCTTTTTCAAAACATAGCGACGGGGCCCATACAGCATAAAGGCTAAAAGTCATACCTTCTTCTTGCTCGGCACCAAGGAAGAGCTTCTCTTGCTGCGTTAGCTGCTGTAGCAAGTCAATTCTTTCTTTCAGCTTCTCCTAGAAGTTAACGTGTTCAAAGAGGGGTAACACAAAGCACCAATAAATATTTATACGGGGAAATATCGGCAAAAGCCACAAAAAAGAAAACATCTTGCCTAGAGTTACGTCAACAGATAAACAAAGGCCTTTTACGCAAGATGCTTGCATGACGAGGCGGATCAGAGGATAAGTAGATTTAAACCAATTACTATATTCGCTTATGCATCAAAACCAAATGATGAGAAAAAAGGCAAGATCTTTGAGAGCGGTATTCTGCCGGTGCAGCAAAGACGATTTCTAGAAGCTTCCTTTACCTCAAATATACGAAACTTTATCAGGCGTCAAATACACAGCTGCCCTATAGTCTCCCACAACTATTCCAATACCACTTCACTAGACAAGATGACCATTTACTGGTTCACCTAAGAACCAACTACATTCTTAATACTGATTAACGGAGGAAAAATGAGAGTGCCGCTCGTTTGTTAATGGATGTTATCTAGAGTCAACACTCTAAGCCATTTCAAGCAAAAGCTCATGAGAGATTGAGGAAAAGTAGAACACAAATCATTCCTGCCGAGTAACTGATCCTTCAGCCAACAAATAACTAAACCCCATTGCTTAGAAGAGAATGAGATAAAGGCTTTTGGTGCTCCGAACATCTGAACACAATGACAAAAAGTCGTGGAAAAGGTTACAGGCTCAAAGCAGGGTAACTTACTATGATAATGACATTACAAAACATGGCATAAAGTTTCAATGAAAAAAACATTTTAAGATACGGAATCCAGATCTTGGTAGAAACTAATTTATTTTATACATTCTAATAAGAATTTACAATATAAATTTACTAATTACACCATCTACAAAATACTTAACGACACTACAAGGACGATGCCACTGGGTGCAAAATACTATGACTACTCCGTGGCATCACGAAAAACTTGCAAAAGACAACTTGCATACGAATTACCAGAGGAAAAAACAAAGAACACTATACTCTTTCTCAAATTAGATATCAGGCGAAAAATGTTAGCGAATAGCAGCAGACTAGATGTTTGCTGCAGTTTAAGTAACTTTGCGTTATCACAGAAACTACTCCCCCGTAGTTAGCCATGTAGTCACTAATTAAGCAGCCAAAAGCTAGGAAGCTAAGGAAGAGCAGCTTTCAGAGACCATATTCAAGGCACAAAACGTTGACTCGAAGCATAGATATCTACTTGATTTCGAAGCAAAGATATTCTTGACATTGTAATAACATACAAACAAATCGATAATACGGATAGATTGTTGCCTCCCAAGATACTTTATAGAAAAAGATAAAAAGAGCTTTTGATTAGGAAAAAATTCAACTCGGTACTACAACTTTTGCAGACCTGTACGGGATATAACGAGGAAGTGATCATTCTTGCTAAGAACTAACATCACAATTGCGCTCTCATAAAAACCATAAAAACACGAAGCATCTGTGGGCAATATGGTAGCATGCAGTTTTTTAAATTTTTCTTTTTTATGTCTTCAATGAATAAGACTGTGTATTTCAGGCTATGTTTATAAAACAAGGAAAAACTAACTTCATGATCTGAACCAAGTGAGGCCGTACAAAAATACTAGGGACAGCCAACAAACCGTTGAAAGGAAACAAAATGTTACACATGTGACTAAATTGTTATCCTACCCTTGCTTAAAATCCTCCTTGCTTAAAAAGGTCTGGTTGTACTTCCAATCATTTTTTTCTATAACACCGATTTATGTACCACTGATTTTTGAATATACCCAAACTCTCCATACTGTTACGCTTTGTATTCTAGACTGGCAATATGACGTAAAATGTAATGATAAAACAGGAAAAAAAGACAGGAAAAATAATCTTTGTTCTATTAACATACCTGACAGGAAAACAAACTGCAAAACACACCAAAACTGAAGCATGGGCAGAAATGGGTACCACACTAAGTTTCCATCAAACCCATCTTATTTACAACCAAAACACAGTAGAAGAGGACATAGCTGCACGTGAGCACTCAATTCCGTGCTTTTTAAAAAACTGAGAATTTGCACGGAATGTTTCACAATTGAAGATTCAACCGCAATCGCATTGCTTTAGGAGACAATTCGCGATGGGCCTAGAACAGCAGGCAGCGTAATTTGTCAGTTGCAAGCTCAGAATCGTTCCTATACTACTTGAAAAAATCGTGACATGTGTACAGGAAGCAAAACCCACAAGGAGGAACTAAAGAAAATCTTTAATCCCAGAACGGATAACCTGACCAGATGATAAAGATTTCTACGTCTTGGCCAAAAGATTGAATTATCCACATCAGCATGTTCAATTTCCCTGCTACTGAAGCAAAGCACGTGTGCTGACAAAATGTCAATAAAAGCACAATTCTTCCTCTAATTCATAAATATGATTGCTTAGGAGGAATGAAATGTCCATGCCAGTTTGTTCAAAGCAAGTCGCTTGGGTGTGTCTTATGTGGGAAATAATCTACATCTTTTGAATGCTATTCTATTCTTATCTGAATTTCCATTTTTCACAAAAAATATCTATGCAAAGCAGTCTTTTACTCAATGTACATTTACCCTGTGAATGACAAAATTGTTGCCTGATAGGAAAGGAGAGGTAAGAATTTAGTGGATCAATGAGTACAGGTTTAAAAATATATTTTTGAGTAGCAGGCAGACGCCAAGAAAAAGTCCTATGAAAAATGCAATTTATTCTAACAACTAAATTAAGGAAATCCCTACGAAATTCAAATTTTTTCTTCGAAAGAATGAAAGCTTATATCACCTACATAAACATTATAATTTTTAAATTACGTTTTTTTTGCTAATTAACCCGCCTAGCCATCTGTTTAGGACATCAGATATAAAAAACGATCTTTTTGCAATTTCATTGATCTCACAGTCGTGCTGGGCTTGCAAACCTCATGTAAAGCGCAGCAAATCTTTTACCAAAAATGATGTTACTGTATAGATTATCGTTACTGTTTATTTGTTATTGATGACAAGAGAATGATAACAATATATTCAGGTACGTTCGTTTTTCTAAATAACGTTACAGGAAATACGAGCCCCTTATTACTGTACTTTTGGTATAAGTGTTTTTTATTCCCCTTCCAATATCCTTATAACGAGGCTCATTCTAAAAAGGGGGTTCGGTACTCACCATTTCAATAAAAGGAGAAAATATTACAAATCTATGCAGCTTAACTGATACAGAATTACAATCAGCGTTTGTTTCCAAGCGGAGCTATCTGTTTTCATGCAAATAATGCGTAGTATATAGAAATGAAACGGAAAATTTCAAAGCTCAGGCATCCTTGAAGCTTTTTGAAAGCACGTATTTGTTTTTTATTTTACCTTCTTAAATTAAGTGTCAATTCATCATTGTGAGAATTACATGAAACCTGTCTACAACAATAACTTTCAGGTGTAGTAGGGATTGGTCGTTATACAGCAGTGGTTCCTTCTTAAGCATGTTTACAATACAACCAAAGCATGTGTCGTCGTTTTGAGAAGCTTTAGGCCTCATTAACGCTTTTTGAATATTAAACTTTACCATGGACGTAAATGGTAGCTAAACAAGTACATGTGTCACTCTGCTGGTTACAAGGATAGAAAAGTACCGGATTCCTAAATGTTTTTGACCGAAACCTCAGAAATACAAACACAACGGAAAAAAGATAAAGATACATCCTAGAACACGATATACAGGACACTTTTTAACATGCTAGCAGAGGAAAATACTATTAATCTGTGACCAATTCAGCAGAACTTGTTTTGAAGGTGTTTTCTATATCAGATAAACGTGTTGAACAAAACGGGCTAAAGAGACCTCTCAAAAATGGGCTTTAGGGACCCTCTACTTTACGCACTGTCAGCACAAACAATTTTATGAAATGCAAAACCATCGATAGTCGATGTAAAACTTCTATGATTTTTTAAATCAATAATATCAGTCTTTTTATAACGTGATTGTTTGAAAGAAATTGTCGATGTTTTCCTTTGGACAGCTCTCGGTTTTATAAAAATGTGCATGGGCATAATAAAAATGTGCATGGGCAAGCCAAATGCATTTCCGTGTAATATTTTCAACTTCAAATAATTCATCAATAGTTTTTTGCAATAGTATTGTTTCGGAAAAAAATAGAAATCAAAGCAAAAAAATTGATAAAGAAATAAAAGGAACTTTATGCCAGAAATCTTTATACATCGGGGAACCAGAAAATTGTCATTTTAAACAAGTGGTCGTTTAAAGGGGTGGTTGTTTGGGCAGGTTTATCAACTCAACTACGATTTCTTGATCTAGAAGTTAATTATCAATGTAGTTTAGCAAAGGAAGTTACATATATATTGCTTATTACTACTGCATCACTCTTTAGAACAATGCTCCGGTGACACAAAGAACATTTTATAAAAAATTCTTTCAAAATCGCACCAAAAAGTGGAAGCCTATTTGTATCATGTGTGATGCTTTCGCTTTTTGAGCTCTTTTGAGCATTATAAGCAAAAAGGCTTTTTCAAATCGTTCAGGTGTATCAATAAACTAGAATTATATAGCAAGATACAATAATTAAAGCAATCTAGGAGGATATAGGAACACACCTTCAGAGCTTGGAGTCTGGGATCAACAGCTGATGGCGTGTTTTCATTCATTATCTTTTTGAAATCCTCTTCTGTAAATCGAGAAAAATTGCATTGAATGATGACATGCTTCGTATTTGCATTGACGTCAGAGCTTGTATATGATAGAATTAGTTTCTATAAGTGCACGTAATCATAACACCCACAGATGACTTCGCACAAGTTGAAAAACCAATTACGACGTCGTAAAATGGGAGTCAATTGTTCTTTTATGTGTAAATTCGACCTTTCGGATTTATGCATACAACAAATTGCTTTTCCTGACTAATTCAACTTACGCGAAGTTCCCTGTTATAGAAAGATTAACTCCTTCAGTTATAAATAGTGTACATACCATGTGTAAGATAAAAACGAAAATAGGAACACCGCAATGTACCGAGTGATCAACTGAAAGTGATAACATAAAGAAAACACTGTTTGTATGCTTGCCCCGTGTCCTTAAGACCTACCCATACCTAGCATGTTTTTTTATTAAACACTAATTCTAGGAAGGTGGTCATTTACTGTAAAATTATACGCCTTGAATAAGTGAGAGTTTCATTGTAACTCGGTAATGGGCAATCTCGGCCTTGAAACCATTGAACAAAAATGCAAGGGGTCGATGCAAAAGGAGGCTTAATGAGAGGGGGCAATCTCGAGAGGGATTAATGGAATAATTACGGTTACAAATTAAGTAGCCATAAACAACTGTTTAGTATAAAAATGCAACAAGAGTCATTATTTTGGAAATAGCTTTCGGAATTCTGCAGCAAAACTTCAACAATAAAAAAGTTGGCACGGAAAAAGTCGTCATAGCAGCTGTAATTTTGTCACACTTACACATGACATTTGTATTCATCTTTGGGAGTTTATGTTAGGGAAGTGAATAGATGTTATGTTAGGGATGAAATTTTTCAGAATACGATGTTTAAAAGTTTGCTTTTCTATTACCATTATCATTTAGGTTGTTTTATTAAAATAATAAGGTTTGCTATTTCATTATGATTATCATTTTCTGCTATTTTATCCAACACCTCGAAAAAAACTAGTGTGAAATCTAACTTCAATGCTCTATTTCATGTATTCCACTCGAATCTCGAAAATCTTGTATGCATGTTTCTGAAGCATTTAAAAATAATAGTCAGCTGACAAGTTTTAATTTGCATTAAAGAATGACATGAAATTATTGTTAGATAAAAAATTTCTTCCTTGTAACTCACCGTCTTCAAAGGAATCAATTCCAACTGGAGGCACTTTCCTGCAACCGAAACAAGCATATATATGAATCTGGTTTATCTTTAATATGTAGTCTTATTCATGGCTTTATCGGAGCATCAAAAAATACCAATTTAATCAAAGAAGGTGATGAATTTTAAGAAATCAGCACATTTACTCTCAAAGAACATAATACTTCTCATGAGAGAAATCAAAGCTTTCCAGAATATATAGAGGTGCTAACAGCATATAAAAATCGCATATGATTCACTGGCCATAATCAGTAGCTAAGACAGAATCTGATAGCTTAAAGAGGACTTCAGCATCCGCTTCTGTAGATCGAGGTATATGGATAAATATGGCCAGTTTCCTATGTCAAAAGAGTTTTACTTGTTTTAAGGAATGAGCAATAACAATACATAAATTAGGGCTGTTAAAATAGGAGGGACTATTCTGTAATTTTTAACATGAAAGGCTGTAATTGTAATGCTGTAACATATAAACCGATAAGCCTTAAATATTAATTAACCTTAACAAAGAAATATCGCTTCTTATCTTTTAAGCAAAGATTAATGACCAATGCCCTTTCCTGCTGAAAAAAGTGACCCTATGGTAAGGATTTAGCACAACTCAAGGCACATTTCAAATTCAAGGAATACTATTGCAAATTAGATCCCCAGAGTCCAGAAAATACAAGTTTATATTTTCTCCAGAAACTACCTTTCTCTCCCTTTAGCTCGAAACTACCTTAGAAAAAAATGGAAAAAGGCAGAAATTGGTGTGGCACTCAATTGTTTATTGTTTTAAGGCCTTTTCGGATGTTGATCGGGTAACCGCCAAGTTTTCTGGAATACTATTGATTTCCCACTGTTAATTTTTTCGAATACTATTGTTTCTGGAATATAAGTTTTCTTTCATTTCTCTTATAAATGCTTATTCTCAAACCTCCTCCCTTTTGAGGTTTCTCTCTAACAAACCCCTTCAAAAATGAGATTGATGAAAAACATCCTTCCGATATCTTTCGTTCAATACTGCATGTTTGCCAGAAGCCTACCATTTTTGTCCTGTTGCTATTTAGAGAAATTACATTATCTAGAAAATTGAACTTGCAGTATGCAAGCAATAAAGCCAAACCACTTTGGTTTTCAAGCGGCCAAGAAAAATTTAACAATTTACCCTCACTATAAATGACATTCAATACCCAAGCTATTTCTAAAAGTGCATTAACAGAAAAGAGGGCTTTCTCGACAAAAGAGAATGGCAAGAGGCAAGACAAGTCTTATCAAAGGTTCAAAGTGTCTTTGATCGAAAACCCACAATGTGGCTTGCAGATTTGCGGATTGTTTCACTTTCAGTATATGTGGATTTTTCCAAAATTGGGAATAAAAAAGTAAAAAATCTTACGATTGTTCTTCTGACTTCCACCTTCGCTGCTCTAGTGCAAACTTTGCAAACTGAAGTCGTTCATCTATAGCAGCTGAAAGGAGAGAAAATAAATCTTTAGTAAATTCCAACAGCTCATTTTAGAAGTATCCGGAAACTTGAGTCTTTGGAAATACAATGTCGAAGGGATGACCAAAACATAAGTTCAATTTAACGCACTAAGGTGGTGTCACTTTCTGCATAAAAATAAGCTTTAAACGTAAACCACAAAAGTTTAAAGAAATTCAGACAAAGCTGCAGTCTGTTCTACAAGACATTTGAATAGATCTTAGAATGTGCGGATAGAAATAGACAAAACAGAAAGCAATACATGTTGCCTGGAAAAACAGCTTTCTTCCGTAACACAAATACAAGATATGAATCCCACAACATATATATCCACAGCCTTAAACAAAAGCTACAAAATTCTAACATGCAGACATAATAGAAAAACTTCGTCAAAGCAAAGGAAATCGAAGAATTATAGAGAAATCTATTTCATCAAGATAAAGTCAGCGAGACCCGGAAGTTAACTCAGAAAACAACAGCTGTAACAATGCTGCTGCAAAAGCCCAGACAGCCCAGATAACTGGAGCAAGGATACCTCATGGTAAGCATAGAAACTTACATCGAAAAATTGTAATAACGATTAACTACAGTTTTAAAGCAGTTGATTATCTATATGGTGAAAAAATTGTTGATTCCATAACCCTTGAAATAGGCACTGATTGAAGTATATTCTTTTGTAAATCAACAAGGATCGTTCAATGTTTCGTTACTCGACATACCTTAAAAAACTTTGCAGTATCCCAATCCAAGAAAAACACGAAGCATGCAAATCTTTCCTGAATTCCTTCCATCTGACTAAGGTCACCTGTCCTAAGCCCTCTGACAAAAGACAACTAATATACCGCTTATGATGTCCTGGTAGGAAATATTTTCTTAACCAAAAAGGACAATTTTTTGAAAGCCTGTAATATGAACCAACTGTGCTGGCTGGGAAGAGGTTTAGCGTACTTTCGGCCATTTGTATTGTGGCTCGGGGATTCAATAAAGGAAGCCGACCGAGATCTCGTAGATTTACAGAAGTCGGAATAAGGGCAATATCCTATTAGACAGGTTCAGAAGGAAACACTCTTCGAATAATTATAGCAACCACCGCAAAGAAAAATGAAATATGGCAATCATAAAAACCGATATGTCAAGCCAAAGCATTGAGACGAAGATAACCTCCTTTGAATAAAATTGAGGATGTGAAATTACGGATTAGGATAGCGAAACAATCTACACAAGACCTACATTTCTGTTTAGGCAACGAAATACAAGGCCTTCAAAAAACAGCATGAAAAATGACTGGAGTAAAATAAGCCTTGAAACTTTACAAAAAAGAAGAACCGAATATCAAGAAGGAAGACGCATTTCGAAACTAGGTTCTAGCCCTGCTTAATGTTCTTATAGACAGTGCAAAGTCTATCACTACGCTTCATTATATGAATATAATTGTCTCGAAATTTTTAGTTTCATTGTTGGCTCCAATTTGAAAATAAATACCATGCTTTACAAGCAATTAAAACTTCTAAAATTATTTCATATACTTTCTGTTTGGAAAAATTATTCAATAATAAGATATTCAATAATTTTAAAAGCGCATTTTTGTTGAATTCAAATTAAGAAATAGTTTCAAGAAATCTCGCAAACGTTATTGAATTTGAAATACAAACACATAAAGATTTTTGATGCAAATTTTCAACATAAATCTTTAGCTATCTGCTTAAAAACCTGCTTTATAATTATATATATTTTAAAGGGAGGTTTCTTTTTTTAGCAACAACATACAAGGCCAAAAGGAGTAAAAATATACCAGATTAAAAAACGAAGAACTGAATTGTAAGAAAGAAGACGCATTTCGAAACTAGGTTCTAGCCCTGCTTGATGTTCTCATAGACAGTGCAAAGTCTATCATTACGTTTCATTTTATGCATGTACTTGTCTCAAAATTTATAGCTTCATTGTTGGCTCAAGTTTTAAAATATATGCTATTTTTTATAAAAAGCTAAAACTAATTAAAATCATTATTTCTTCACCTATTTATCAAACTTTTAATACTTTGATGATGAACATATTTACAAAATGTCACTTCAGACTCTATCACGACAGTAGCGACATAAATTTAAATTTATTTTCACTTATCTCACCTTTTCAGACATCACTTAGCGTTCTAAGATCGCAATTTTAAATGCATTGAAAATAAGAAATGCAAAAAGCCATGACTTACCAGCACCGATCTGTTTGGAGAGAAAAAGAAAATATACTGAGAAAGTATCGTCAAAATTTGAATAACTAAAATCGTCGGCAATTTGCCGATTCATGTCAGATAGAACATTTCAGCCAGGAGTTAAATATATTCCTAAACTACAGAGCAGTGACGACGACATCCTGGAATCAAGTCAGCCACTGCCTTAAAGCCTAGGCAATCAGGCATATGCATCTAGTAACGCTCACGAATAGCTAATCAACAATCAATATTAAAAAAGCATAAAAACAACCGAATCTTAATCACATCAAAACAAACGCTGCTTTAAAAGAGATCGCCATTCTTTCTAAGAGAAGATTACACTTAAGCCATTGAAAGACGGGGATATTATCAAAATGCTGGCGTTAATTCACATTTAGAATATGATATAGACAAATGGAATTGGTCTGGATTACGATTTTGCAGTCAGTTCAGTCAGGTTTAGTGACGTTGCATGTGAATATAGAACCTGGAAGACGCCAGGGCAGATGGAAAGCGATTCCTAATGCTAATAAAGAATTAAGCGATGGTAATGTCCGGGTAAATGACATAAAATTTGAGACCAAAAGTTCTAATGGCCAAAAAATAGCAAATAAACCTGTCGAGAATCTGGCTAAAATAAGGTGAAATAAAAAGTAAATGGAACATTCAGTTTTTGAATGAGGCAATTCCAATCCCCAAAAACATGGGATATTACAATTGAGATAAAAAATTACAGACTGCATTTCACTATTATTTCAAAACAAAAACTTGATTTCCTCAGGATAATTTCCTTTGGAAAAACAGGTGAATTTCTCTTAAACAGCTTTTTAAGTGATTACTTCCATGATGCTTTCAGCAAAAATACAAAAGAATCGAAAAATCTCTGGAAATTCAATATAATTTCTCTTTGGTAAAATTAAAGAGGTAGTCAATAATTTAAAAAGCCCATTATTGTTTTATTAAAATGAACTAAAATCTCACAAACTTTAATGAATTTGAAATACAAACACAACTTGGTTTTTTAATGCAAATTTTTGATACTATTGTTAGCTGTCGCGTTAGAAGACTGCTTTTTAACTATATATAATAAAGTGATGATGCAGGGAGGTTTCATTTAAAATACAAAATCAAAAACAACAACAAACTACCTGTTCGTATTCGCTCATTGTGATTGCCTCTTGAATTTTTGACACCCTGAAACAGAGAAAGACTTATTCAAAACTTGACAATTTTATAACAGGTGTCCTTACTGATATGCCTGTTTTTTAACTAAATAAAAGGCTACTGCTGGGATATAAATAAATACTTAATGGTGCCATTTCACAGAGGAAAGAAAACATGAACACATTGAGTTCACTCTGTAAGTAGCACTAAAATATATGAACAGTTTATGGCGGTATAGAACTTGAAACTGGCTGTACAGAACTTGGAAATGAACAGTTTATGGCGGTACAGAACTTGAAAATGGCTTTGAAAAAAGCAAACATTTTATAACATATTGGGTAAAAGCCTTGTTGATCGAAATAGGCCAATCAGAAAAACGCACAGCGATTAGAAACTAAAAAACAAAAACAACAAACCAATGGAAAAGCAAGCAAAACAAAATGAAGGGGGAGCTGCATTTTGGTAACTTATGGTTGTGACCCTATATAGAATTCGAAAGTTATAAGTGATATAGTCAATGCACGGTGAAGGAAGTCAATGAATGATACCACAGAGAAATTACATCAAGCAGACCCTGTTTTAATGTCACGTTGTGCTTGGCACAAATTTTAAGCCAAGCTTTTAGCTGTCTCTGTATATATTTGTTTTAAGTGACCGAAAAAACAACTTTTTAGATGGCAGCTAATTGAGAATAGCTTTAACCGCTACTACTTTTGGTACAATTCACATCTGACAACTACAAAAACTACCTTAAAAACTTGCCAGGCTTTTAAACACTTAAACTATTCAGTAATCAATGTTTAAATATCTACCATTAAGTGAGGTTGCAAGATGACTCTTACAAATTTTCTTACACAAATATTGTTTAGAATTAGAACAATATAGATCATAGATTACTTGGAATGGAAACAAAAGCATATTTTTTTTTAATTCAAATTGCGATTAGCATTACAAATGAAAGTCCTCTTATAACACTTCCTTTCCAATGAGACGGCTTGAAATCAGCTGAAAGGCCTGTAATATTGCAATTGTAAAAAAGTCACATGATTAACAAACTACTGCACATTTGTGATACATAACAAGGAAAAATTATGCGGAAATTCCTGTGCGTTATTACAATTTACATCAATTTTTAAAGCTTATTCGATCGAGGATGCAGGAGTGGAACACTTCGTTAGGCCCTACTTGATAAAGCAGTTTTATGGAAGAAACAAAAGGGCCTAAGAATAGAGCTACGATAAAAAGACACGCAAACACTACCATTCTTACTTCGACTGGCAATACTTAGTCCTTTGGCGCTTCGATCCTTGTGACATGCAGTTTAGCGACATGCTTTGTAACACGACCACGACGATACGAACTCAATAACACGACCACGACGATACGAACTCCATAACACCGTATTGCGTGTAAAAACACTTGATATGCAGAATTGGTTTACTTGATATCCGTCTTTCTTTGCAATGAATTGAACCTGCTGGCTCTTCTGTTAAAAAGGTTATGCGAATGTTTCTAACTGTTACGTAAATATCAGTCGAAAAGCCATCTGTGTAGGGACAACGTCTTCCTGTCGATAAATAATCAAGTCCTTCTGATTTACCAACAAATTTCGAGCTTAACAATTGTTCCTTCCAAATGGACGCCATTCATATCAAACACATTCTCCAGTTAATAATATCCCGTTGTCAAAGAGGCAAAGGCAATACATTTAAAAGCGTATCAGTTCCATTATAACCTTTTTAGCCAAATGATAACATTGAAACAAATATTCTTCGTTTAGAGTCACGATTCTTATCTTGACATAAGTGACGCTCGCTCTTGAATAGAAATCGATCTTTGATGGAATTCTCACAAACTATATTTCAATACAGTCTGATAACAAGGTGGTGTTATCTACGAAAAGGTAGGCAAAGTTCCTTTTACTGTAACCTTCGTACTGTTACCTTTGTACATCTTGATTGTTTCACTTGTGACGTAACGGTTTCCGGAAAGCCAGTCAGGCTCTGTTTCTCAACTATACAATTTTTGAACCTCAACCCTATCTCTACTTTGGTCAATGAAAAATGTAACCGAATTCATGATCGAATGTAACCGTCTTGGTGAATCAACAATGCAAGAACGGATGCTTGTATCAGAGAAGCACCCCTGCTTGCTAATGATCTTGTAAAGCGGCACATGAGACCAACACCATCCAGATCGTTATGATCATCCTACGGACTTCGGCACAAGATAGATCAATGCATCTTCATGATTGAAGATTCCATGACAAAAATCCAAACTTTCTTTTTTAGAAAAGAAGGCTCCTTTGATACACTTTATGCCTCACAATATTTTGAGGCAATATTTTGGCGCGATAAGGAAACAACTCCCTAGGTCTTGGAAAAAGTCAATCAAACAGTCTGCTCCACTAGACTGCCAATAACTTGCAATATCAGTCTTCTTGTCACTGTGCTCAATTTCTAAATAGACTATACAGAAAATCTCTTGATAACACAGACATAATTATGGGAAATTTTCCATGAAGCTCTGTCCTAACACATGTCGAATCAACTCTTATCTAATTATTACTTTCGTTTTTCATCAATCACTCTTTAACATTCATTCAGTATAAATGCAAATTTAGCATCTGGTCACAAAACGGATTACCTTGAGATCAATGGTTATGATCACCTTGCATATATAAGAAACAGTGCGAACGAACTGAACATAGCATAAACAAAAAAGGATAATTAGACAATGACAAAAGCAAACCACAAAGCATAATAAAACCGAATATCATCAGCAAGAGCTTCGTTTTATTGAAAACAAATTTTTTTCTACATATACAGCTCGGTCACCTGCTACTGGATCGCCTTGTTACCAAGACATTTTAAGGAGCTCATAAACAGCTATGTAATTACTTATGTTAAAAGATTAGTATCCTAGAAGAGTGTTGCATGCCCATTCAAGAAATGACTTTATTGAAACAACTTATCTCGTAACTTTAGATTTAGAAAAATCTTTTGAATCGTTATCTCATGTCATTGAAAGCGAGGACATTTTGAAATTAATGACGAAATCAAATAACAAACAGCTATCTTAAAGTCTGCTGTGCTGCAACACAAATTCATTTCCAATTTGTTCAACTCATGTCACTTTTCTTGAAGCATTTTTTTAATAGAATATATATGTTCTGGACGGTTTGAATATACGGTAGGCCTAGTAAGAAACCTACCTTACAAAACTATCTAGAGAAACTAAATGAGCAAAATTAATAGAAAAAAGTGCGAAAAATATCCTACACCGAAGTAATTATTACACCAGTAATACGCTTTCATTTGAACAGCATTTGAACATTTTTTGAAATAGAAAGTATTGCTGTGCAGTATAGTAGGGCATTAATTGAGACAATGCATATATGCAGCAATTTACATGCATTTTGCGTTAAAGATGTGGATTTCTTTAATGAGAAGGTGACTTTACTTTAGTATCACTTATCACTTAACAGCATAACAAAGATCATAGGGGACATCACAATGGAGGGGGGGGGGTTAGAATGGGTTGGAAGTTGCAAAAAGTAATATTATCAAGGGGCTTGGTTAAGGCCGCAGCTATGGATAGTGGCAAGAAATTTGACATGACATTTGAAAGGTCTTGCAAAGTTTTCGGATAAACTTTTAACAATCCAACCTTTTTGAAGTCAAGCTAGTCAGCCCATTCCACCCTTCTATTATATAACGTCGCCCAACCCTACTCACTTTCATCCTTACCATCTAGATCCCCATATGTATGCACACAAAGAAGGACCCCACACCTCTCCCTACTCCCAACTTCTCAGACTAATCCCTTCCATGTGGACGTCAAGCGCTGCCTATACCATTCCTTCAATCTTGATGCTACGCTACAAGAAGGAGTACCCTATTTTGATGACTGCATTTTGTAAAATAATATAAATCTAACGTTTGTCTTTTTCTGCTAGCAACTGTGATCTTTGATGAAGGTTTACGTAGGGTGCCAATGAAAAACGGCCATACCATACAATACAGCTGATGACTTGCTTATATATATACACATTCTTATGTTTTTCTTTCCTGTCCAGCTATTTCCGCTTCAATTTTCAAGGGGTACCCTGTCACCCACAATTAGTCCCTATCTGGGATTAAGTCTATAGCCAGGTGGTTGTTTCTACTCCCTTTATCCATTCGCTTTTTTTCACTCTATGTTCCATCTTTCATTCAACATCTTTCCGTTGTTTTTGTTTCGTTTTCACTTTCTACGTCTTGATATTTACCTGTTCGACTTGATTCTTTAGCGACTTTGGTACCAAGGGTACAGGATTTTATACTTCTTAGTTTGAGCATGTGGATCTTATAAAAATTCTTCATTGATTTTTCGGTTCGGGTTTGAGCCTGTTGAAACAGATTTTCAATGGTTTCTTGGTGGACCTAGCCCAAAGTACGTTAATTATATCAAAAGCATCTTTTTATACTCAGCAATTAAGAACCTTGGTAATCAAGGAAAGAATAACTTACCAGCGAAGCATTGAAGAGTTTGATGGTGCTTGAAATATGTAAGTTGAATTGAGCTTGGAAATTACGAGGCAAAACAAATGTCTTCTAAATATCTTTGTAAAATCAGCTTGCTTCAGCTTCTTATTATAAAGCTAAAAAGCAAAGCATACTCTTAGTTGATTACTCATCAAATTAGTTAAGGAAAAATACAAATTTTACATTTTTGATAAAAAATAAAGATATTTTAGAAAACAAAATTACGAGCATTGAATAAACCAATTTTTATCTATTATTTCAAAAAATGTATTTTGACCTTTACTTGAAATTAAATTTTCCCCAAAATAAAATGCCATGAAGCCAGATGTCTATTTCAGTTGCTCATCAAATCCAAGGCTATGTTTATATAAAGACTGGAAAAATTATAGCTAAAGCAGTATGAATTCATATAAGTTGTTCATGATCATCACATGTTCATTCAAGTAAACATGGCTTTACACAAGAAGTAGCTTCATTTCAGCCCGATGTAAACTAGAGAGAAATACTGAAAAAACTCATCTCAGCATGAGTTTTATTTTGGGACACATGTAAATAGTAATTATGCAATTCTAACATGAGAAGGCCCAACATGGAAATGTGTAATTATACATTATCTTGATTATATTTCTATCAATTTCTACTTAAAAAAATTCTAAAAACTCACAGTTCCTTCTGACATCACATCTACTGTTGCATTTCTCAAATCAAAGAATGCCACCTTTTGCTCATTCTTAAAAGTGATGGAACAGTCACAAAATTAGCAGCATTTTGGTACATAAAGATGTAAAGCAAATCAGAAAAAAAATATTTTGATAGCTACATAGATTGTGCCAATCAAAACATGAAAAGGAGTTCATATTTTAAGCAATATTTAGAAATGGAAATTGACAACAAAAATATATTTTCAAAAAGTGTAAATTAGAGCATTAGATATCATCATCATATATATGCCATGGAAAAATTGATGTCTAAAATGATTTGCTTTATTTTATGTTTAATAATCGACATTAAATTTCTTAATGAACACCAAGATCAAATCCTTCTACAAACAAGAAAGTGGATAAAATTGTGCTACGAGTCTTTACCTCCTGCAAAGGTCCAAGAACTGATGCACTTGGTGGCATAGTTGAACTGTCGGGTGGTAATGACTTGTCCTGTGTTTAGAAAAATTTCAAAAAATCCAAAACAGGGTTTAACCAAAGATAATACATATTTTCAAAATCAAGTCACAAAGCACAAGATAAACAATGAAATTTCAATTTATACTTGGGTATAGTCAAAAAAATTTGTTACCAATCTTAATAAGACCTGAATGGTAAACTAAATATTAAATGAAGACCAAAACTCTTATTATATCTGTTTGGTTCACTAGTCTGCTCAGCCAATGATAAATGAGTAGAAATCACAAGATGAAGAATTTAAAATTAGACACATACAATGAGTCTTATTTTTGTGTGAACCCACTTAAAGAGTTTCAAATGTAATTGAAATGGGAATGGGATATGACTTTTTAAGAATAAAAATAAAAGCTAATAGTAGTACCCTGTAAAGCCTCATAGTGCTTCCACACAGATCAACCCAGTAGGTAAACCATCTTTCAGTCTGCGAAAAATGAAAATAAATATATCATTAAAACATTTATTGGCAAACAATTTGTTTTGAAAATCAGAAGATTGCACAAAAGGTAAAGAAAGAATACTTACATATATATAAATGCAGGAAAAAATGCACAACAAAATGAACAATATTTCTAAGAGTTTCAAGCTGAAGGCTAAAATCAAATGCAGCTTTCCAATAAAGCCAGGTGTGGAGAGAATAGGCTAATTGAATTTGACCTACTAGGTTTTCTCCTTAGAACTATTGGTGCAATCATTGGTCCAACACATGCACTTCCAGCAATGACTGTTTGTGTTATACAACTTTTAGATGTACTATTTAATCAGATTTGATGTAAAAACATTACTTCTGATAATTATTCTCACATTTAACTCTCTAAAAAATATTTGATAAGAAATATATATTATGTCTATGCAATTGACAAACAAATCACAATTATGAGAAGAACATTGTACCTTTATTTTCTTGCCTCTCACAACTGACTGCCAGCAATTCAAGTACCCCCACTGAAAGAAAAATTTAACAAAAAATGATGGAAAATAGATTTAGGGAAAAACTACAACTTGTATTGCTACTTAATTTTGTAATTTCTAAGTAGCCTCAACATTCTTCATCTGAAACTGTCAGTATCAAAATTGGTAAGCTCTTTATAAAAAAAACCTGTTATGTGAAATTTGAAGGTGTTCTTCTTGATTAGATCATGTGGTATGTTTTTTAATGTGATACATTTCTTACCAATTCAACATTTTACTCTGTCTCTACAACATTCTATTTTTGCCCATTCTGCAGTTTAGCATTTTAGTTTGGGGACTTAACTGTGAAACACACACCAACCCAATGTTTTTGTTAAAGAAAAGGGTCATAAGAGCAATTTAATTTGAGCACACTACACCTCCTACTACACAACTCTTTTCTGATTTAAAGATTTTAAAGCTGTGTTATAAAGGGTTAATAGGCTATTTTTCATAATTTTTTTATTTAGTTAATTCTTTTCCTTCATCATTATTGTACACAGCTAGCTACTAAAAAAGATGATTTTCTAACTCAGAAAATAATTGTTCAATATGACCATATATCAGTATGTTACTTTGGAGCTAGATGCTGGAGTAGCATTCCCTTTGATATAAAAAATTAACCCTCTGCTGTTAGCTTTTGTTATAAACTCAAAAGCTTTCCACTTAATAAGTGATTACCAAATTTAATCTTAGAAGAACTGATACTAGAAGGTCACCATATACCCTGGTCATAATCTCAATGAAAAAAATCAAATTTACATGAAATACTATTAAAATAGGGGGTGCTCTTTCTTCTATTAGTTTGGCTACTGAGAGTGCTCCTCCTTAAGAAACTTCACTCCACACAACTTATCTTGTTCTATTTGTTTCCTTGAATGTAAGTAGTAAAAATTACACTTAACAATGTTTGATTTTTTTGTAACATAGTTGTACTTTCTTGTAGTTTAGCTATTTTATCTGTTGAATTATTGTGATAAATTGTATGTAGTGGAACTTAAAAAATGAAGATGAGCTGAACTGATTAAAATATTACAGTTCCTTCAGTCAATAACACACTCAGCCTATGTCATGATTTTCCCTGTAAGAAACTTCAGTTACAAAAAAGTTAACTGACTGACAGAAAAATAATAGCTACAAGGGTAGTTTATAGGGAAAAGTGAGTGAATTTTTTTATTTTGATGAGTTAAATCAGACATACATGTATTCCACTAAGGTCAAGTGTATCCATATTCTCTCTGCTCCCCTGATGCTGTGGACAGAAACATGAAGAAACATTATAAAGGTTTGACCATCAGGTAGGCAATAACCTTAGAAATAATTACCCTTGCAATTTTTCTTCTTAAATTGTATTAAACAGTTTTAACTTTTACTTTAAGACTGAAATTTGACTTTTATTTTCTAAACTTGATTATATAAAGCCCTCCGAAAACCAGCTTATCTTGGCTTGAGGCATTCGTATTTGAAGAAATGAAAATGAAATGAAATTCTAATTTGCCTCTGCCCTGACTAGCAAAACAAACAAGTTATCAATTATGCATGTCAACAACTGAATTGACAACATCTGTGAGTGTAAAGAACGTATTAAATACAATTCAGATACCTTTTTTAAAGTGCCACTGGTTGGAATGCCCAGTCCTAGCTCTTTTGAGTCGTCCATCAACAGAAACAATTGATTTCCCTCAATTTCGCTTCCTTGATCCTGATCGAATAAATCACTTGCTCTCAGTTAACATGCTAAATCCTCGTAAAGGCTTGTTTCTGTTGTAAACAAGCTGGGCTAACTTTAATAATAAAACCTATGGTTCTAAAAAAATAATGTTTACATTAAGAAACAACATACATACGTTAGGGTGATCTCCTTTTAGCGGCCTTGTTTTGCCAAAAGTTAAGAATCCTGAGATTTGGGCACAGCTTCAACATTTGTGTACAACATCGACCAAAACAGAAGACAGAAGGACATTGGCTAATGACAAGCAACCACGAGATTGTTTAAGCGGAAGAACCTTTGCTACAAACTGGATGTTTCTATCAAAATAAAACAGATCATCTAACAACTGCGTTGTCATGCATGACTAACAAATACTTCAAGTTTTTCGGTTTTGTGTTCACGCGATTTGGCAATCTCGTGAGGCCTTCCTCGTTACAAATGATATGCGCACATAACCATCAAAACCGCTCAGAACCCTGCGCAGTTCACGGTCGCATGGATTTTACAAGCTATTTGGGAACACAACAAACTCAAACTCAAACAACAATAGTTAAACTAAAGCAAAACATACGAAATTACAGTCTAATTTTAAAAACATAAAAACCCTATGTACAAACTAAACTACAGTCTACAGTCTAAGAGAGTTTTTAAATCCATTCCTTTCATACTTCTTTCAAATTGGTTAATTGTTCGCACCTCCTTGACGGCTCTCTTTCCACAAATATGAGCCAATTACTGTGCAAAATTTCGGGATAATGAAGTTGAAATTGCTGTTTTTTAATTAATAAAGAGTTTCTCTTATTGTAAACATGTAGTTTACATAGATAGTGTGGAACAAAACCGTTTTTAATTTTGTACATTAATATGGCATTGTCTTTAAGTACATGTAGTCGTCCATTCTTGGAAAATACCTGGTTTGCTTTCATAAGGAGTTGTGCATATGGCAGGGCCTCCGACTAAGGGGAGGGCATAAGGGGGCATGCCCCAATTTTTTGCAAGACAGTAGTGCTTTCAAAGAATATTTTGTTATGAGTGATAAATTTCCCTTGCCCCCCCCCCCCCTTTCAGCCTGTGTCGGAGCCAATGCTTGGCGTGAACTTAATTATAATAAACAACTCTCAGGGTTTGCTCTTGGAGTCTATCTTTTATCTTTCTTTTATCTGCTACTTTGCATATATGCCAGACTGTACTGCAGTATTTCATGTTAGAGAGTTTGCTAACTTGTGGATTCTTAGTTTTTGTTAGTGAAATGTAAGGGTTATTCCTTTTTGCTCAAAAGGTGAGTGAGTATGAAAAGCCTCTTCTAACAATGCCTTTGCAAGAAAAAGAAAAAACTCTTAATTGGGAAAGGATTGGAGGGAAGAAAGAGGAAACTGAGGAAGTAGAAGATGTGTTTTTCGTAACTGTCCTGAGCAGTAGCGGAGCCACGGGAGGGGGTGGGATGGGGGGAACCACTTTTTCAGAAAGTCGGCCCTTCAAACCTGATGAGAAAACTTCGGGGGGGGGGGGGATATGTATGTTATCTAGATTCCTCGGGAGACAAGAGTTGTATCTTTCGGAAGAAAATGTTTCAATCAGGGGGAAAGGGCGTGGTATAAAAGGGCGTGGTCCCTGACATACCTTTCCCCTCCATTTATCTCAGGCTGAAGCCGCCACTGGTCCTGAGTCATCGTATTGTCAAGTATGTGCCATGTTCCCCAGAAAAACACAAGGGTTTTGGAGCTAAGGAGTGGACAAGAATGGACTTCAGTTGGATTAAGTGGGATGGTGTCTTGCTTTGGAATGATACCATTTAAACTAGAGATGAGGATGACAGTGCATGCACTGTGTAAAAAGATTTATGCTGAGGGCGAAATGCATTGATCAGATCGGGCCCCGTCAAGTAGAATCTGTATTGTCCACTATTGCTCAGCCTTTGTTAAATAGATTGAGACCATTCTTCTTCCTGGCCATTTTGGTTTTTTCCCATAACTTGCACTTAGAAGCTGATTTTGTTATCACTTGGGGGTTACAAGTCCGAGTGGAATTGTCATAGGGATTATTATGATGAAAGAAGTGTTTTGTTCTCCCAGATTAATGCTGAATAATCCTGTAATTGTTCTTTATTCTCATGCACTCCCCTATATTTCCCTTTATTCTTCTATATACCCCTATATTTGCAGCAGCCCTTTTCCATTTCCCTACACTGGGTACCAGAGAGACTCCTCCGCCTTTCTACTACTACCTTCTACCTCAGCCATTCTTAAACTCCGGCCTGCGGCCCAACTCAGTCCCGCAACAAAATTTAATCCGGCCCGCCGATTGCTTGTTACCTCGAAAATATTTTTTGCCAATATTTTAAAAATTTGGAATTCGATTTATCTTTGGTTTTCTTTTGTCCCCGCTGATATTTTTTCTATGTAGTAAATATTAAATGCGTTCCATGGACAGTTATTAGTCCAAAAGGGAGTACCGAAATAGAAAATGCTTTATTTAATCATTTTGTCGTTTTATAGCGTTTCCTTTTTCATATCAACAGATAAAACTATGGAACCTAGCTATGAAAACCTTTAGAAAATTTCCGAGAATTTTCTCCCGTGAAAATCTATTTGAGGTGTTGTTTCTGGCCATTCCTAGATTTTGCGGCCTTAACTAAATACATCCACAAACATAAGATTTTGGTCTTTTTTTAAAATACGCTGTGCAGTCCATCGACCTGATTTCAGGCGCTTCAAATCGATCCCAACAAGAGGCTAACAAAGATTAACGTTCTAGCCTAGAAATAGCATAGAAAAATCTTCTGACTCAGCCTGGTACAAGAAAGATAAAGACCCAACCCTTTATGAAAATTATTTTTTGGGTTTATGCGAAGGTAGATAAGATAGGCAGGCACGAAATAAAAGGCCTGTCTATCTTATCACTAACTTAGCCTGGTAAAAATGAGATCCGAGTTTCATTTTGAGCAGCCTAGCCTACACAAGGTATGTAAAAGTTGAAAACCAACTGACCCATTATGAAAATCTATATGTTTTTCTGGCCCGACACTTAAAATTACTTAAGAGCCCCTGTTCTATCTCATGCGTTCAAATTTATGTGGCTCGGGGATCCAGGGTACCATTCCCATTCAATGTTTTAGTAATAGCTGAAACATGGTCGGCATTAACAGCCACAAAAATAATAAACAGCGTTATCAAAGACCCTTTTTTGAGAAACTGCTTTTTCATCTAAAAATGCATTTTTTTACAATTATCCTTTCATCCCTTATATTATGAAGCTGTTCCGTCTAGAAGAATAACTTTGAAGATATAAAACAAAATTATCCGGCAGTGTTCATAAATATTTATTAGGTTTCAAAATACACATGCAGCTCTTTACTACAGAGAAATGAAATAATAAACAAGTAAGAAAGAAATTTAACAAATCTATGCACAAAATACCATGGATACATTAACCCGATTAAATAGTTTGAAAATTACACAAAATACCGTCAACAAAAAAATAAAATCTTCTAATAAGATTTATCTGGGAAACTGAGTATGGAGTTAAGTACGTTATGCCATTAAAGTAAGAATTTTCACTGATTATTTTTGCCTAATTGCGCGATTATAGACTTCAATATTTGGAGAAGATTTAAGATACATGTACTTGACAAACAGTCATATGTACTTGAAATATATTGGTAAATTCAAGTTATCTTTATTTAATGATGCTTTACTTTGGAAAAAATACAAAGTATGGAACATTTAAGGGTCCTGTTAGATTTAACATGGACAATTGGACGGTAATAATGTGACTATGTTTATTTGCAATGATGTCAAATCTGTGAAGACCAATAACGACGATAACTTTCAGCTCCACCATATTACAACCTAACCAAGACAACAAGCAAGTTCCCAAGCATTTTTCTTTATGCTTTATTGAAATCTACAAAAGTTAGTTTATTTTCAAAATATAATCGTGGCTGCCTAGGTCTATTTAGATTCGTGGCTGCTTAGGTCTGCTTAGCTGTAAGGTACTTCACCTCGTAGCGATTGATCTCACAGTCTTCGTCAATTTCACTCCCGGAAAGATCATCATCTTTGGCTAACAAATGCATCTTGCCTTCATTCAGTTTACCGTTGTATTCATAAATAGACTTTTCTTCCTTGTTAGGGTTCTGGCAACAGTTGCAGCGTGCCGTCGTCTTGTATATCGCATGAATAATTAGGTACAATGCTGCAAACATGAGCACTATAAGCAGCACTATTACCCCGGTTAGGCCTTCTTTTGATTCGACAATAGTTTTCGCAATATGCCAGTACCATTTGTCTTGCTTTGCAACAACCTTTGACAAGATGTAGCCAGAACCATCATGGGCGTTGGCTTCTAGACGCAGTGCAGAGCAGAGCATTTGATAGACGTCAACGTTGTCTATTGCGTTGACACGAACACCTTTGCGAAAAGCAGGCCCATGCGCAATCAGTAACGTGTGTGTGTCTTCGTTTGCAGCTGAAAATCCAATTGCGGCTTTGCGTTTGTCATTTGGGTCAGTAATACGACGCGGAAGGATTCGCCAGCCTTTTTCTGCGACGAGTATCAACGGCATAGTACGATTTTCATGATTGAAATGAAAGGCAACAGGCAAAATGTCCTTTGTGTAAACTTTCATGTTTGGATGAGAAGAATTCCACTTCTCAAACAGAACATGAGTATTTGAAGTCTCTTTTGGCGAAACTGTCATTATCGGCCCATCATCGATTACGTCATATGCACTTTTTAAACCCTCATCCAAATAGTCTTCAAGATATATGCTTTTGTCCTTTTCAAAATCAATAGGGGCTGCATCGCTTGTAATTACAATATTTACTTTCCTTATTTGCTTGAAGATGGCTAATTCCTTGTAAAGCTTTGCTACAAGGCCTTCAATTCTGTGCAACGCAGCATCCATTTCTTTTGAACTGACGCCATGGTTTAAGGCAGTCAGGAAAGGTTCTTCGAAATAAACGGCGATAAAATTTGGGGAATGTTTCATAGACAACCACTCGATAACTTTTGCCATTCGTTCTTCCATTGACATGAACGGTTTTTTGACTGCATAATTCAGTGTCAGCTCTTTAAAAGGATCTGATAGCTTCGTTCCGTTCCTGTCGAGAGAGCACGTGAGTGATGCTTGTGCACCTTCAAACTTTACATCATGTCCAGGCCAAAAGCATAACGCACTCTTTGAGTCATTTCTTTTTTCGTTCGAAATCCATATTGGCTCTACAGCATTCCACCATCTCTCGTCTTTATTTGTCACATCAAAATTTGCATTATCACGCAGGTCTCGCATCTTGTTTGCCATCATGGCGTGCTTTTCTGGATGTCGCCCAGTGACAAGCGTGTGCAAAACAGGTAGAGTTTCTGTCTGAAATGCACTTCTCTTGTGAATTGCAAGAACCCCATCGGCAGCAAGCTGTTGAAGAGTCGGCATACGATTGGCATGCAAGGCATCTGATGGAAGACCACTAAATGCAAGTAGGATGACAGTTTTCTCTTCATTAGGATCTTTTGTGTAATCAAGAATAAAAGCACATGAATCGAGGCATAAAAAAATGAGCAGGCAACTAAATTGAATGAAATTCATTTCGCTGCTTTCTTTCTTGTCGAAGCTTCTTACAAGATTTCCACTTTCACTTTTACGATTATTGCGTCACTGTAACGCTTACCTTTCGAAGTCGTATTCAACAGTTTCTTTTTGTCATCTGTGATCTTCTCGCACACGAAGGATTCAAATCACAAACACTCTTTTCAAATTTTCTGGCGATTAAGACGATACTTGGTCAGAAGGCGATTCTTTAACTCTCCAAACTTTTAACCTTCCGCTAAATTAACAGCGCCTTCAGTTAGCTCCTTTTACCTTACAAGCAAGACGCACAGGAGAAACACGAGTCTTCAACTGGTGTCAAACAAAGAAACTCTGGTGCTCATTTTTATATTCAATTGTTTGGTTCCTTCACCATGTGTTATTCAAGAACTGATCATTCGATAAACTTTACTCTGTACAGCTGTGCTTATTGATCTTTTCATATGCTAATTCTTATCTTATTGTTATACTTGTGTCTAGGTAACACTTATACCTGCAATAAAATGCACAGGACATAAACTAATCCTAAAGTTGGATAATTGATCCAAGACATAAACCATACATAAATCCTAGATTATCGGTACTAGTAAAGTGGCAGATTTGATACAAAAACTGCCTCAGGAAAATAGAAAGTGATATAAATTTTAATAATGTATCCATTTAGCCATTTCTATTAGGTTGTTATGAACATCTTTCTTGAACAAGCGATGATTTCATCGGCTAAGACGACCTAATAATATTATTTTCATTTCCGTATGCAAATTATATTTAAACAAGTGATCAACCCGTCATTCTTTTTTCTCTTTAACAAAATTGTTTGGATGCGAAACACAAAAAAGTGAAAAATCCTGATTACATATCAGCAGGTTGTTTAGCAAACAAAAACTACTAAGCGACTCAAAAATGACGTATTATCGAAGCCCTTAATTAATGTTGTTGTTGCTGCCAAGAGAAAGTCTTTTGTCGAATGACCAATCCCTTTCTTTTTTCTTCCTTTATCTACTAAGGTTGGTACAATTTCTAGCTATGCATACTCAAGCTAATTATCTTGCTCAGTCGTAAATGCGCATGATCATTCTAGAGACATTTCTGTTTGTTGGTTTCTTCGACAAGCAGACGGATTGGCAAGCAGTTGTCCTGCTGTTCCAGAGGAACCTTTCTGTACTACTATCCATACTTATAAACATAAAAGTAAAGTATCACTGTTATAAAAAGTTATTGCCGTGTTGTCTTAAAATATGGTTTATGTATTGGGAGTGACAATACGTATTTTATTTCTATACAGCTATCTTATATTTTAAAATTCATTAGAAAAGCATCCCTTTGAATTAAGGTAAAACACTTACTATAATATATGTTTATTAATCTACATTAACAATTATACACCTCACTATTATTATGTACCATTCAGTTTGCTAGTCCAGGCACCGCGGAGCGTTGAGAAAAGTGGGGGTCTAAAAAAAGTGGGGGGGGGCTAAAACCTTATAAAGAAAGGCTTTACTGGTAGTTAAGTACTAAATATTGGGCTAAAGTCCCCCCAGCCCCCTGCTCCGCGGTGCCTGTAATCTGTTAATTGACACTTTATACCATAATTTGAAGTCAGAATTCGATCTAATGATATACTCAGGAGGCTGTTATCGTTTTAATAAAACAACAAAAGTATGAGTTTAAAAGTAAAACAACATTTGCATCCTCCCTTATAAACACCGATTCTTCTATAAAATCCTCTCTTTCTTATAAACACCGTTCTCTTTCACTCAAAAATGGAACTTAACCTGTCCTTCTAACATTCGCCGAATATATGTCAGAGCAGCGCCTTATTAGAAAATTTCAGAAAATTTAAGACGAATCAACCGACCTTAACAAAGAAGAAGCAGAAGAAGTTCATCTTGTAGATAAAGATAACAAGGAAGATTTAGCATTCATATCTAGATCTTAAAATGTAACATTGAGTCTTATGTTTTGGATTCTTAATAATTGTCATGCTATTGATAGATCGTTTGTTCATAAGTCAGAAAACCAACAGTGTATACCTTGATTTTCTCTTGACCTTGCCAAATTTTGAAAATGCCAATAAATTATTAATTAGAGTCTTTATCTTTATGGTCTAAATATTTAACTTTTCATAAACAGTTAGTATTTAATAAACATTTAAAGGTTTATGCGAAATCCACTTATCCAAAAGCAACTAGCCAATCTATCAAAAATTTTCTCTAGTAAATCGCAAGTGCAATTATTACATTTTTTAATAATTGCTAAACACTATCTAATTGATGCTGCATTGAATTCAAACTTTAATAGCCTTGAAAATGTTAATTGAGGAAATATGGGGAAATAAGCCAAGAAAAATCAATATCATCATCTCTACAAAACAAGAGCAGGCATAAAATCTTGTTGGGGAAAGCCAGTAATCAATTCTGGCTATAAAACTTGAAGAGCAGCCTTTGTGAGGTTCATGAATATATAAGCAGGTTTTCCTCCAGCAGATTTATGCCCTTGTCCTATCACAAAAATTCTGTAAATTATACCATTTTCTTAGAGAAATCCATCTTGGCTGAATCTCTTTGCCCTAAGTGTAAATCTCTCAATAGAGAGAGAAAATGTTATTTCAGGAGAAGACAGTAAAAAGGAACCATTGATAGAGTTAAGATGTGAAAAGTCACACTGTAAAAATGTAACAGAAAATAGGGACCCGCAATGCACAGAACACCTGTATGTTTGATATTTTGTTAGGCATCTAGCCCCCTACAAAACTTTATAGATAGAACTTCCAGTTTCATCTATCGCCTACGCAAGAGAAAGGAATGGTCACCGACAGAATCTCTAGTTCAACATAGACGTTTAAATATTGGTGCTATTTTAGATGTTTTCATACTTGGCTTGCCATAAAAATATGGTACTCTCATCCTCATCCCTTCTAGATAACACAACAATCAACAGGCAAAAATATCAGGTATAACAAATGCAAAATTTTTATAAAAAAAAAAATGAAAACAGACAACATTGTACAAAGATTTTGCTCCAAATATCACTTCCAAATATTAATTACAGCAGGATCATCATCAGTAATTAGATCCAGTTCTTGGTACTTTATAATCTCTCCCATAGCATAGACTTTACAAATAATTTCATCACAACTAAAACTACCATTGAGCCATTTCGCAATACTTTTTAATTTTTGTGATGATGGTTCTGACACGAGTACTGGATACTTATTCAGTTTGTGGATAAATTTTTTTATCAGCCCATATTGTACAAGAAATTTTGGGTTGATTTTTAAACTTGCCATATCATGCCTTGCACATAAGTCCTTGACTGTCATTCCAGGACCCATCTCACAATATAACATAAATACATCTCTAAACTTAGGTAGATCTGATTGCATTTCTGCAACCCATTTTACACACTCTGCTTGTAGATCCTTGTCTCTTGACAATCTGTTTACCTCAGGGTTCAGAGCATACATATTTGAATACAAAAACACTGGTATCAGAGTTATTACACCATAATAAAGCAGGGTCTGAACTGCAGATCGAACTAGATTCAAGTCCATATCAGCAACTGCTGCAATTTTTTGAACATGATTTGACTCATTTATATACTGCAGAATCTGTTGTGACGTGAGGTCCCAATGTGATGCTAAGATTTCTCTCCTGTCCCATAATAACAATGGGACATGATGATCCAGAACTGTTGGTGGATGCCCTTGGCCTTGAACTAGCTTGAGAAATATTGTATTTGAGCCATCTATCTTTATATTGCATTCACCTTTACGATTTAACCCGTAAAGAATATCAGCCAACATATTTTTAATTTTGCCTCTAGTTTCTTCTTGGGAAATGAATCCGGATTCTTGTTCCAAAGTTTTCAAATAGGCTACCAATTTTTTGACGACTCCTTCGTACTTGTCCGTACAAATTTCTTCGTCCAGCACAAAACACACATTAAATAGTAAAGCATTTCTCGAGTATTTCGCGCTCTCGATTCCAACTGAACATCCTAGAAACTTATAGTCGAATGCTTTCAGTGTGATAAGACAACCTTGAAGTTGCGGCTTTGTAATTACATAAGGTGCAATACTATCAAACTGGCCTTTGCTTATAAATTCTTCAGGCGATTGGTAAGCAATTCTTGGCCCAGCTATGGGATCAAATTCACAAAACATAATGCATTCTATCTCTGACTTGTCCTCCATTTTCCTGTCCTGCTCTTGAGTAGCAGCAACAACCACAATTTCAATGAAGAAATGATTTCTCGTGAAAAGATGATGGCTGCCAGGTAAACACGATAAGATGTCAGGTACATAATTATTGTCGATATTCTGTTATTTCTTTACAATATTGCTTTCATTATGATAGTTCAAATATTGTACGGAAAAATTCAATTTATGTAGAAGCAAAACTGAAAATGGCTATTTTTATCTTAACTTTTTATCTTACTTCAAGTTCAGGATTAGATTATGTTAAATAATTCCAAATTTTAAAGCAATTCACGTCAAAGCAGCATATGGCTAAATAGCTCGTATGAATGTTGCAATTGTATGTCTTGCAGCCTTTTAATCTGTGAAAACACTATATTGTTACTTCTTCATTGTTTCACAACAAGTAATTGTCTTAAGAATTAATTTTTTGAATCTAATCTTAAATTAGGTATATTTTTTCAACCATGCAATGCAGCAGCAGTCTATATGAAAGTAATTAGTATATACCTGACTCATTCGCCAGACAGGGCACTGGGCTTGACAAACTTTTGGTTCTCTCAGTGTCCTGGGCAAGGCAACTTACTGCAAATTTGATTAGATAGAGAATATTGTACCTCTTATCAATATATCTTTGGTTAAAATGTATTCGATATATCAATAAATTGTAAATATGTTGCTGAATTACGTGAATTTGAATTTGAAAAATTTTACTGAGAAGTGTGGAAGCAGCTATTTTTCAGTTGACTAATTTATTTTAAACAGGATCTATATATGCATCACTTCCTACAGTTTTCAGAGAGGATTTGCAGGTATTACTAAACAATTTTAGATATCCTAAAAGTAGAACAGAAATGTTGAATAAGAAGCTTGCAAGAACTTAGTTAATTTCACTTTTTAATTTCATACCTACACTCTATTGCTCATAGTTTTTCACATTGACTGTCAGCCCACAAAATAACTGCTACTTGTCATCATGCTTGGAAATTGAAACAAATGTTGGGAAACTGAAAAGATACATTTTTACTTTACTACTTTATTTTAAAATTTTGTAACTTTTTATGTAATTATACTATATATTAAGGTTTTCTTGATGCAATCTGCTTTTTCCAGCCATTGAATACATCTTCTGAAAAGTATGTAAAGAAGTTTTTCAAAAAGACTCTAAATGATACAGAGTCAAGACTATTGACACAGCTGAAGCTAAAACCTTTAATGGTGGACCCTATTCATAAAGTCAAAATAAAGCGGAAAAATAGAGTTACTGGTCTTTCTGCAAAGCAGAAAAGGGAACTTGGTTTGTGTAAAATACCAGAAGAAAATCAAAAGTGAGTTCTGATTTATCAAATTTTAAACTTCCATATGATCATTTTAAATCTTAGCATAAATGATTCATTTGAAGTTTGAATATTTGTTTTGCTGGTTTTTAGTCAGTATTCTTTTATTATGGCAGATAATCAAATTTTTCCTGCAAAACCTCTAAAATACAGTAGCGAACTCCCCAACATCAGTCTCTACTTCAGAATACATTGTGTATCTGTAATAAGTTTTCTTGTTGTATTATAATTGTTGTGATAATTACTTTATATATTGGTCATCAGGTATATATTTTTTGCTCTCTATGGTATCATCCTTGTAGTGTAGTAAGGCAATTTATTCCATATTAGCTGGTACTTATCCTAAATTTCACTTAACCTTTCAACAAAGTATTTCTAAGCCAAAAAAAATTCAGCAAAAGCTCCCCAACATAATGTGTGAGTTCCCAATAGAATTGCCTGGTGCAGGCCAGTTTTTCATGGACTAGGGAGGTTGCAACTCTGGCAACTTTGCCCTTCGATAAAAGCTTAAACTTAAGGACAGTCAAGCAAGCGGATTGAAACTCTCCATGACAAATTTAACTACATTTGAACTTGAATCTACAATCTTTTCCTGACACTCTTATGAATTTGCCCAATTTTTACTTTATCTATTAAGTCTACTGATAGCTATATAAAATTTTGAAACAACAGTTGGCTAATGGTCGCTTTGAGCATGAAACTGGGAGTTGAAAAATTTAGAACTATCTTGTTATTTACACTTTAAAGCATGCATAGCACTGCCTATATGACATAGAGCACTTTATGACAAACCAGTTATACAGTAATTTCTATTAAAATTGAAAAAAAATTGGTATTTAAACAATAAAACATTTTTTCAGTGTATTTTTTGTACTTTACATACATATGCAGTCACTAAGATTGAATTTTTATCAATTTTTCTTAGATATGAAAACTATGTTCCATTGAATAAACTTTGGAATGACTATATGAAGTCTTTACTTGGACTGAGAGGACAGTCTTCACTGTAAGTAGTCATCAAGTTTTATTTGGCTTGATATCAGCTTGTCCAGTGCTTGATAAATATTTGAATTTTAAAGGACTTGCTCATTTGCAATAAAACACATAAGTCCAATGTTTTCATCAAGTAATAAAAAGTGATATGCTCTACCAAGACCTAGCTTAAAGAGATAAACATTGAAGGACTGAGATACCGTGGGGGCTGGGGGGGGGGGGCATAAGAGCAAACAGAGTGTTATAGTGTAACTGCTACGCCAAATGTCATTCCAGAGTAAAAGCAAGATGTTAAGAATTCTGTATATTTTGTAATAGCATCTGGCTTTCTAACTAATCAATTTTTTACCATCTAACTAAGAAAAAGCTACGACTGTTCTTTTTTTATATCGAACTTCATTTCCAGGAAAATGAAATCAATCGAGAACAAATTACTGAAGGCAGATTATCATGGCGCATTACTCAAAGGTAAATTGAACCTTAAACATTTTGCTTCAGGTCTTATTTTGATTTCAGACTCTGTAATAATTGAATTTTCAAATTTTCGAAATTCTGTAAAAAGGGTTAGTTTCTTAGCTTTGATGGAAGCAAATAAGTTAATTACTGTTGGTAGACTGTGTTTAAAGTATTTTCTTGACACTTAATAGTGTCAAGAAAATACTTTAAAATACTTTCTTGACATCATGTGCTTTATTTTGTCCTAATTGGCTCTTATCAAAGAGTTTTAACTCTGACATTTGCCTTCTTCAGACGACAGGCCGCATGCATACTGTCAAAGACCAAACAAATAAGTACTCAACCAAATTGAGAAATTGCTTTTGAAAATAGCGAACATTAAAAACACACTAAATATAGATAAAATATCATGCAAATAAAAAAAAGCCCTATACAGATAATCCAAGAACACATCAAAAATAGAACTGGAATACGGCTTGGTTAGAGTAGTTTTTTCATCTTCAGAAACATACCCCCAAATGTTTTATGAAAGTAAGTTTCTGATCCTAAGACGAATCAAAACAGGTGCAGCTCTCTAAGCCAACCTGTTTATAATTTCATTATAAATAAAAACCAAATTTGTTTGTTATATCTGCTGTCCCAAGATTTTTTCCCAGCTTTTTATATATTTATCACCAGGATACGCCCCAAATATCCTTCGTTCATCCTATTGAGTTATTTGGCTCAGTTTAATGAGCAATGGTTCTGAAGCTATTGCAACTGGGCAGCACCATTGTGGAAAATATTGCTACTGAATTGCCTGGGCATTGTGAATTGAACTTTTAAACTAACGACTCTGATGTACGTTTGTAAGCTGAAACAAAAGAAACCACTCTTTTTGCTATGGTAAAATCTTTAGGGCTGGAGGGGGGCTGAAGTCAAAGCTTTTCGTTTATTTCCTCAAGTCTTTTGGCTCAGTGGAATTACCTGTTGATTCTTGACGCAGCATTTTGGAGTTCCTTTCCGACTAAGTGCAGTAATTACAAATTGGCACCACAATTGTGGAAAATAGGTATATTTTTTGTTTTTAGTAACGAAGTCAAAGTGCTCAACGTATATTGGGAGCTGTGGTATCGTTCTAAAAGAAACAAAAAACATGTTTTACATTGTGACACAAAGCGATAAAGTTAGTGGTGAGTTAAAAGTTCAATAGATTTTCTTGACAATTTAATCATAATTTGGATTTTTAGTTTACTTACTAGCTTCAAAAATCAGAAATTTCAACTACATGTACTAATTTAATTGATATGTAATTCGTATGTTCACTTGACTTTACACCAGTAGTTAAGTATAAGCATCTGTGAGGATTTTTAAGAGTTGGAATCTAGTCGCATGGTTTCAAAGAGATAATTTTTGTCAGTTAAAATTGTAGAAGTTTGGAAAGAAGGAAAATGTAGGAAAGAATTGGTGTTCTACGTAGATTTATATGGTTTTGCTTGAAACTTCTATCCTAAGTAAAGGAATAAAACAAAAAAGCGGAAACTGTTTCCTCTGTGTAAAATTAAGTGTTTTCGTAGTCAGAGTGTTTTTCTTTAAATTCACATCGCGTCGCTTCGTTATGCAACCATTTTTACAAGAGAGATAAAAGCTCTATAGAGAACGTCGTTGCCGTAGATTGTTCCGATAGCATTATCCAGCATCTCGGGTCGAGATTTCGTTTTGAAGATAAATAGGCCGACATAGAAGACTGAATAATCAGCAAACATTATTTAAAAATAAAAGTATACAAGAAGAGTTAAATTATGCATAATACAATATATGCAGAAATTCCACTCTACATTTTAAATCAGTTTTTATGTTCATGCGATTTTAGTGCATATATTCGACAAATAAAAGTCCTAACAATTTGATATTGGTATTTCGAGCAATGAAATTTTCCCGTGCATACAAATATTTGTCTTTCCTCCATAGGGGTGCCAAAAAACAACAATTTGTTTGAATTTGAACTCGAGGGATACACCTTTGAGATATTTGGAAACAACTTTAGATTTCGCCCTGGTGAGAGATCAGCCCGAAAATTTAAAACAAGACCGTTTCTTTCATTTTAAGGCAATGCCTGGCAACTGTTTTTAGCGACAAAGAAGCATGTGTTTCTGTGACGAGTGTCAAAATTAACATCAAAGTAGAGAAGATTCTTGATTTTATCACATCGCATATGAATTTTTACATAACATGTTGTAGCATACTTTGACTGGTGAAAAGACGATCATATATGCTAGTCCTACTGGTTTGAACATCGAGTGTCGCATCATGTCTTCAGACAAAAGAGGTAAAAAAGCATACCATTATTTCACCTGCTTTCAAAAACTATTCCTCATTGCACATTTAAAATTTAGGACCATATAATAGCGTTTACAAAAACTGAAGTTTGTTGTGTTAACACAATAATTCTACCTAAGAAAATTGTTTATTTCTCATGTTTCTGAGTTCGTTTGTTTGATTTAATACACATCACTTCTTTGTATCAAAACACCACATGCAAAGATTAACTTCATTACTTGAAAAAAATGATGATGAAAAGTTGAAATTTGCACTTCTTTGTTGTAGCAGACATAATTTTATTCTTTGTTTTATACACCCATGTCTTAAACTCTTATTTTAGTGATAAAAATTATTGCTACGAAAAAGGCAAGCTAAGCTGGCTTAAGAGTTTGGCGTAACCAATGTGTTTGTTTCCCTTTCAACAATCGTTTTCAAATCAACGGTATTATCTAATACACATTTTCAAATGTTGCATTGAAAATGTTCAAAACACAAAAAGGTGCCAACTAGATCGAGTATACGTTTGCAGGGAGCAGGGAAGTTTGACCACCGCTAACAAATTCGAATAGACCTTAATATCCTCATTTGAATGCGTTTCATTCATGTACCGTGTTTGTTGATATTTTTAATATCCTCATTTGAAGAATTTCGTTGATGTACCATGTTTTGTTTGTTGATATTTCTAGTGCATAAACATAATTTTTCTAAGCACAAACCCATTCATTATGTTTTTTCATTCATCATGGCAAATAGTAGCTAAATTGAAAAACTGTAATCAAGCTATGGTGTGAATTTAATTAGTAGCTCCCGCTGACTGTTCCTATTAGAGAGAGACACTGCGTTTAAATGTTACCTAGTCGCAGTTATTTTTCGGTAAATACTACCAATTAACTTTTTGAATGACTTTTAAGCGATAAAGGTGTCTTCATTCATTCCGTTTCTGTCAATTCAGAATTGAACGTTGTGTAACGCCATCAGCTTCTGTCTATAAAACGTTGTGATGTAATGCCAGTCAGTTTTTCCAAAGAACATAGTTGTATCTCCAATTTAACCTTGCTCTTTTTGTAATGATCGTTTCAATGCTGATTCAAATTCAAAGTTTCAAGAATAAAATCTCTAGAATCTCTTTTGGCAAGTGGGAGCGAAGATCAGTGCCATCGTCCCCTTGTCTTACTGACAAGTGTTTAGTTAGAAATTGTTTACGTGCGAAAATTTACTGATGATAATGATAAATTGATGGTGACTGTCTTCATGGATTTTCGTGGTAGAAAATAGTAAGATGAAATTCAATCTAAATCATCAACAAAAATATTCAAAGCTTGTGATATATTGTTGTTTCTTAGCAGAAGAAAATAAGTTGTTTCGTATATTTTTTAAAGTTTTCCCCCGTTTTATATCAGTATTTCCTGGTGCATAGAATCATTTAGTCTAGTTCGGTCGTTTCTTACGCAAGCCTAATAGAAAAAAAGCAGCTGCAGCAATGTTATGGTAAGGATTGCTCAGTAATTAGAGGCTAGATAGCTTACTAGAGTTGATAATTGTAATTTTAGAAAAAAGAATTTATGTGAAACAGAGATAAAGGACCATTTGTTAGGCAAATTTTTTGGGTTTTATCGTTTTTTAGGTTGATTTTCCGATACTACGACTGTGCATGTCCTTCCTTAATTGGAAAGTACCCTTGAAGTTAGTAGAAAGCGGTTATTAGTTCTACACGGGCTACAACTTTCACGGGCTACAACTGATTGATATTTGCAGATATTTTGTTTCTGTCAAACTTTAAGGTCAACTTTGTCCAATTCATGTTATTCGAACTTTCGAATTTTAAAAAATACACAGGGTTGATATAAGTACTTTAATTCTCCTAATATATCGAATTGATGAGACTGCCAAGTTCGAGGAATCCCCCCCCCCCCCCCCCCCGGGCCGTACAGTCAATACAGTGCATATTTATGGAGTCATGTACTGGACATAATGGGTACCTTTGTTTCGTCGAGGCGATTGTCTGATCGTCAAGGCGGGTTTCTCTTCGTCGAGCCGGGTTTCACTTCGTCGAGCCGGTCCTGTATCGTGAAAGCTGTCGTTTCGTTGAGGCGGGTTGCTCTTCGTCGAGGCAGGATTGATTAATCGTGACAGGTCTCGCTTCGTCAAGGCAAATGTCACTTCGTCGAGGCATTGAATTGAATTGATCACTTTCATGTAGTCGAGTCGTGTTCCAGGGGGTAGTGGTTTATAGCAAGGAGCGGAAAGAGGCGGGGAGAGGAGGAGAAGTGTCTTGAAACTGTTTTTGCTAAGCAACTGGATGCCCATCTGAGCAGCTGGAAGCCATGGGGAAGTGGTGTTTACGTCCTTCTAAACACGAAAGAATATTTCGAAGAAGCATGAAGTTTGTTCAAAGGGGCCCAGCTCAAGATTTTCTAAAGAGTCCCAGGAGCTTCAGTTTCTCCCAGTAGCTTTCAATTAATTTTTTTCACAAATATCCCAATCACACTCTTTTTTAAAGAACAAGTAAATTCAAATTTAGACAGGCTTTCATTAATTTTTTCCCAACTTTTAGGCCTGGATTGTTCTTAATTTGTCAAAAAAGTAGTGCAAACGTATTGGCTTAACATTATATTTTATGGAATCAAAATATGGAACGAGATTTCATTGGAACTTCGTACTAAGTCAAGCAAGATATCATTTCAGAAATAGCTTCGCAACTAGCTTCTAGACCCCCACTTTTCTCAGCGCTCCGCGGTGCCTGAAGTATACTTAGTAATATTTTTAAAATGACCTTAGATTAAGCTTGGTAACTATGTATTTACCAAAGAGGACAAAAAGAAAATTGAAAATGGGAATTTGGTCAAAAAAGTCGGTCATTGTCCCAGTGGTAGCCTAAACTTCGCTCCTAAGGTCTATTTGTTGGCAGGAAATTTCTCAAAAACTGTAGAAGGAAAGAAACTGCTGGAAAGAAAATTTTTGAGAATACGAGAAATGAAGAATTTTTGTTGCATAATCTTTAATTTTGAGTTGACAGTGATTCTTTTGATATTTCAATGTTGATGGTTTTGTTAAAGCTTGATTCCTTTTTTTCTCCTTCATTTAATCGTGGCCCCTTTTTGGGCCCTTTTTAGATCTAAAAAGCTTGATTACGAGCTACAATTAAAAGGTTACTCCAAAATTTGCAAAAACTTTCCTGTGTCATGTCAACATTACAATAGACGAAATTATGCGACACATTGATAAAAGAAAGCTTGAAAATATTTCCTCGGATTTTCCTTCAGTCATAATCCATTTTTAGATACTGTTTCTGGCCATACCTTAAATATCATATTTCTAAAATTTTTCTTGCCGCCAACCATGGTGGCCTTTCCTAAAACCTTTCATAACCTTGATTTTTTGGCCCCTCCACTTTCAAATACGTTTCGCCGGCCCTTTTCTGTTACTGTTTGAAATGTAAAACTCGAATTCATATCATCTTGTATTACAAGTTGTAATGTTTAATACCTAGAACGTTGTCATTATAAATCATTTTCACTTTTACTATAATCATGTTACTGTATTCACTGAAATTTAGGGCTTGGACTCGAACACCGTTTCGGTGCCTCCCAACATCCTAGGCAACTTTTTTGTTAACATGTTAATTGCTGTTAAAATTCGTAATTATCTTTATCGACACTTTATTGACTTCTAATTTTGTAAAATGGTTGCTTAATATTAAATGAATTTGAGTTTGGAGCTTGAGAAAAAGAAGCTTCAGTTGACGCAATTCATAAAACGTTTACAAGAATGAGGTGAAATTGAGAGTTGATCCGCTTGTTACTGGGTTGTTCAGCTTGTTCCTCGTTTTAGAATTGGCGGCCTTAAACTGTGTTACGCCACTGACTCACCCTCCACAACACTTTCTTTTTCAAGAACATTGTTCGTAAAAATATTCAAACTCAGAATCATCCAATTTATAAGAATATTTTAAGAATATTGCTCAGTCTCAGCATATTTGTGCCTAATTTTTCAGCATTTGCCTGTTTTGAGATTTTCATAGCATTGAATCGTAGAACTGACCTATCTATATCTCGTTTTTCAAAAAGCGTGGTTTTTATAGAGTGAGGGGGGCCCCAGTGAGCGTTTTGAAAAAGCGTTTATATACAAATTTTAAAAAATAAGAATACCGACAGAATATATTCAGGGTCAAAACAAAAATATCATAAGAATATCGAAGCTGGAAATATTTTATAACATTCTCATTAAAAAAGGGTGTATCACCATCTCGTAATTATTTCTTTATTTACAGCATGCTAAAAACGAATATGGCTATTTTACAGCTTACTTAGGCCGACTACTAGGTACTTTTAATAAAAACGAAACTACCTAACGGAAATTGTAACGAACATGATAAAAGCAAATTGAGGACCAATTATTTATCAGTCAGTATGTATTCTGTGTCCCGGCTTACAATAGGAAGTATCTGTCATCAAAATACATAACGTTTCTTGCAAGATAGGCATCAAGCTGCTCATCAAAAATAATTTCAAGACACTTCTCCTCCTCTCCCCGCCTCTTTCCGCTCCTTGCTATAAACCACTACCCCCTGGAACACGACTCGACTACATGAAAGTGATCAATTCAATTCAATGCCTCGACGAAGTGACATTTGCCTTGACGAAGCGAGACCTGTCACGATTAATCAATCCTGCCTCGACGAAGAGCAACCCGCCTCAACGAAACGACAGCTTTCACGATACAGGACCGGCTCGACGAAGTGAAACCCGGCTCGACGAAGAGAAACCCGCCTCGACGATCAGACAACCGCCTCGACGAAACAAAGGTACCCATTATGTCCAGTACATGACTCCATACATATTGGTGATTACATTTACAACTGCTATGCAAGTTTTAATTATATGGATAAAGGCTATAAGATGGATATTTAGAAATAACGGTGACAAAATCCACGATTTTTGAAAAAATTGTATAAATTGAACATTTTACGATCCCCTAGAGAGTTCGAATTTTACCGAGTTGAGTTGACTTTAGTACAGAAGCATTGCAAGTCTGAAATTATGCTCAGTACAGATTAGTTTCGAATTCTGTCATATGATGGGATAAAGTAGTTACAAGCAAATTTTCTACAACAAAACTGAACATTTACATCATTTACCTTCTTACCGCATTTTGTATCCTGTACATAACACCTGACCTCGTGGATACATTTTGCCTTCTGTTACTACTGACCTGCAAAAAATTAGAAAACTCGTTAGCATATTTCTAACCTAGTTTTGTCTCTGACAAGGTTTTTAGGATGCCTTAATTGCATGTCTAGGTCACTTTTCTCGCCCATGAAAGATGTTCCATCAGACAGAATGGCAGAAAGAGGGGAAAATAAATAAGAGACTCTTATAATTTTATACTAGTTTGCGTGCTGTACAATATAATAGAGTATAAACAGGAAGATTAGTAAAATTTTACTAGGAAAAAAAAACGAATTAGCTAACGACATTTCGAGCTTAGCCTGTTATTTTATTGTTCGTTGGTCAACCAAAAATAAACTCATATTTTTCAACATATACCGATGACACGCGTTAGTAATGAATTAGGCACATGCTGGACATAAGATTGGACCAATATCTAACTACGTCCCTTTACAACTTCCAAACACACCCACTCTAGCAATCCCTTTCGGCACTACTGTCTGGTATACTTAAGAACAAAAACTTCATCAAAGTGTCCAACGTGGAATACAATTTTACTGTATGAACACTATGTATTTTATGCCTAAAATGGGTTCTTTTTTACAATAACCAGGATGCTTTTATTGAGTTCCTTTGAAGAAAATTTGAAAAATGCATAATGTGACAGATGCAAATCGCTTGAGAAATTATTTGTCAAATTTATGACACGTTTATGGCTCGTGACTTGCTACGTGTAAATAATGTCACTGTAAATGAAAGAAATATGGGCAATAATTATGGGCAATAAGGACTAGACATTGTGGTAGGATGAGGCAGGCATTAGAACAGTAATACATTCGTTATTGCCTTAAAATTTGTAACAAATGAGGGTCATATATATTTGTTAATTCTGAAAAAGATCTATTGCACTTTAAATGCAACTGTAACTGCAAAGGCATGGCGGGCTGCTAAATTGAGCTCGTAAGTTAAAACGTTGGAATCTTTTTTAAGCCGAAATATTTTTGTTATGTAAGCACATCTTGGAGAAAGTCATCTTGCGTAATTTTTCTTCTTTCAATTTATTGTGCCTAATATTCGATTTTTTAGTTCAAAATTACGGCCAGTGGTGACCGCCAATAGCTTTAATTTAGCAGCTAAATTTGGAAAAGGCTAATTAATAATGTATATCTAGTATAAGCGTAAGCGTATAAAACCACCTGTAGTTTGCAGAAAATCGGATAACCTTATGATCTTATGTGCGGCAGCTCGAGCTCATTGTCTGCTGAACAGATCTTGGTAGCTCACATTGGAAATGCCGAAAGATAGCAGGATGTTATGAATTTTTTGGCTCGGACTAAAAATAACAATGCAGACAAGATAACTGATATGTCAGTATGATTCATAATGACAGATTACGCGCGCAAAACATGCTCCAGTTAAACTCGGTTTCGTAGTATTGACATAGCAGCTATATTCAGCTCATCGATAGTGTAGCAAGTTAACAGCCTTATCTATTAAAGTTAGATTGAAGGACAGAATACGTTTTTGCGCTAGCAGATGGTTGCCAGTTGACGTCAAAGATTATATAAAGTGCATTTGATCGAAAATAGCTGCAACTCTTAAGGTTTGGCTTTTGCAAAAAAGTCCTGCAGAGCAAATTAAAGGGGAAGTGTCGAGTTCTTATAATAAGAAGCATTGGATGCACCTAAAGGTAAGAGCGTTATAAATTTATGGGTATTCGGAAATAATAAAAGTTGTAAACTGGAATCAAGGGTCCAGATACTTTATGAAATACCTTCATAACTTGCATCACTGAGAAATTACAATTAGAAGACTGATTTATCTTGACTCGCTTGAAAAACATAACTTATAGAATTAAAAGCAAAAACAATTGATAATTGATTGTCAAGGGATTTTTCTGGGCCCTTTAAGTCCAAAGTATACTTTTTTGCAATTAGTTAAATCAAGGTTTCTTAACCTTCAATGCTTTTTAAATTACAGTTTCAATTTTTGATGCCTGTAGAAAGTTTTTTGCTCTGCGTCACTATTGCTTAAAATTTGTCAAGAAATAGGGCATAAAATAGCTGGGATTCATAAGTGATACAGAATTTGAAATGTACACTTGATGGAGTTTATAATTGGACGTGCAGATCAACTACTTTAGACTCACAAAGGTGAAGAATACATATTCATTTTCATATACTCAAAACCTTCACAGAAATATGTGTTTTCCTGTATTCTGTATCTTAAAGCATTGTGATGCTTTGCAGCCAGTTTTTGAAATTCTAGCCGGTGTGCATTAGAAAAAGGAAAGAGTTTTTTCCAACATCTTTTTGGATGGTTGTCCAATTTGGAATATCATTTGAAAAAGAATATAACGAGCTTCATTATACTTATTTTGCACTTAACTTCTCATATTTGCATTAGTTTAGAAGAAACAGGAAAAGTGACGAAAGATCAATAAGAACATCTTCTGCTACTTCTGTTTCAAATACTGAGATCTAGCCACTCTTATTGCGATCTGGTTATTAACATTGTGGTTTGGCTATTACTATTAAGGTCTTCTTACAAAAAAATGAGATCCAGTGGCTAGCATTGAGATCTAACACCTAAAATCTAAGCTTTGTTATAAATATGGAGATCCAGTGACTAGTATTGCGATCTAGCTACTAATATTGCAATAATATTGAGTCCTAGCTATCAATATCAAGATTAACCTGCTAGCATTGAGATATTTTTACAAATATTGAGATCCAGTCACTAGTTTTGATACCTAGCTACTAATATTGAGGTCTAATTATCAATATTGAGATCCAGTCAATAGTTTTGAAACCTAGCCAATAATAACGAGGTCTAGCAATTATTATTGAGATTTAACTGCTAACATGGAGGTCTTGTTACAAATATTGAAATCAAGTCCAGTAATTGGTATTGAAATCTAGCTATTCACATTGAAATTTGGATGTTAATGATGACTATTGTCCACCCTCAAACAATATGCAATACGCAGTATGAAGCAATATGCAAAAATATATTCCAAAAATCTGCATCGATATCAATGAACCTACAGCTCGTAAAACTGCTCTTTTGAAAACAATCCTCCATCATTGTTTCATAGAATCCCCCGGGGTAAAAAATTGAATCAATAGCTATTTTATAGCAAAATATATAATATATTTAATATGCAGTGGCGATGAAAAGTTGCACTTTTGAAATTGCCAGACAAAGACTCAGACATAAATTGTGAGTAACTCCCTAAAATGGAAAACATTGTACAAAAAGCTCCATCTGTATTTTCCATCAAATCAAAACAGTGAGATTAGGATCGCAGCATAAGCGATCCTAACAGCAGTGTTAGAAAATATTTCTAGTACTGACAACTTTTGCAAGAGCCGCTTTTACTTTAGCTTTTGAAAAATGCAGTCAACATCATCATCGATTTTGATCTACTCTTCTTTAAAGCATTTAGCAAATTGAATTTTGACAGTAAAAACTAAATAGGAATTAAACTTAGAAGCAAACAACTTCAAGAGCAGATCTCTAGTAATCTTGTATAGCAATAACATTAGAGTTAGCAATGATTAAGACTAACGACCAACCATAGGAGCAAGCAAGGTTTCTTGCCCACAAATTAACATTAAAGGCGAGTTTCAAAATATGAACCGAAAATGGATTAACATTTCTTGATTCTAATGTTTTTAGTCCTATCTGCTTCTTCTAAGAGATTATTGTTATTACTAAACAAGCAAATCAGGAAAGCCTATGTCGAGCTATGGTCACGTGGACAAGAGAGATTCCACGTTATCGTAAACCATTAACTCCTAAGATAGCATTGGCAATTCCAATTGCAGTTAGTGAGTTTGTGCTGACTTCACCAAGAAGTTAATTGCAACAAGGTCAATCATATCAAAACACTTCGAGATACGAACATTTATCAAATGGTACAAAACTGGTGGTATAAACTTAAACAAATTCAACCTAGGCCGCTGGATTTCGGCATTTAACATTATCCAACACTTTCGGATAACATATGTTTTATCCGTCTGGCTATCATATACTGCTTGAAGACATTTGAAGATGTTTGAAAATGTTTTACGAAATTTTATTTCCATCAAACAATTCGTAAAACATCCCCTTTGTTCTCATGCTTGATCAACAATGTTGCGCTCGTTTGGCCCCCTCATAGAACAGTTGTTTGAATCTCGCACGCGCAGACAGTTAAAAGTCGGTAATTATATGTGTGTGACTGGGTCCTTTTTATTAAACAATTAAATCAGGTTGTAACATAGGGACAAAAAGGATTTAATTTCATTCCAGCATTTTAACATCAAAAATGCCATGGGCTCACATGTCTGATGTCTCGTGGCTGTTATAGCTGTCAAACTCTTTCTTAATTCATCTTTCTTAAGTACATGTTTGTCTATTCTGGTCATAGTTCTTAGGTTCGATTAAGTCAAGGTTGTTGAAAATTAAATGTGACAAGAATGATCTCTTGCGATTATTGAATTGGCAAAGACAAAGTAAATGCATTTTAGTAGCCCATCTTGCCAATTTGTTTTAGTGTTCTTATTGAAACGACGTTGTTGTCTCGTATTTGCTGAGAAATATATAAGAAGTAATAAACCTTTTCAGAAATATATTCTATTTTTATAAGAACCAGGAACTTGAGGCTCAGGCTGGATCTTCTTTTTTTAAAGATTGAGGCTTGATCTTTCTTTATTTGTCCTAAATTTACTAAAGAGATAACATCTTACTGCAAATAAATTTTGAATGTGTATAACACAAGGATTGGTTTTGTAATGACCTTAGCAAAAAATTAAACCAGTAATTAATGTAATATCATCAGTAACAATGTTCTTAAATTCTTACATTCTAAGGCATTCAGTTTCAGCTTGTTCTTAACTTGCCCTTGACAAAATTTAATGCTTGGATTCTTAGAAAATCGCTCTTATAAAAGAAGTGTGTACAATACAAGTTAGATGCTTCCTATAACTTTTGGGTGAGTTGACTGGCATTGATTTATAAGAACTAGCTTATATGCCTGTTTTGTCTTAAATACTTAATATTGATCTACATGATAGAGTTGATATCTTTTTTTATAACACAGAAATCAATTTCTGGATGATGGTGCCAATTGAGCGGCAGTGGGATTACCCAGACCTCTCTAGGTCACTACGGTTGGCAGGCGGTATTACGCTTCTTATATCAGAGCTAATAGGCATAGTTGGAAACACGTTTGTTCTTATTATCATCGCTAGAGTCTTGCAGCATCGTAAAAGCATTCCAAATATACTGATCCTCTTACTGACTATACTTGATTTAGCAAGCCTGCCACTGACATACACCCAGGCACTTCTAAGCTACGCCAACGCGGAATACATTGGTGGCCAAACAGCATGCGATTACCACAGCACAATAATCACATTTTGTAAATACGCCTCAATACTTGTCATATCTCTAATAAGTCTGGATCGTTTCATTGCAATGTCATATCCATTCTGTTATAAAGACCATCTGCTATACGATGAAACACGAAAATATAGACTAGCTGCATTGCTATTACCGCTGTTTGCAGTAACTGGCATCGTCAGCATGCTACCATTACTTGGCATGAGTCGTAATGTGCTGCAATACCCTGGAAGCTATTGCTTATTTGATATTCGTCACAACACAACCTTATCAGCAGTTCTACTAGGAATGCATATTTGCTTTTTGGGGATTATAATAATGCTTGTAGTGGCTACAAATATTGGAGTTTGCTTGCAAGCGCAAAGACTGATTCAAAAGATAAAACCTTCGCTTAGAGTCTCAAAGAGAGAAGAAAAAACCTTGCAGGATACCTCTTCAGATTATAAACAAAGAAAGTCATACAAAAGACTAAGCCCAAAACAAGAGAAGAAACTACTTAGAACTAGTATCGTGGCAACTGGACTGTTTCTAGCTTGCTGGCTACCATTTTTGGTAAGTTATTTTCATATGATCGTATATTAGCTTCAGTAGGACTGTATAGTCGTTAACAAGAACTTTTTGGAAAACGTAATCTTTGTTACGGCTAAAAAACAACACAAATTTGCACTCATCAACTGGCAGTCAATGAAAGGATGCATATCTAAACCAATACAAAACGGGTTATTTTTTACATGCACAATCAGAGAATTTTAAATATATTATCTTTAGATGGAATGTTAAAGGAAATATCAACCAAAATTTGATAATTATTGTACTTGACAGTCTCAAATCTATCACCATAGAATAAAGTACTCAAACGATGTCACACATTATGCATTTTGTAACTGACTATATTTCAAGAAACTATTCTTGATTTCGTTAGCAAACAAGATTGAGGAAACTCCCTACAGTCTTTTCGATTTCTCCACCAGTGCTTTCAACTGATAAATTGTTCCTTTCCACCAAATGATACACGGTATTGAATTTCAAGATACGTAACGTTTCATAAAGATACGTAATGTATGAACAATAATTGATGATAAAATAGATCCGCTTTAAACCTTGTCATACTCTCGATGCTCTCGGTCTTTAAAATGCAAAATATTTTAGAAGGAGATTATCTGTGAAGACTAAATGATTATATGTAGTCCTTCCTACTTTGGTATTTATCACGACTTCGTTATTTTAAATTTATATATTAGATTGGTAAGTCATTGGTAAACTTTGACTGAGTTCAGTTATAACATATTTGACCCATATATTATGGGTCAAAGATGGCCCAACCATAAAATTCCCAACCATTACAAATAATTCATGAATGTCCTGCTATGATTGACAGAAATATTGAATTATTTTTTATTTGTTTCGTAATGCATGGGAATATTTGACCGTAAAAAATACATATCTAGATAAGGCCCAGAAAAGTCACAGGCTTCCAATAACCTCCTCCCGCTGCGCCTCATAATAATCCCGAGGCACATCTCTTTAATACTTCATCACAACGGCTCTTTGTTAGAGCTGCTCCAGTCGAACAGTGTTTTGCAATCGCTCAAATTGTGCGAAAAGTAAACGGTCTCCAAGTAATCTTTTTCATAAAAAATTCTTTAGTTTTATAAAATTACCCAAAGAGTTTTTTTGCAGAGCAAATAACAGTTACCACAGCTTCTAACAGAGAGCATTCATCAAAATTTTAAAGAGCTTCCCAATTTTACAGTGATGAATATTAAAAGAGCCTAGAAAAGACCGCAGATATAGAATTATAGTTGAATGTCTAGGTGACTGGATTTGAAAAATTGTTTTATATTTTTGTTAAAAGACCACAGCAATTGTTTTTTAATATCAACATCAAGCTATTTTTGCTTCAGGTGGAGATGAGCTCAAATTTAAGTGAAGATCTGAACATTCTTCATAATTATTTTACTCAGCAAGTATTTTCATGCATATCTCTCAATGACGGGCACCAATTGTAAAATCCTGAACGTCCTTGCTTTCAGCTGTAAAACATCACACAGTTTACATAAATTTGAATGAAGAAGAAAATATTCTAGGAAAGGCTCTAAATAAAGTTCGTCAAAACAAAAGCCTTACTGAGTAAAAAATACAATAAGTTTGTACATGAGAAGCTGCAGTTGAAATTAAAATATTTTAATAAGTGTTGAAATGAAATTTTCTATGTTATTATAGAGGTATTCCTGTAAAGCTCGTAATGTCGACATCCTGATAAGGCTTCAAAACATACAGCGCTAGATGACCGTTCAGCAGTATTTGATAGTTGCACACCCATGTATGAAAACCCCTCACTACATCCCTAGCAGAATTTTTTCATCATTTAGTAAATGCTACGAATCTGTCTTTCTCTGGGGAAATGCATTATTGCAACGAACACTTCAAAATATTGACATGATGCTACGATCCAAAGTCTCCATCCTCACGCTACTCCATCGTCATCTACCCGCCTTGTCAAAACAGAACAACGCTATTGATGGCTAGTTCTTGCAGATATGAAAATTCGACTGATGAAGAAAAGCATCAGCTGTTTAAAGCTTCTTATCAAATTTGTATAGGCAGATTGTACCAAATGTTGCCCGAAATTCGAAAAATGAGGGCAGATGTAGCTTGTAACTGTTGGCAGATGTAACTGTTTCTAGTGAGTGAACGACAATGAATAATAGCGGATATAGCGTTTTGAGTTAATGAACTGTACCAACACTTGATTTTACATAAAAACTAGATTTCTTGACCGACTCTATCTAATATCCAATTCAAACTTTGTCCGATTGGCCTGTAATCGGATAATATAGACAAAATCTTGAACTGAATTGTATGAGAAAATTTTTTGATAATTTTTTAACGAAGGAAGATTTCGAAATGGATGATTGTAAACCATGAATACAGAAATTTTGTGGTATTGTTGCAACTCTCAAAAAGGACAGATTCAATCTTGTCTAATTTTCTAATTGTAATTTACAACTGTTGTTATACTTTTTTGTCAATCAAAAACATAGGCAGTGATGCTGTAAATAAAATTTGGCCTAGCTCTTTATGTTGATCACAAATTTTACGCCAGATAATGGCAACTTCAGCATCATCAGAGATTTTTAGCTTCGTTGTTCTTTATGGTAAAAAAATTCCTGGAGCGATTTCCAATTTTGCTCAAGCTTCGGTGTTCCAAGTACTTTTCGCAAGCATTGTAAATTTCTTTGGTGTCATCCTGATAAATCTTCGTTGTCCAAAGCATCATGAAATTGGTTCTTAACCAAGTTCTTCTTCCTCAAAAATTGACCGTGAAACATGATCACCCTTATCAAATGCTGCTTGAATTTGCAGGTTCGAATGTTATTGGCAATCAGCGGCGTTCCATTTTCAGAAGGACTCGATTTTTTCTCAGCTAGGCTAGCTTCCCTTCAAAGTGTCATTAACCCATGGCTCTACCCCCTCACAAGACGGCAATACCGCTATGGATTTTGGTTTCTATCAAGAAAGGCGATTCACTTGGCAACATTTGGTCTCCTTAAAGAGCCGAATACGACTCTTGGTAAGCGTCTTATCATTTTGTAAACTGCTTTTTGTTTACATTCCCCTAACAGCTTTCTTATTGATTAGAAGCTGGATTGTAATTCTAGCAGGACCCAAAACTGGGGAATATTCAGCCCCCTACAAAATTTGGTCATTTTGAATATCGTTTTTCTGGTCTTATTATAGCATTACGGTCTACGATCCAATAAGAAGACCCAGATGACCTCTTAAAGTTAATGAAAAAGGCTCTAACGTTGAATTCTGACTTGCAGTACAACTGATATCTACTTCGAGCCCTCTTTGTTTCAAATTTGATCACTTGGCTGAAATGTATGATTCTTGTTAAGGTACATCACTGAGTTTTTTTATGAAATGATCAGAGACGTTTTCAACTGAGGTTGCTAAGCTTTTCTTATAGTGGCTCACAGTACTCAAGAAACTTTTTTCTAGCCAGCTCAGAAAGAAATAACCTGTTGAAATACCCCTAGTCATATGTCAAAATAAACGATTTAAGGGCAAAGCGGAAAAGAATGTAAGAACAAAATGTTTTGCTTGACAGTCGAAACAGTAGAAAAAATGTTTCCCACTGCTCCTCTCAATTTTGGAGAATATGACAAAGGAGGAACGGTTTAATCGAGAAAAAAACTAGTAAGGGGTAGAAAGAGCCAATCAGGGTTTACTTTAAGAATTTATGTAAATGCAGCAAAATAGTATCGAAACAGATTTCATTGAGCAGGGACTCGATGTAATCTATGAAAACGATTGGCAATCAATTAACGGGGACGGCATTTAATAATAGATACTTCCAAGGAACAAACACACCCCAAATGCCTTTCATACCGAGACACTCATGTACATGGACGCAGCTTCTGCGCAAGAGACACCCCTCTGTAATGGATAGCTGCTATATAATAGGTCACAGGTAGATAACAAATTTCATAACCTATTTTATTATTTTCCTATCAACAGATGATATAATTGACGCTAGATCAAACAGAAAAGAGGCGATGCGATTCTATGAGGAAGAAAGGAAAAAGAAGATTTCAAAAGCAGAAGAAACTCAAACCACAGAGAATATTGAACTTACAGACACCACGTTGCAGCCGAAGGTTGCTGCATTAGACCAAAAGCCTAATAAGGCAAGGTCTGTATCTTTCAACATAAGTGAGGAAAATGCGAATATTAATCAGGACAGCGAAAGCGCTGTCAGTGACTGAAGAATGTTTTTAGATTTGACCAGGGCGGTTCTAATCGGAACCGGAGCATATCTGCCTAACATTGGCGTAGCGTCTATTTATGCTACACAAGCCGTGCAAGCGTAAGAAAATTAAAAATTTTCAGCTTGTAATGTGAATATATATTTCAACTTTTAATGTATGGGTGCTAAATAATAACTATACAAAATACTGTCGTTTGTCATCATTTTTGCAATCCCTCCAGGCAAAGCCAATTTTCTATTTGGCAGTTCAGTAACATTCCGAAATCGTAATCCATGCAATGAAAACAAATCAAATATTAAATCCTTCTAGGCCAGCTTTCTTGTTACCTAGTTTTGTCATTGAGTAACAAATAGAAAACCTTTTGTAGATCTTCGAATTTTACTTCGACGGGACACTTTGATGAGAACAGTAAAAATTTCGGACTGGAACATGCGGCTGACCAGATTGCAATCATTCCTGATTTTTCAAAAATCCAAAGCTCTTTATAGTCCCTAAAAGCTATTATGTTTTCAATATTTCGTTTATGTTTTCTAAGTTTCCGAGGCACAGTGATAACCAGTCACAATTCAGTTCCAAATTCCCAAATTCATATGACAAATTTACTTCCCAGTTTGCTTAGAATTTACCGACGAGGGCATGTGGTTGACTTGAGCGCAAGCTTGTTTTAAGATTGTACTTTAAACCTGCAAAATATGTACTTATGGTTACCCTGGGTACCAGACTCGCTTTATTTAACTCATTCCGGTGGATTTATTCGAAAGAACTTTAGCCAATTTAAACATTATTAATGCAGTAATGATAGACTTTTCTGTTGAAAGATTCCAATCAAATAAGTTGTAAAAAAATGGCGCAACTGAACAGTTTGGGGCCCTTAGGAATATTTTGCTTGGGGGCCCTTTCACAATGAATTCAAGACATTCAATTTGAGCTTCGAGATCTCTAAAGCGGTAGCTACAGTAACAGAAAATGTGGCAAAAAGAAAAGAGCTTTGAAGACTTGTGGAAATGAAGAGCTGACTCGACATTCCAACATCAAATCAGCCAAGTCTACAGATGTCCATTTCCCTTTCATTTCCACGCGAAACTCGTTAGCAAATGCCCGTAGCTCTGATTCCAAGTCCTCTGTAAAATCTTTAGGATACAGGCTCAGCAAGTTGTTTGATGCTTTCAAGATGTCTTTGTTGGTGGTTCTAGCTAGGCGGTTTGGAAAAGAATATCAAACGTTGGAGTAACCAGATCTTGGCCACAAAACCTTTCTTTAAGCTGCATCAAAACAGTATCGACAGTTTTAAGAAACACATTGATTTTGAATGTTTGTTCTGGGGTATTGAAAATATTTTCCTCAAATGCTCCAATAATGGACTTTCTACTTCTAGTTTTTGGCTTGAAATCAACTACTGTGTGCCAAGCACTAGCTACAGCAGACGCTGTTTGCTTAAAAGAGTCCCAGGACTCGCGTAGCACAACAAGCTCTGAAATAGAGCAACATATCAATCGAGATGCAACAATTAAGTAAATTTTGGGGAATGCAATTCACGAAAAGTTGTGCTGAATGTCCGTAGAATTCATTCCCAAATATTATTAAAAAGAACAAATTCTATTTCAAAGCTCTGCAGAAACGTTGGGGGGTTCTTTGAGTACAGTTTTAACAGCGTCTTCAAACTCTATCGTAACAGTCGCCAGCAATAATTTATGCTGTGTTCTGTTCAACGTTTTACATCAGAGCTTCATTTATTGTTTTGCTGTGACCTTTGAACGTACACAAATCTGTAAACTTGCTCCTGATCGGTTATAATCGGGCCATTAGAACGAGGAGAGAGCGCACTGAAACATACTCTCTCTTATCTTATATAGAGTGAGTCTTGTACCCGGGTAAAGGACCTTATGCACCAGCCACTTCTATATGGAGCTCTAAACATGCTCCTGCCAAAGAAATTCTCGTAAACGCTTCAAAACATGTTGGATTTGGACTATTATGAAAAGTTCTTGAGAATTCTTTCAGTACTTTATTCAACACGTTGCAGAAGTATAATTTTTTTCATATCAACTGCTTATATATTATCTTACATAGAAGAATGAAAATTGACAGTCCTGTGCTTAAATGGGAATGTAAAGTTTATTTTCTTTGACATTAAAAAGCTTAGATAAAGTGATGGTCTATGAAGAAATGAGAAAAATATTTAAAGTTTAGGGACCTCGCATTTTTCAAAATTTTAGAAAGGGCCCTTAACAAATATTTTTGTTGGTATGTATCTCCAATTTTGCCATTGTATTTGGTTTTTTTCAGAAAGATGCAGACGGTTAAAAACTCTAATTCTACTTTTCATATACAAAATGAAAAAGTTGCACGCAACAAAGAAAGTTTAAAAAATGTAAACACCTACCATATAATCAGCAATTGGGTTCTCAATTCCATTCGTAGTCTAGGCATTTCACAGCAAGCAAATCTTTAATTGAAAAGTAGCCAGCTTTAGTAAAACAAAAATGAAATGATACAATGAAACTAAATTATCAATCAATTTTTCGTATTAGATACTCAAAAATTTATCTTGAGGGATCTATCCAATGGCAGACACGAGAAGTATGACATAACTCAACACGAACATGTGTGTTATCACGTGATGAGGCACATAATAGAAATTCTGTGGTCTATGGTTGGGGGGCAGGGCCACATTTAGATCTGTTGGGGCCCTGGGTCCAAATTTGATTGGGGACCCTTCAAATATACCAAAACATTTGTGTCACGTGCACAGCATCTGGCTAAATATAATCAAACATAATCAACCAACTATAAGACACGAATAAACTTGCATCAATTTCGCATTTCAGTACATTCCCAATAAAACTACCCAACTGCTGAAAACTTTTCGATGATTTTATTGGGGTTTAAAACTCCCAGAACATCAAAATCTGCTGCCATTGAACAAAAGGAAACAATGCGCTACTGTGACATTGTGAACCTTACTTCACACTCTTTTGATTTACCCTTTTCAGCATGGTGAAACATTTTTCACCGGAGAAACCTCTCTATGGCGAATTGAGCAACAAACTCAGTGCAGTCATTGCATTGAGAGAAGCCCCAACCACGACAAGCGAAAGTTTCAAAAGCCCTGGGGTAAAAAAAATATGAGGCCCCCTGCGAGCGGAGCGAGCTGAAAGTTCTTGTGACCACGCCCTTTATTCCATTTATAAAATGGAATTCGTTACTTTACGAAGCCCCCTAACTGCATTCAAACACAAGATTAAAACCAAGAGCACTTAAAAGGCTTTTAAAATTTTGCAAGAGGCCCCATTAATCGAAGAATTTTAGGGGGCCCTGGGTAAATGCCTTCCAGGGGGAGGGGGTGGGGGTTAGAAATGTCTTGACTAACGACATGTGTCTTTGTAGGTAAATTTTATTTTGTAGGAATCTGATGTCTGTGGTCGAGGTGAGTAATTAGTACCAATTATTTTTGTTCCTTGTTTCTGCCTTGCAATTTGACTTTCTTTTCATAAAATGGATTAGTGATGCAGCTGGGAGAAAATTTTCGGGAGACGCAGCGGCTAGGATCAGGGGCCTACAACCCCTTAATTGATGGCAACATAATTGATCGAAAGTTATAGAAGCTTTGCAACTTGGTTCAAATTTGTATTAAAACTTTATCTTAAAGCCCCCATCCCCAAAATTCAGAGCATGTGGTAAGTATCGTTCTTTCGCCTTCAGGAGTATGACAAAATTCGTTAATAAAGTTTGTAACCTTGTGTTTGAATAATGGCGCGTTCGTGAAGGCCCGTGGAAATTTTTTCATGGCAAATGGATATCCTTTCAGGCACATATCAATTTTAGTATTCATTAAGAATCTGTACTCGAAAAAGGAATTAATATTTTTTTAAAGGATGACTTTTCAGCAAACTCTTGACGATTTAACCGAAAAAGCACTGGCAAAATTGGATGATGGGCCTAATTACAGAGAGAACAATCTTTCAAATGAACAACTTATCCTTGCCCTGCTAAATACACCTATTGTTGTTGAAACTCTTCAAAAATGGATTGACAAAAAAGAACAAGTGGAGAGGAAAACATCTTCAAAAAATTATGAGAAGGGGGAAATCTTCCGCAAAGAGGGGAATAGATTTTATGTCGCTGGTCAGAACTCAAGGGCTCTGGAATTGTATAACGACAGTATCAGACATTACCCATGGCCATTAGAGGGTAACAAGAATACTGGTTCAAATGAAAATCACGGACTTTCCCTTGCTTACGGCAACAGATCGGCAGTTTTCTTTAATGAAAAGAATTTTCAAAAATGCCTTAACGATATTGATAAGGCTATTCAGCTAAATTATCCTGAAGATTTAAAACACAAGCTGCTAAAAAGGAAAGCAGAATGTCAAATTGCATTGGGAGAAGTTCTAGAAGCCAAAGCTACACTCTCACAAGCCGAAGACAGTATTTGCCAGCATAGAAAAAAGATAAAGAATACAGATCAACTGTTGTCAGCCATCAACAGATTGAATGAAAAGTTTTCAAATCTATCTACCACTGAAATGAAGCAAGATGAGAAATGCAACACAGATGAGACATTTGAGGTCAAGTATGAAAGCAATGAGATACTTCAAAATGCTTCAGATGGTGTAGTGATAGCTAACAGTGTAACAGCAGGAAGACACCTGGTTGCCAAAAAGAAATTCAAACCTGGAGATGTGTTAATCTTAGAGAAGCCATATGCATCTATCATTTTCCAAAATTTTTACAAGTCACAATGCTGGCATTGTTGTAAGACCTCTGATAATATTATACCCTGTTTCAACTGCTCTGTTGTTACATATTGTTCTGAGAAATGCCAAACAGATTCATGGAAAGAAAATCATTTCTTGGAATGTTATCATGCTGTAAAGCTGCAACACCTTGGCATTGCTACTATTGCACTTCACATTCTTCTCAAAAATGATGTTCAAACACTATCCCAAACACATTTTGCATTCTTAGAGACTTCATGTCATGACATGCTTCCATATGGGTCACAAGATGAAAAATATTCTACTGGATATAAGTCTGTGTACCATCTCATCACAAATGCCAAAGAAATGCCTTTTTATGATATCATCCAGTATGGTATTATGGCTGTAGCTTTACTACTAATGCTAAAACAATCAAAGTTTTTTGAAAGAGACGAAATTGTTCAAGACAAAGATAAGATTGAACTTGAATATGGAACTATTTGGAAAGATTCTTTTTCAGATTCACATTCTGAGAATTTAAACGATGTTGATTATATGGAACTGCTTTATTGCAGCTTGCTTTGTAAACATATTCATCAGGTTGTTTGCAATGGGATTGCTGTCACTGGCATTTGTGACATCCCAGATCCAAAATTATCTGCTGTGTCCGAATATGGGCAACTTCGTTATGGCACTGGTATTTACCCGACAGTATCTCTTATGAACCATTCTTGTGATCCAAACTGTATACAAAGTTTTGTTAACAATACTCTAATCATCAAGGTAACTAAAGATATAGAGCCAGGTCAAGAGATGACCATTTCTTATGGCCCAATTTATAGCAAACATAAATGGGATGAGAGACAGCACACTTTAAAGAAACAATACTTTTTCACATGCCAGTGTTCCAAATGTCAAAGTGGTCCAACTGGTGGAACAGGATATATGGATTACAAGTGTCAGCATTGTGATGGACCTATTCCTGATCTAGATTATGCTGTTTGCATGGCTTGTAACAAACCAATTGATAAAAGCTGGTTTTTAGACCTTCATCATAAATCAGCTACATTGTATATGCAGTGCATTGGAGAACCTGACCAATCAATCAAGATGCTGAGACAGTGCCTAAAGATGCAGAAGCTTATCTATTACAAGTATCATCGAAGTCTGGCTCATACATATAATGCTTTGGCATATAATATGGCAGATGAAAATAGGTATTCTGAAGCTGTAGACCACTTTGAAAAATCTCTTGACATATTGAGAGCAATCCATGGAGATGACAGTGTAGAAATTGGCCATAATTTGGTGACATATTCTGAATTACTCATGGAAGTTCTAAAGGAGCAAATGAGCAAATGCTGTATGTCAGGAGAAAAATCAGTGTTTGAGTTGGCATCAAAGTGTTTGAATGTAATTCAAAAAGCATTAAATATATTGATGAACACAACATCAATGACATCAGGGTCAGACTTCATAACTGATCTCAAAGCAAAGGAGAAACATCTTAAAGATTTCCTTAAAGGAAGTGAACTCCTAAATAATCAGTTTAAAACAGAGTGTTAAAAGTTTTTTTTTGAAGAAGTAAAAATCTGTAATAAAATGTTTGCATAATTTGGAAGCAACCATGAGGTGTGTGAGGGGAAATATAAAAAGTCTATCTATCATTCCTACCAAAGGGAAGTAGGCTATATATACCATGAGAATTTTCTTTTTGTAAAGAATGATGGGTATTTTGAAGCAAAATATAAAAAATGTTCACTTTATGGGTGCTTTATTACAGTTCTATTTTAAACATTTTTTCTCAATTAGAGTGTCCACAATTTTGGATGGTTTCTGATGTTGTCACAGTCATACCGCAAGATAAGAGAAGAATTTATATAGTTTTTAAACCTTAAGATTTTATGCATCTTTGGTATAATGGGCCTGCGTTGATATTTAAGATCTTTCCATAAAAATTTCAGTTAATCTTTGTTCAGAGTGATTTAGCATACTTTCTAAATTTTGTTGTATTTTATTCCTTGCTGACCATTGGCAGATAATGTGAATTTATTTAATGGCTTAGCTTGGTTATAATCATCTGTTCAAATGTTTGCCAATTTGTTTTGTTCTTTTTACCCAATAGATTTATTTCTGTTCTCATTTAGTTTCTTAATTTAAGTTCTCAATATTTTTATGCTTTGCAGACACGTTGAATTTTGAATTGTTTCTTTTTTTAGGGTTGTAGCATTTGATAAGACTACAGTAATGATATAGTGTGAGTTCAAAAGAAATTGTTTTCAGATTGTTTGTTTTTTACCTTGCAAGTCTACCTACACATTAACAGTTCAATGATAGAAAATATGGACATTTGAGTGAAGGTAGAAAACTTTAACCACTGACATCAAATTTTGAATCATGATTTTTTTCATTTTGATATAGTGTACTTTACAATATTTTCCATACATTACAATATTTGGAAAGGACCATAGCAAAATCACATTTAATTTTTTTCATTTTAACCTAATGACAGATTTTTGCAGGAAAAAATACCATAGGTCAATTGGGCTAAGTGTAAGAATGTTTTGAAAATAGCTGTTTTGCCATCATATGAGTAGATTTCTTATATCAAATGTTAATAATTTGGCTGTGAAATAAAAAATCCAATCTATAAAATAATGATTTGAAATAATAAAAAGCTCTACAAGCCAATTTTAACCAATAAACACTCTATTCAACCTGTTCAATGACAAACAAAGCCATTGCAAGATGATTTACTATAAATTCACAGGAGATAAGTTGAAAGAAAACAAGGAAGGATTTCTTCGTTGAAAGTTTTTACAGTACAGAATGGGTTGTGTAGAAGACAATAATTATTCTTCTTGGCTTTTGGAATAGTTTTTATCAAGAGGCCAAGCATAATATAATACGGGTAAACAAGTTAGCTTAAGCTATTTTCGTATCTTGAGGCCAAGCATGACATGATACGTGAAATGAAAACGATCTCCTCTAGGCCGTTATGCATAAAACAAAATAAATTACTTTAATAAACAAATATTACCTGCCGACTTTTATTTCCATTTCACGAAGCAAAAATATACAAAATAGTTCTGGTTCATATCATATCAACAAACTTCCAAATATTATCTTCAACCTCCAGTCTTCTGGTAGTCACAAAACTGCCGCCAGTTCTTTCTATCCAGAGCGAGGCCAACCGGATATGGTACAAAACCATCGCGTGTGTTCAGTTTTGGACCACAGAACTTGCATTCACCATGAATGTATTATAGCATCGCTTCCAAAAAGCGACATTATCAGATCTACTGCCATCTTAAAGGAATCCATAATGGCTCATTTTCCATTCTGTGTACTGAATGATACAATTGGTTAAGTGTAGTTTCCATATCTTCCATTTTCAATTCTAAGTCGAAGTAATGTCCATAATTATTCTCAATCTCTTCTGAATCAATTAGCGCCTTGTAAATCTCTTCATCCTATAATTGAAAAGGTTCTTGTTTGAACTTGAAATGCTGTTACACAAAAAGTGTTTAAATCTCTGTTTTTGGCTGAATATTCACATTTGAAAAGCTGTTTTGCCCAATCAGTATATTGCAGACAATTATATAATTACATAGTTTATAAGGATACTACGAACTGCTAAAAATATAGGGGTGGGCTTAAAAGAAAAAGAAAACTTTCTTTTCTCATGTGATGGAGTCAATTAAGAATAATTGAAGAGTATAATTCGAGAATTATCGGCGTAATTTTGAGAATTTCTTAGAATATCAAATCATTCTTATGAAAAATGGAGGTATTCTCATAAAAAACAGAAACCTAATGGCTATGTGCAAGGAAGAAATTTGGTACGTGTTACGGGCTAGCATAGGACCTTATAACTTTTAATCATAGATATTAAACAACACCTTTTGTATATAGGCAATGCTACCAAATTCGGAGAGAAACGCTTAAAAAAAGGGCAAGCTTTTTATCTCAAAAAAGAGCAAGCTAACTTAGCATTTTCATGAATACATTCGAAGACTTCCAATCTACAATTGATGCTAAACGCGAAAAATAGAAATAATAAAGCTAAATCGAACTTACTGTCATGATTTTGCTCTCAAATAATGAATTCTCTTGTTTTGCTTTCATGTTCGTTTTGAGTACTTCTATATCCGGTGCTTTGATAAACACAACAAACGGGTGCAGGTTTGTACTGCACAAAACTGGTAGGCTCTACAAAATGAATCTCTCATTAAGATATAAAACAAGAGTTTCGATATGAATAGCTTTATATTGCAAGTATGATTTACTTTCACAAGCTTTTCATTGCCATTATAATTTTGATGTCTTGAGAACTTTTCATCTTAGAGAACACGACTTCAAAAGAAAACTAAATGGCTAACGTTAAAGGAATAAATAAAAATAAAAAACTGTCATTTGGCAGTCTTGATAAGATAATTGAGATTGGTATTAAAGGCAATCGACAGATGCAAAAGTGGCTTAAGCCATCAGTCAATCAAAATTAGCCCAATGAATAAGCGTGTGAGTGGAATCACAATCACTGATTGGTCAATTCTTGTTTGAAAGATGGTTTACGTACCTTTAGTATCTAGCATATTTGACCTAGTAGCAAATGAGCTTTGCAAGGGACACGATCCCCAGCTGTTATCGTTACTAAGGGACAACCAGTGACGATGAATTGTTTACCATATACCAATTAGTTTTTCAGCTTACCTCTGGGTTTAAATACAATACACAAGTTTTGCCAGAATTTGCAATCTCCATGACCGAATCAATGCTTATTGCAAAAAAGTGACCCTTGAATACTTCCACGTTAATGAACGAATTCGATCGAATGCCTTTTTCCATGTCATTCCGGGAAATGTAATGATAATCTTTATTTACTTTCTCAAGTGACTTTTTAGAGCGGGATGTATCTGAAATGAAAAGAGAAATCAAATAAACAACAACGTTTGTATGAAAATATAGTGATAATGAAATGACATGAACTTGACAGTGACATTAAGTCTTGGTTGACATAAAGTTTTGACTGACACGAGATGTGCTGGTCACTAAACACAAAAAACTGCTAAAATGTCTGATAATATGCAAAGTAAGAGAAAAATGCTGTTTCCTTTATAAATGTTTTTACTCACAAGGAACTGGAGTTCTAAACTTTTCAGCATTGGTTTGTATTAACCTTTCCTTTAAATCTTCACATTCTAAAACCGGAACACCTGAAAAATAATATAAAACAAGTATTAGAAACTATCCAGTAACAAACCCTCTCACCACAGAAAGATGTGACCTTAAATGATAAAAGCATTAAGCAACATAAATTTACCTGTAATGACAATGGGCCTGCGACGATCGAAATCAGCCATGATTTGTGTTACTTCTTCATAAAATATTATCTCTTCCGCGTGAAACTCTGCAGAAATAGAGTAATCAGGAAACTTTAGGTGAACCGAATGTTTTTTGAGTTTCAGGTTAGCATTAAACGTGCAATAGAGACGGTCTGTCCTAGCAGAGCAATTACAAATTTATAGTTTCGTAGGGTTTTTAACTCAAATCTGAGTTTTTCTGCAAATTCAGCCCTCTTTACAAAACACAGTGAAGAAGCTAATAACAACAGAAAAATGTACCTAACATATATAGAAATCTAGAAAATAATTGTGACTTTTAAGAGCAACAAACTTTGATTATGCTTTCAATAATGATAAAAGTTTTGAAAGTGACGTACTCTCACTCTGCATAGCTTTGTACTTCACTTTCTTTGGCTTCTTCTTTGACGCTTTCTGGGTCGGGGATTCAGGTCTTGAGTTATTCAAGCAGTTTCTCTCTCTTGGTGACAACGAACCCGAACATGCTTCTAAAAAATTGTGTTTACGTACAGTGGTTGAAGTTGCTAATTCATATCATTCGGGAAATACTTCAACTTAGCTCGACAACAACTGAAGGAGGATCAATGGAAAACTGCACTGCATATTCGACGCTTCTAATGGTATTATAGTCTTTCAACTATAACCGTTGTAACTGTGGGTTTTACGAGGGGCTAATATGCATATTTGAATTGATATATTAAACGCTGATAACAGAAATAGCAATACAAGACCAGCAGGGAGCTGGTATTTAACCTGATTCAGTGGGTTAACAATCAATTCCAGAAGGGCGTTAGGAATTTGAATGATAAAAAAATTTCGCACAGCAAATATACCAGCAATGAAAACCAAGGATAGAGTTCTAAACTGATGACGTCACAAAAATCTATTCTTAGAACTTTCGAATTTGGATCCCATAGCCCGAAAGAGCATCATGAAATACCTCTAAATATGCAAAATCAGTCAAACGTGTTATGAATTGGCTGAGATATGCTTCATGTGTTTTGGCTCTTTCCCTATCAAACCTCTGTATTTTGGTCTCTGTTCATAACTTTATGATCTTATGTTTGAAACAGTCGTGGAAATTCAGGCTTTCGTTTGGGGGTGCTCAGGTATACTAATTTCCGACAAAGATAATCTTAGATGGGCTTTCGACACGTGAAACGCCTGAGCCCCCCAAGCCCCAAAGAATTTTCGCCACTGGTCTGATACACTTAAGATACAGTTTGAAATATTAAACATAACAGCATCATATTACAATATAATGATTAGCGTAAACCTGTGATAAGTGTAAACCATTTAAGCCTGTCTTGTAGTTCCAAAATAATTTTTAGATACAATATGATACTTTTTGTTTCTTTTTCATGCAATGATTATACAAATAGTGTTACTAGAAATATTCTTTTACATTTTAAGAAGTACTTTGGTTACTTTTTACTTTCACTGTGACGAAAAAGTGTTATACAAGTAGCTTGAAGATACTTAACTTTTCAGTAAAACCACCTTAAAATAACATAGATTTTTAGATTTGTTTGCACTCACTGAAGCAGGCCTTCAATATAGTGGTAAATTGGCTTGTCAAAAGATATATTTTTCATTTTCTCTTCTACCAATAGTTTCGTAGCTAGATGCAGCTTCGAGATATTGCAAGGTATTTTGCAAGTACTTTGTACGCTAGCAATCTGTTAAGACCTTACCTAGTTCTCCATTAAAACTGTTGCTTGGACTCCATAGTTTTAATGCCAGACGTCTATAAGAAAAAAGAATGTTTTTAAAATGCAAACTAAATAGAGCAAATAGTTGATATATGTATGATGGCACCAAACGTGGCTGAAGTCCAAACCCACCCCTAAGTCTCATCAGGAAGCACAAAAAAACAACGAAATGTGATAAAACTCAGAACATGGTTTGCTACAACAAAATTGAATACAAATTAACAGTTGATAAAAAAACAAGCAGATAGTCAATATGAAATAGGTTAGGCCTAGTAAGAAATACACGAACAAATTAAAGTAGTAGAAAAAACTGAAACAAACGAATATCTTACGAAAAAAGAAAGCTACTATAATTAAGAACAATAAAGTACTCACAATCTATTTGCCTCCGTAACTATAACCGCGAAGCATAAACAACTTTTTTTATGTTCACTCGCGTCACTAAACAAGTCTTCCGCTCTGGAGAAACGCTCTCCGTGTCTTTTTACTTTAGCCTCTTCTTGACTTTACTTCAGTGATATACCCGAATAAAACCCCCAAAAATGTGTGCACAGCAAATATAGTTATGGAGACTGACTTTACTTCCATTTCAATACAAGGATGACAAGGTAATCGTAAAATTGAACAATCAGAGTCTGGGTTCTATTAGATCACGTAACTATGTGAACTAAACACCTATCAACAGCTAATTTCGACAAAAGAGAAAGAAAATATCAGGTTTTCAAAGTCAAGTCGCTTACTTCTCCTGAAGCTGTCGACTCGGGATCAGCCCATACTTAGCAGACTTTGATCCATATTTTCGTGCCTGTAAATGTAAAGATTACGGTAAAATGGCAGGCCTAACGCAAAAGTTACATTTGATTCTACTGACCAATGATAAAATACCTATCTTGCACTGTTCCAGACCTATAGTTTATGAGGTTTACATTACTTTTGATTAAGATAAACGACGAAGTAATGACCAAAACATAAGTATTAAGGTTTAAAGTTTGAAGTGCAGACTCTCAAGCTAAAAAGTTGTTTATCACTTAGAAATGCTGGAGTTACAGAAAATGATTATACCCATTTTGGCTGTAAATCTGTTTAAGTAAGGCAATTTTCCTATTTCAGCATCCAAAGAGAATACAACGATAGTATAATAGAAATGTATTTAATGCTTGTACTGTAAATTGTATGAATTTACCTGCCACCATTTTGGTTCACTATTGTCGATAATCTCGAGAACATCGCCTTTACTGAAAGCCAACCCAGCGTCTTTACATGGAATATTGGGATCTTCTTGCGGAGTGTAGTTGAAATGTGCCCGCAAAAATACCTAGAGGTATTACGAATGTCGTTTTTACAACTAAAATATTCAAAGAATCATGGCAAATACCATGGCAAGACCGAGAGATTCAATAATTTCAGTTAGCTAAGGATAAGTAAGAACAAGATCACTATATAGGTTATATGCAGATAATAAACAACTTGAGTTGATTGTAAATAGACAGAAAAACCAAGCTTGATCGACATATGCTTCCTAACAGATAAAATTCATACAAGATATCCGGCAAAAGCAGGCTATATAATTTATTAAAGGATACGCAACGTTAAAGGCACTCTATCTGCACAAGTTCCATTGTTGTGGAGTGCAGCTCACTCTTAACATATCAATGTAGCTTGGTCTTGACGGAACATATTACATCACAGTTGGTTTCATGTTAGCAGTTCATCATACACAAAAGTCCTCCTAACAAATATATATTAGAAAAGAATTAACCTTTTCTCTGTCTTCTTCGTCCTCTGTACTCTCCTCCGACGATAATAATTTGAATTCGACTATCTCACTCTGCAGCCCCTAAGGGAAACGATAAAGAATTACTCGGCAAAAAAAACGAGGAACTGTTTACTTATCAATCCCACTTTTCAATCTCTGAAAGAAAAATAACAAATTTTCAAATTAACAAAAACGAAAATTTTTCATTATCAATCAATCCTAAATACAATTCATACACAAAACTCTACAACTAAATACATTACAACACTAAGAACTAAAAACTAATTATGCTGAAAACAAATAAAAAAAGTTACTTTACATGATTGAATTTAAGATCGACTGATCGGTAACCCCCCCCCCCATTATAAGGTAAGGTAAACTAATCGAAAGAGAGCCATTAAAAACAAAGAACCAAAAATTATTTTAAAAACAAAGACAGTACATATTAACCAAGAACCAGATGAACCTCAATTGGATAGATCATATGTGTTTATTTAAAGTTTAGTTTTGTGAAAATGAATCAAGGAGGTAACTTTTCAATTTTGAGCGAAAAACCACAGTAGAGCTAGCAACGTGTACGTGTATGAACAGTGGCAGAGTATTCCGAAGTCTTGAACCAAAGTACTGAATTGTTTGTAGACCATACAATGTAGTATTTTTAACAGACTTTAAAAGATCGCCTCATGAATTTGGCTGAAAGTATTCATGAAAGTATGAAGGAGATAGCTTATTAGGGGATTGATAAACAAAGGTTAAGATGTTCATGTGCAGAATATTCACAATTTTCAAAGTCTTTAATGATTGAAAAATTGGCGTGCTAGGAGAAAAAAAGGGTTCAAATTTAATGCAGCGAAGAATTTTCTTCTGCGCTTATCAAATAGCGATACTTTATTCAAACAGGTACATCATTGAATAAAAACTTCTTACATCTAAGTTATGATCTGTAAGAACATCAATTATACCTTTGGAAAAAATTGTTTTAAGTTTGATGCACCTATTTTTAAAGTAGCCAATCAGTAAAAAAACAGCATTCGAATGAAAGCCAAAGTACCGTAGAAAGGATAGAATTGTTTGAGGAACACTGTTGTCTGACCATCGAGAGAGAAGGAATTGTTAATTGGAAACAAATTATTTTGCTAACTTTTACGAGGAGCACGAGCAGCCCTTCGAGAGATAGCAGTCGAGTCTATTGAAGACTAAATGAAACTACTGTAGCTCTTAAGGCACATATTTCTGGATTTTTTATGAATCACCTACAAGCAGAGAGACGGCAGCATCCAAAGACATGTCATTGGTCTCCACGCCATTTATTTCCAGTATCTGATCTCCTTTCTTGAGGCTTCCTGAATAATAAAAAAGTTTCATGAAAGTTTGTAGCGCATTGTAATTAACTGTGGAGAGAACAGCGAAAATGATTTCACTTGAAGGTAATCTAAATTCATATATGTGGCGCAGTTAGAGCTTAATTAAGATACGGAAGTAAATGCCAGCAGTTTGGAATTCAATGCAAAATTCACTTCTTAGCAATATTTTTACAAAATATAAACCAAGGCTTATGCTCAAATATTGCTAAAATACTTGCTTTTCACCTCAAACTTACAAAGCAACAAACAGAGTAAAGAAGTAGTACCTGTTCTGTGCGCAGCACCTCCATGAAAAATCCTTGCAATAGCAATTCTGTTACTGAAAGGATCTTGCCTTATTGTTGCTCCCTGAAAGACAAAAACAGTTATATTATTTTCTAGAAAAAGCAGAATTAACTATGACTCATTCTTGGAAAATAGCCTATTTGTATTAGTATTTTGAATATTTTGAAGATTGCATAATTATTAAACCGTCAAAAATGCGAGGCTTGCACCAAGATATGCTTGCCATTGAAACCAAATGTATTTGTATGATGATTTCATTTCTAGAAACACTTTTGTGATTGACATATCGTCATGATTAAATAAGGTGGCCCATGCTTCAAAATGTTTATGATAGGCTGTTTTGACAAAAAAACTGTGGACAAAAATGGACTGGAAAAAAGCTTAACTATAATTATAAGAAGCTAGAGGCAGAGATGCCTAATGACATAAGGATCTTAAAGAAAATTCAAATTGAATGGCTGCTTTTACAGTTATCTGATAGCAAAATAGGGGCTTACCAGAGAGAGGCTTATTGAAAAAAGGGGACTTCAAATTATTACTAAACAGTAGTAAAGTAAAAAAGAAGTTGTATAAAAGAATTTACAAACAACTCACTAAAGGCTCGGCAGGTTTCTTTTGGATTCTGACAGACTTGATTTGAGCTCTGCTCTCTTCATCTATGTTATCTATTCTTGGTATCAATCTCTCATTTGCAATCAAATCATGGGTTGATAGCAAAGCCTATGCAAAAAAATGCAAACAACTTACAGCTACTGTCTGTTTAGTTAAATTGCAGAGCAGATCACAGGATGATAATTTCAAGTGATTGCCCTACATTCCAGATAGAAAATTTTATCAGGGAGACCAGTTGGAGTGGAATGTCAGCTAGTAAATTGATTAAGTGGTAACCCAGATACACATCATTTTGAACTACCTACAACAGAACAACCTATAGCAGTCTTGTGGCTGCCTCTGTTAAAAATAAAATAATTCATTTATTTCTTCAAGCATTGAAACCTGGAGTAAACCAGGATTAATAAGACAACAAAAATGGCAGCACCAGTGAACAGTGGAAATAAGGGTAAACATATTGAAGGATTAATAGCACCTGATTAAAAAACAATCAAAAGGGCAAACAGCACATAGATAAAATGTCATACACTACCTGAATATGAGGATCTTCAAGAATGTCCACCAGAACTTCTATTAAGGAACTTTGTTTCTTTTTCTTCTCAACTGCAAATATAACTGAAAGAAAAACATGTTATTATTTTAGGCATAGAGAGTAAAAACCAAAAAATAGAAATATGCTTTGAAAAAATAAATTGGTTAATAAAAAAGGAGAAATACAGTAGTCACTAGAAGCTGGCTACAACCAAGATGTGGAAGTGCGACAGGACCGCACCTAAGATTGTAATGATTACATAAATTAGGCGCAACTGGCTTGGACTGTTTTTGCTCTTTTGATGAGTGCATTTTATGTCTATTTAATCTTACTTTTAGCAAACTGATGAATTCATCATTCAACTATGCTACTTGAAGCTCAATCCATTTCAAATATATACATTGATCTTGAATGTTATAAGGTAAACTACCTTGGATGTAGAAAGGCACAGGTTTGACACAGACTATTACATTCAAGGGGGGTTTTCATATCCCATTAGATGACAGAGTTTGTGTGCCATACCTTTTTGGCCAACAAGCTTAAAAATTTAATGAATATGCAACAGTAGATTGGGAAAACATTTTCAATGGGGGAGTCATGCCCACCATGATGCCCTTAAATTAAAGGCACTGGATAGGCAAATCATCAAGCAAAACCCACAAGAAATAATTTGGGCTTTAACTAATGCGCTTTCCATAGTGATTTGTATATAAGTAAAATGCTGAAATTTCTTGATATTAATTACTTAATGAATTTATTAGATATCCGAACTTCATGCATTTATTATTTACTGATTGATTTGTGATGCATATTCAAAACTGAAAATGATAAGCATTACCAGTTTTGCTTCCATAAAAGCCCTTTTTGTTAATGGTGATGGTCCCTTACTTTGCACACTCTCAACTGCTTTTTCAACCTGTTATAACAAATTCTTCAGTTAGCTTTATGACCAATGATTCCTGAACAATTGATGAATTCATAAGATTTCAAACAATCACTCAGAAGATTCCTTAAATTATCCATTCTTTGCCAATTCCACCTGGTATTCACAATTTGCATAAAACTCAGGATACAAATATAATGTGTAAGAAGTATGAAATGCAGGGTATATTGTCCACCAGATTCTGTGAAATACGAAAAAAAGTCAGGAACAAAGCAAGACCACAAGCATCCAATGTAAGGAAGTAGATTTTAAAAGAAATTAAATTAAATCTATTCTAAAATTATTTTTCATAACACTCAATTTTTGTCATCATGTTGGTTTGTTCCGGGCTATTTTTCATAAAATATTACATAGGTAAAGTTTCAACTTTTTTAAAGGTCACAAGTTAAGCTTGCTTATATTTGATGATTTTTAGACCATTTACTTGACAAAGAAGAACACAAAATTTTGCAAGTCACTCAGAGTCCTCTTTTTGGCCATTTTAGATGGAGACATTTGACAAATTGCATTTTGCCGAAGACTTTTCTGTGTCTTTCTTAAGATAATTTGATTATTTGCAAATTCCAATTATGCCATCAAGTATAGCATTATCAAATCACAATCATTTCAGCCAGGAAGCACAAACAAAATGCATAGCAAAATAGTAGTGATTGTGGCATTACCTTCAGTAGGGATTTGAATGTACTACTTCGAAAAACCCTTCCCAAAAGCTCCACTTCATCTTCCTCTAAATCAGCTTCAAGGTCCGTTAAATGACCCAGCATTGCTTTAATTGCTTAAAATGATAGATATTCTCTTCAAAATAGCGCAAAATATAACATGCAAGTTGATAAAATTTCCAAAAACAATAGCAATGTTTTGAGGAAACTATTTCAAACTAGATTGATAGTCAAGTCAAATGATAGTCAATAGATTGATGTAAATGATAGTCAAGTCAAAATACTGGTTCTTACTGTTGTTACAATTAATACGTAATACTTACTACACAAGCATACTAGTAATTTACTTTTAAAAAAATCACAAAGTGAAATTAGGAATTTAATAATTTTGGCTAAAAAGAATTAGAGGTACACGATCAAGTGATTTTTCGATAAGAATCAGGCCAGCGAGTGCAGGCCTAATTGTTGTGAAAACTTGAAGTAAACAACAAAGAAAAGTTCAGTTACTGTTGTGTTCTCTTTGCTTTCCCGTCATGTCTAACAAAATACTATAAGCCTCTTCATCCGGGTTTCAATACTATTTCTATAGAGGCAACCAACACTGGAACACTGCCATCTTTGAATGTTCTTTTCGCTCACCAATTCAAAATCAAAACATGGATCAAAGAGAGATCAGCCTCCCTTTTTTACCGTTGTCATGGTTGTCTATTATCCTCAAACAGATCTTTTGGAGCACATATCTCTATGAGAGTGTTCCAGACCAGTGGGGTTCCCCAGGGCTCTCTGCTTGGCCCTCGGCTATACACCATATATATCAATGATTTCCCAGAATCTGTCACCAAAGGAGAGTTGTACATGTTTGCAGATGACACAACCATTTTCACCATTGGAGACAGTGTTGATAAGGTATCTCTATATGCCTTTAAAAATCTACTTTTTTTAAACATATCCCTAACCAATGAAATTTACCAGCCTACCGCCTTTATATATATTTAAACAAAATTTTTCTATACTCTTACATCCTTAATTTTTTATACTTTCTGTTATAGACTACTTCAAACTGAAATGGAAATTATAATCTTGAGTTTAAATACGTCACTAGGACATATGACTCGATAGCTCCTCGCGAGTTTTTCTCATGTGTCCTGCAGCATAACAAAACCACTTTATCTTATGTAATTAATCAGTAAAATTTTTGAAAATGCTAACTTTTGTATTTTAATTTTTAATTCTTGGTATATTGTAATTAACATTTGTTTTTGCTGATAAAGATTTTGCGTTTGAGTTCTCCAGGAAGTAACGAGTCAAGTTAGGACATGGTGCAACCTTAATCAGCTGACCATCCACGAGGGAAAGACAGATGTCCTTATCCTGTATTCAAAGAAATTTATGGGCCCTCTATTGCCAATCAAATTGGGTGAAACTGTGATCCAGTATAAATCGTATTCTGATTGCTTAGGAGTCAGAATCGACAGCAAATTGTCATGGAAGAATCACATAAAAAGGAATTGTAAATCCTTTAATGGGAAGATAAAATTAATGAGAAATTTATGCCTGCCAAAGGAAGTGCTGGAAACTTTGTATTTTAGAACAATAATCCCAAATGTTACCTATGGCATCGCAGTGTGGGTGTGGGGGGGGGGGGGTTCTTGCTCTGCATCATTGTTCAATGACTTAGAAAGAATACATATAAGAGCAGCAAGATTATTTCATAAAGTTCCAAAGGATATTGGCAATGGAAAGGTGTTAGATTTTGTTGGTTGGAACACACTGAAGTACATGTACACAAAAAGAATTTTGACTTTAACTCATAGTGGTTATTATAATGCTAATATTGATGAAATTAACAATATGGTATTAAAAGAAACCGTTAAGTATTCATTTAGAAACTCATCAAAAATTAAACTAAACCGACCGAGAACTGAAATTGAAAGAAGGACATTCAAACATAGAGCTGCATTAGCTTGGAACATTATTCCGGATTATATTAGGTCACATAGAAACGCATCAGTATTTAAGAAAGAACTAAAATCAATAGCTTTTAGAAATCTTTTAGAAACTATTTCCTATGAAAAAGAAAACAGTGCCATAAATTGTAAAGACATTAACTACATATACTATTAGATTCTCTTTTTGTAGGCAATTCTAAAAATTTACATTTTAGGTGGTTTTAATCTAAAAGATTTGATTAGTTTAATATTGTATTAGGTTTACTTCAATTTCGTAGATATTTTCCGTTTTAGATAGCTGGTCCACATCGGCATTGTTTGCCGCCCAAATTTCAAACCTGCTTAAACAAATAAACAATGTATGTATGCATGCATGCATGTATGTATGTGTGTATGCATGCATATCATAGAGTTGAAGAAAATAAGACTACATGATTTATCTCTACATACATGATTTACATACATAGACTACATGATTTATCTGATTTATCACATACATACATATGTATGTATTTATGTAATATGACTCTCCAGACCAATACCAATATGACCCCCGAGGTTGCCAGCCTCGATTGCAATTTTATTTAAGACAAGGCAATAAGGCAAGCAAAAAGCCTGCCCTCCCTTCCGGGCGAAATGGAAATCTTTTGAAACTTTTAGTATATCTTATCACATTATTTTACATTGGATTGCTCCTTGCCGTTTGGTGTTGTTCCTGCCTATTGTTGATTGACACAACTTGCATGTATTTTTGCAGCGTGCGCAGGCACTGACAGAACAGAAGCTGAACAAATTGTAATGAAATGGAGAGGCCACGGAGGTAGAGCTGCTTCACGGACAACAAACAAATATACACTCCCTTCCCAAACGTATTCGAACGGTCGGGTAAAATTTCGGGCCTAATTTTTACAAACGCCATGTTAGTGAAAAAGGAAGATCAAATTTTGGCAAGAAAATAAATTGATGGCATCAGATAATAAGCAGAATAAAGGCAAAAATGTTGCTTGGAGAAAGTTTACTGGGAAAATGGGTTCTCAAAAGTTACAAAAAATATTTATCTCAAATCATCTTAAATATATACAAAAATTGACGTTTAGAAAACATGAATCCCTTCAAAAAAAATTTATCGATACTAGTTAACTTAAGTTCAATTGATAAACAACCTGCTGTAATAGTTTCCTCAAATTGCTCAGTATTTGCTTCTTTTTTTAGTCGCATGTTATAAAAGTTAAAATCACCTGAAATCACCTGAAATCACCTGAAATCACCTGAAATCACCTGTAATCACCTGAAATCATCTGAAATCACCTGCAAATCACCTGTACGGAATCATTGTCTGGGGAATTACCACGGGATTCATTTCTATGGATCTTACCTATCGCTTCATAAAAAATCAATATTTCGTCTGTAAAAGAAAATTGTCAGGGTAATTGTTTTCAAGAAAGTGAGTCCGTGTACACTCACTACGCATGTACAAAACAAATACGGTATGAAATTCGTGCCCTACATTATTTCTTTTTTTGCTACAAACGGGATACCGCTATTACATTATGCCGGTATTAAAAGAGTGTAATATGTTATAACATAACGCAGAGCATACCCACAGCAAGAATTTGCGGAGTGCACCAACTTGTGAAGACCAAAATGTTCTGTAGTCGAAATTCAATGCAGGATTGAATGTATTTCTTGTTTTGGAAGTCCAAAATGTCCCCGAAGAAGGAGAGGGAAGTACACTCCCCTCACAAAAGTATCCGGACAGTTTCGAATTCAGTTGCGAATCTGTTGTTAGAGAAAATTTTTAACAAATTTCAAAGTCAATTTTCGTGAAAACGTTTTTATCAATTTCCTTGATTTTTTCTTGAAGTTTTTTGGCCTCAATCTATTTATTTGTCGAAAAAATAATCTTATCGATATGTAAGCAAACTCTGTGAGGTTTTTACTCAAGATGGTAGCGACCGAAAGAAAAGAATTGACTTCTGAGCAGTGTCTAAAAATAATGTTTTATCATAATGGTGAGAAAAAGCTATCATTAAATTGCTAGTATCTTCGGATGCACAAAGACTGCCATTTTCGAAATATGCAAAATAAATTTAAAAACAAGAAGCATAAAAAATTATCATCATTAAGTTAAAAAAGTCGTTATCGCCAACCTAAATTTGTTTTTATCTGAAAGCGCAATCGATCTTCGAACTGTCCAGGTACTTTCGTGAGGGGAGTGTAGAAAAAAACTTAGAGAATGACTTATAATTGAACCACGAACACTGTAGAAAGAAATGTTGTTTAGGGAACACATAATGCTGTAAATTGCTCAAAATAGCAATACCTTTCCTCGTTGAATGAAAATACCAAATTTCTGTGCTAAGCAATCGTAAAAAGTGAAAAGCCTCGTTGAAGAACGACAAAAAAGTGTCACTTTTTGCAAAATTTAAACTAACGATTATTATCTAGGATCTCAGACACCTAAATGTTATCTTCATCTTCTTCCTCTTCCTTTTCATTTTTCTCTTCCTCTTTGTCTCTTCTTTTTCTACTAAGTCATCCTCTTCTTCTTTTTGTTCAAGCTTGGTTCTATAAACGATGAAGTAGGATACAATTGATAGGATCAAAAAGCATTTTCAATTCATTGAAAGGTAAAAAAGAACCTCGAGAGAATAGGCTGGACTGGAAGGCCTAGAGCTTTTCTCCGAAATACTCGGCGTGAAGTGAAGAACCTGCCTCAAGCCGTTGTTTTTTAACAAGCCGCATCCACATCCTTTAAGCCGAAAACCGTTGCCAACTTACAGCGAAAGATGCAATCCGCAGAAAAGCCATGGCAACGTCCTTGAGCCACATTTAGAAATATGGTCAAGTCCATGAAACTTTCTTTGTTCAACAGGTCGGCTTTCTTCCAACATCACACTACTTATAGCAATATATAGATCGCTTAAGCCTTGAAAGTCCTTTCTTAGAAATTTTAACACTTAAATACAAAAAGCAGACAGCTATCGTTATTTCTCCGAAAAGATAAAAGGCCTTGCAAGGGGTTTTTTTGCTCCCATGTTTCCGTCTTGCTGCGCCAAGCGAAGGTACCGATCACATTGGAGGTGGCAAAGCAAACGGTCAAAATTTGTGAAATTGAAAGAATCGAAATATATTCATAAGAAATCCCTATTTAAACCCTTGTTGTGTTGCAAGGTCTATTTAGAAGTATAAAATTCAATAAGTTTCATATCTAACAGCACCCAGTCATAACCTCTTATTAAGCTGATACGCTATTGGTGTGTCAGTTTGATAGATTTAGGGAAAGTTTCAATCTTCAAAGTGATTCAGCATTTAATGTGTGCTTACAATAGCCGAATTCTTTATCCGATAACAGGCCTTATTTTAAAGAAATTTTATCACTGCACAATCAGGGTGGTTTCATAAAAAGATTACCTCTAGAGGTAGGTAGGCTGTGCAAGGTGCGTGTCAGAGGTAGGCACGCAATAACCAGGGATCTGGGGGCCCTGAAAGCCCCTAGCGGATCCAGGGCAGAGCCCTGGCTAAAAAAGCATATCATCTCAAAGCATTTCAGTTTGCAAAAGTGCCATAACTGGAGCGTTTGCAAAAACCGGCACGTCTGCAACTGTGATGCAAATGTGTGCTTTGATGGGTGGACACTGAATGTCAAAGGTTATTTGGTGCTCATTATTATTCATATTTGATCATGGTCTATTTGATCATGGTCTGTTTGATTGGTGTGATCGCTATCATTCCTGTTGCTTGGTGATCACTGAAAACATGTTTCTACATGTATGGACATATCTCCCATATTTATTTTAGATGAGAATGTACTCTTTACAATGCACTATCAGAAAATTAATTCCTATTTTGTTTTGTTATGTTACATTCAAGAGTTGATATTTGTGTGCGATACTTCAAAATATAAAACTTCTAAATTTCTGAGATCAGTGTATCTTGAAAAGGAGTACTAATTTCATCCAGAAATCCAATAAACGTCAGTGGAAAAAGGGGGCATTCTGATTTTCATTGTCAGAAAAAGGGTAAAAGGGGGGTCTTTTATAGCATCATGGACTAGGGCGGGTGGGCTTTGCTTATTCAACTGCAGCCATTGGGTCCATGACACAGCGACAAAAAGAGTTTATATCCTTTGTTCCGGAATAGCTGTATTATAGGCATTAACATTAGGGTTTATGTTCGCTACTTTAAGAAATCCCTAATCAAATACAATGGAAAACTTGTAATCTATTCCCTATCTGAACCTAAAAAACCATTGGTTTCAACCAGTCAACGTCAAAACCTCTTCTGCCCTTCAATGCTTCTTCATCACCCTCGTAAGTTGAACTTAGCCATTTTTTCCATAAAAATCCATAACTCTGGATACGCAAAAAAAGTGAAAAAATATAAATTTTCAAAAATTTTTTTTTTGCTCGAAACAACCTAAAACAACTTGAATTATGTCGCCAATACTATTTGAAAGGTTTCGTGAAGATATCACGACCGTATTTGTAGAAAAAGGACTAAGCCATTTTTCCAAAAAATCCATGACCCCGGGTATGCAAAAAAAGTCAAAA